GTTTGTTGTACAACAAACTTAGAAGGGTACGCATGCGATCCCGTCCTACCCATTCTTGATAGGAGAAAGAGCGACATGCCTGTTGTTCCTGACAGGGAACCATCCTCGCTGCACACCATAGGCGCTCGCTGAACATTCGCAGGACTTACCTTCGCCCGACGAAGCAAATCATCTGATTGGTATATACCTTCAAGAGCTCCATGTCGATCACCCTTTCCTCCACACCACCTCTCTGTTCAACGCGTACAACGCACTGTGGTTCTGCGCGGAACGCGGGTACCAAGGGAATGTGGACCTCAACGGGTGGCCGGAGGAGATGGAGCCATTCTCATACAACGGGCGATTCGACCAGATGGCTGACGCCGACATGACGCCCATCTCCATCTTCGCCGCCGCGCTCCACGTGTTCATGGTGCTATCCCTTGCGGCGACGATCCTCACGCGGAACAAGAATTTCGAGTACCCGCCCGCCCGGTTCTACGCCATCGCCTCCACGGCCGCAGCCGAGTGCCTGAGCGGCATTTCCGTGACGGCCCTGCAAAGCATCCTCCTGTTCATCGTACAGGGGATGGTGGGACCCACCAATCTGAGCATCTGGACCTTGGTGCATATTGCCATGTCGCATGCGATTGATCTCGGGCTGCATCGGGAGCCGAAAGACGAGGCGGACAATTCGCCCACCGCCCTTGCTTTACGACGGCTGATCTTCTACACCGTCTACAACCTCGACCGGTGTGTTTAACCTGCTGGCTCGTCATTTGTCCCCCCCACTCACTAACTGTATCGTAGATCCATCTCCACAATCCAGGGCCGACCGCTTGGCATCCGCGATGAGACCTTCGACATCCGGCTGCCAGGTCTTAATGAATTCGTCGTCGACGAAACCGCCAGCACCAACGCCAACAGCCACTCGGAGCTGCGCTTCTCCATCCACCGCTTCAAGCTGGACGCATTGATTTCCGAGATCAAGATCCTGCTCTACCACCTCCCCAACCGCGGCACCGCCCTGTCATGGCCGACCGACACGGCCGGAGAACAAGCGCGCATCAAGACGGGTCTCGACCAGTGGCTCGCCGACGTCCGCGCCACTCGCGCCCCCTCGGAGGAGCTCACCACCACCACCACCAGCCTCCACCACGACGAGGACCACATCCTTAAGCACCAGTGCAAGATCCTGAAGCTCGAGGTCCTATATCACGGGGCCATCACGCTGCTCTACCAGCCGTCGCAGGCGTTCCCGTCTCCCACCGCCGCCGCCCTCCTGCACTGCTACCGCAGCTCCCGCGACCGGATCCAAATCTACAACCGCCTCAACACCCAGGAGCATCTCTACTACACGTGGCGCAACATCCACGGAATCTTCGCCTCGGGCGCGACCATTATCTACTGTTTCTGGGCCTCCCCGGAGCTGCAGGCGGTCGTCCCCTTCAAAGAGGCCCTGCAGTGTCTGCGCGTGTGCTCCAACCTCCTCAGCATCGGCGGCCAGTGGTGGCCCTCCGTGCGCCACGGCAAGGAGAACTTCGACCGCATCGTCGACCTCACCGTCGAGCGGTTGAGCCAGAAGCACCACCACCACCACCACCACCAGCAGCTGCAGCTGCACCAGCTAAGTGCGACCGGGGCGAATACGCTGCTAGACCCCACGACCAGCGCAGTCGACGACGGCCTGTTCCAGCCGGCTTACCCGCCGGTGCCGACCGACGGGGTCACCCCCAACATGCAGCAGCAGCAACAAGAGGCAGTGGAGAACCTGCTCGGGTTATCGTCGGTCGCGTGCGATGCCGGGCTCGGTGGCGGCCAGGATCTGGAGATGACGGCGCAGCACGATCCCATTATGGAGAGCTTTTTCACCGAGTACCTGCAGGGCGACTGGAGCTGGGATCCGTTTTCGACGGGGTTGGAGCCGCTGCCCTGACGGTCGGCCGGATAGGAATGCAGTGGACTCGGCTGTACTGTGCCCTACCTACCCTCTCGGCTCGGCGGGCTCCGATCAGATCGCGTCACCACTCGACAGTCTTGTCAATGATAGTGGTAGCTGGGCGGGGGGAAATCCAGATCATTCTGGTCGCAGGGGGAAGAGAAGCCAGGGCGAGTCAGATTCCAGCCTGTCTTTATTGTGCTCTTGTGCGATTACCAAGGAAGTACGCCCTCGAGATTCGATTGGCAACCATTGCGCCTCTTCCGTTATGGCACGAGCACGAAGGGGGAAGAGAGCCTGAAAGACCGGGGGGTTGAGCTCTCCGGTAAAAGCTCGGCCTTGGCTCAGAAATTGGCTCCACAGCACCGGTGGGGTAGCAGCAGGGCAGGGGGGGGGGGCACGCTTGGAAGTTCGAACCCATGCAAATGAGCTCACAATCCTACGCATACTCATACACGATCGCACGGATTCGGACGATACAAGGTGAACGTGAACCGAGCGAGTATCCCGGATAGTCGACGGGGTTCAACGAACAAGCACTAGATAGACTACGTGCTATTGACCGGTTCTACCGGGCTCCGCTACGTCGAAGAGTGAACTGGATAGAAAAGCCTCAGGTCTAGACTCGAGACGCTGAATCAAATCAACGCATCAATCAGGGAAACTACACAGTAAGGTACCTAGTACTCAAGTACTCGAAAGATCCCCTGCATACGATCAGCGACACCAAGAAACAAGATTTTTTCTTTACGCTATAGCGTCAACGGTACTGTACAGTAGGAAGTCTAGAATCGAAAGCTGCCCTTCGAGAGGATCTGCAATGCACCCGGTCAAAGTGCTGTGCTGGGAAACGTCACACAAAAGTGCCGCCGGAGAGAAATTCGCCATCATCAACCTCATCCCTAAAAAAAAAAGGATTAGACTACCTGTCATGACATTTCGATTGCGTTGTGTCGGAACGTGTTGACCAATAACGTTGCGTTAGGATAAGAAATCCGCTGAAGCCTGAGAGATAAAGGGCTTCCCCGTGCTGGCGTGATCTTGGTTGTGCGCGCCCGTTGAAGGACCCGCATTGGGGGAAGTTCCCCGCCTGATCCAACACAGCAGCTACGTAAGGTAGCAAAGTATATCTGATCGAATCCACCTGAGCTCTTCTTCTTCTCTCTTCAAAGTGGGAAGAGAAAACCATCCAAAGCTCTAGAGGATTCGGTGGGCCATCAATGCCCCATTCACCAATTCGAAAGTGCAAGGGTCATGGACCATCGATCAAACTCTCCCGGCTGAATCTATCTGAGAACAAACATCGACCACAAAAGCAAGAAAGAGAAAAAAAAAAAATCTCTAGCTTTGGAGGGATGAAGCATGGCCGGAAACGTCGACCGCCGGGTAACTTATCCGCAGGGCCGCAAGCCAATGGCCGCCTGAGCGCTGAGGCATCCACCACTCGATTGCACGGTCGCATCGCGAATTGACACTGACTGGAAGCAGTGGGAAGTAGTGAAGCATCCGGTTTTCCAAGCAACCCCGGGCCTGTCCTGCTCCATTCTTTTTCTCTCTCTAACTTCACACGGTGTATGCAATATCCTAGTCTGACCCGCACTTGAGGGGGGGCCGGGAGCTGGCTGGCTTCTGGTGGGTGGGTGCGTGAGGGAGTGGACGGGTTACAAGCCGCGAGGAAGAGGTGATCCTACTTACTTATGGTAATTATCTCCACTTTACTTAGTAAGGTACAGTGACTGCTCTCCACTTGCAGATAGATATACTCAGATGCACAGTACTTACTCAGTGCGCGCACACGTAGGAGGCTGTGGGATGTAGCCTCACTAACGGGCAGAGGCAGATCTCCAGGGGGTTGCGCGCGAGGGCTGGGTCTAATTGACGGAGATGATCGATCGCTTGTACTCGCGTGCCTTGCTTTTCGTCATCATGGACTTTTGGCTCCCCCTGATGCTCACCGAGTCATTTTCATCATGAAAAGTCATGGCTTTAGTTAGAATGGAGGGGACGGGAACGGGATCCCGCGAAAAGTCAATGGGAAGAAGCCATGGATGCCATGGATCGGACAAGTAGGACGAGGAGATGGAGATGGAGATGGAGATGGGAAGCATGTAGCAAAAACGTGCGTGCGATGCGACCTTCGTTGAATGATTGTTGCAGATTGCCAGTGTAGGTACTGTACACTGGAGAAACTACTAAAGTGTACAGAATGACGGCAGTGAACGATTGGTCTACTCGACCATGTGAAGCATTCTGATTGGCGGAACAAAGTCCCTGGGTTCGAAGCGGAAGCGATCGGCAGATTTGTCATCAAGTCGGTTGCGTCGAAGAACAATAGGAAAGGTAAGAATAGAATGGAAGCAGAGTAATAGAGGAAGCCATGGTTAGAGTCTCAGACAGTAGGTAGGATAAGCGTATCTCGGCAGAGCATACAGTACGCTTCTAGACAATTCGTTGCATCTGTTTCGGTAGGTACACTCCAGTAAGTACCTACAGTACATCCTTAGTCGGATGAGGCGGGAAGTAAGCAGATCGACTGGAGACGTCATTTCCCAAATCCAAATCCCTCTCTCCCTCCCCGCGATCCAAGATATCAATGGATTTTTGCTGGAGATGGAAACCACTTGGATCCATTGGGTCCAGCCCACCGGAATATTGGCGCAACCAATCATGCACCCTGGATACATCCTCCTTCCCCCTGTCAACGGCCTACTGTAACCATCGTTCGTTCCTTGCACTGCAAAATCTCTCGCGCTCTGCTGTGAGAGCCGATCAACTGCCCATTGAAAATCCCCAATGCGCCTCCCCGGAAATACCCTCCAACACTCTCGCCTGTCTCAACTCTTTTCTTCCTCTTTCTCATCTCTAGTGTCGAAACTAGCTGGCCCGCATGCATCGTCATTGCCGGGCCCTCAGATGGGGGAGTGTGCTTGGTTTCTAATAAAGATGTGTAATACTTCTCCACACCACCCCCCTACAATCCATACTACTCATACTCATACTGCTACCTACCTACCTTCCTACTACATACACCCTTCCTGCTGTCCCACCCTCCATTGAACTTACCTTCCTGCATACTGACTCCCAGTGATCACGGAAAGAACCTTCCTGTCACTATCCTATATAGTCACACAAATTCCGTCACTTCCCTGAGATTGTCTACCCTGTCCCTTCCGGTTCCGCATTTCCTCAACGAGAACACCGTGCAGTGGCAATCATATTGTCTCCGTCCATAAGACCAAAAGTAAAACCTCGAATTGCATCGCGCACCACCTTGCTGTGAAAGAGAAGCATACAGTGATGTCCGTCAATCTCGAACACCCCTCCATGCCAGGGCCCCCGTCCAAGTCCGAAATTACCTGGACCGGCCCAATGCCATTTTTCTTGGACAGCACCATCTCCTCCGAGTTCCTAACGATGCCATTGTTCGATGGGATGCAAGAATGGTCGATGAGCGGGAGCACTCCGGGGGCTGCAGCTGCAGCCGCATCGGGGGGGTTCGACGGGTTCCAACAGCAGCAGCAGCAGCAGCAACAATCACAAAAGCAGGCGCAGCCCTCACCACCGGCGCATCAACACCACCACCACCCGCAACAATCCTACATGAATGCATTTATCGAACCAACCCTTTTCTCCCCGGACCAGCCCATGCCTACCCATGTCCACCACCCCCAACCCCCGCATCTCGCCCCGAAAGAACCCCTCATCGACCCCGCCATGCAACCCTTCGCCGCCAGCCCGACCTCCTCCTACCACGTCCCGATGCACGAGATCACTTCCCGCGGAAGCATCAGCGACCAATCTCAACGCAGCAGCTACGGCAGCATCAGCAGCATCAGCAGCAGCAGTAGCAGCAGCAGCACGACCGGGTACTATGCGCAGCGACGGCCCAGCGAGCCGGTCTTCTCGCCGGCCCACGACGCGGTGGAGCAGCAGAAGCGCGAGCGGTTCCTCGAGCGCAACCGCGTGGCGGCCAACAAGTGCCGGCGCAAGAAGAAGGAGCACACCCGCCAGCTGGAGAGCCGGTGCATGGAGGTGACGCAGGCCAACTCGCGGCTGGATTCGGAGGTCAGCCAGCTGCGCAGCCAGATCCTGGAGCTGAAGAACGAGCTCCTGCGGCACTCCGGGTGCGACGACCCGGCCATCAAGGCCCATCTGGCGCGGATGGTCGCTCATCTCTCGCAGCGCAGTGCCTCGGTCTCGGGCGCCAGCGAGTCCGAGGGGGGTGGCCCGCAGGTTAGGTCCTCGCGGTCGACGCCGCTGTCTCCAGCGCAGCCAAAGATTTTGAAGGAGGAAGTCGAGCAGGACGCTGCGTTCGGGTTCGATGATATGCTTCACTTGCCTAACGCTGGTGGCTCGAAGACCGACGAGCTGGAGGAGGAGAAGGAGGAGGAGGAATTAAAGATGAAGGAGAGTCCGTAATGGTATCCGACCATGCAGCGACTACACTTGTACACGACTGTCTTACGAGTTCTTTTCTGGGATCTGAGTTCGGCCTTCTGCTTTCTGCTTACTTTCTTTGTTGTATCTATTACGTTGGATTGTGCATTATATGTACAATATCGCGCTGTCCTTCGAAATGGTCAATGTATGGAGCTCTGATGGATGGGATATATCGGCTGGGTGTACGGGACAAAGGGGCGGGGGGCTTTACTCATGGCGTTTTAACCAAGCAAGCGCAAGCGGATCGATTCATTGTTTTTTCTACTCAAAAGAACTGCTGGTCATGTGAAACACAAATACCTACTGCTACTACAACTACAAAAAAAAATACGAACAATTTCCGATTGGACGATTTCGAACCAGATTCGAGGAGATTTTTCAGATCAGAGGCAATATCAGCAATTTTCTCACCGGGGAGAAAAAATAATGTCTCGATGTCGAGGGGCAAGCCAGTGAGCGAACACCCGAAAATCTCACGACCAAAAGCAATCCCGAACATTCGCCATCGGCCATGATGTCACGACTGTCGGCTTTACCCGAACAGGCAGGTCATTGTCCCACCACGCGGAGCTTAGTCAGTGGAAACTGGCTTGATGTGAATCCTTTCTCCACTCCACCCTACTCACTCTCACTAACTTTAGCTACGTATGGGGTCGGTTCTGCGGCCAAGCCTGTTTCAACGTCCAAGCTTGCATCCCCAATCTTGCCGTGTTTCACCCGCGTTAGCCTTTCCGTCCGTTCCCCTTCGGGGAGTTTTTTTCGCTGGATGTGGGTTTAGGGATGGTAAAAAGTACGATTCGCGATTTAGGGATTGTCGGGATTTGCGCGATCGACGCTGACTAGTCTAGGAGGGGGTTAGCGGGGGGTTTTTGCTGGGGTCTGTGCTTCTGCGTCTACACCGAGGAGATGTCATGTATGCTAGAAATGGAATTCCTCAAGTACATTGTACTGTATTGGATGTCATTGGTACAAGTTGTTGTTCATTCGTAGTATACATATCCACCACCATTAGCCAACACATTCTCCTCAAAAACGTAATGTACAGTTCCCCGTTCCCTTGGTTTCTGTTCCGCATGACAGGACAATCCATTCACATCATTTCACATCGCAATCGTAGCATCACGTCATAAATTCCGCACCTAGTCGCTCATGCATATACAAGATTGCATGTAGGTGGTTTGGAGCCTCTTACTCCTCGGGGGTGTCGGCGGTGCGCGAGCCGCCCATCCGCCCGGCCTCGCGGGCACGGGGGTCGCCGGGCTCGAAGCTGCCGCCGGAGTGCTGCCCGCCCTTGTGGCCGGCCTCGCGGGCGCGCGGGTCGCCCGGTTGGAAGCTGCCGCTGGAGGCGTGGCCGCCCATCGAGGCAATGTTGCGCTGGATTATAGTTTAGTTATGGACTTGGGGGTGAGTTGGAGAGGCGAAATGATAGAGATAGGGTACGGGGAAGATGCGAAAGCTCACCTGCTTAACCTCGTCCATGCTGGCGAAACCGCCCGAGTGGCTGGATTGGCCGCCCTTGCGGGCGATGTTTTGCACTTCCTCGTGGGGGCGGTTGGAGAAGTTGCCGGGGTTGGTGTTGTGGGCCATTTTGGTGGTTTGGCTGGTAGTTGATGATAATGTTCGTTCGTAGGTTTCTGAGATAAAATTTGGACAACGAGAAACGGGCAGTTGCGATAGCGGTATTTATGCCTGTGAATGTAGTCAATCGAGCAGAGGATGATTTCAATTGATGTCACCCCAGCCCCTATCTTACGTATCCCTACGAGGTGTTGACACGAGGCGATGATGCGGTGGTTGAGGGGAAAGTACGGGTGTGAAGTCACTTTCGACATCATCTCTGCGGGGGTCCTGCGGACCCGACTCTTCCAGAAAAGTACCTAGGACACATTGGGCCCCTCCTTTTCGACAGTGGAAATTACCGCCAATCGATCCAGACAAGTACCGGCAGATCGGTGGGAGGATCGGGGATTTTCGATGGTCCCTGCCCTGCTGAATGTGGTCATCATGATGCGTTGGTGCAGGGAGTCACCGGGGATTGAGTTTTGAGGGACCTGCACTGCGGAGTGGTGGTGTTGGCCAGTTGGAGGAGTTGCCGGGGAAGAGGAGTTAGGGTTAAGTTAGGCCACAAGAGACGAAAGTGTGGAGTGACCGCACTTCATCATGACGGAAGTGGGGCGCTCGCGTGGACCCTGATCTGCGTCTGGAATTCGATGGATCGTTTGATCGGCATCTAATGCTTGTGTCGTGCAGGGTGTGTTCGATGATGAGGCATAAGATCGATACCAGAAATGGTAGGATTCGGCAGTTCGACAACCCATTTGCTGGCTGTATGCATTGCTGGTAAGCGAGCCATGCATAGCCGGTTTTAAAAGAACAGACTCCAAGAGACCAGATTATGTTATGTCCGTGTAGGCTAACATAGTAATCATTGACATTTCATTGATAAGAGATAATCTTTCTGAAAGCTCTTCACCCAAGACCTGTATTTACATTGTAGGCATATTAGCCCTTCGGTACATCACCCCCATCTTCTTACTTGTCTATGAAGACAGAAAAGTAATTCTCTAAATCGGTCACGTCCTCCATGGCCCCTATCCAACCAACATGCTGGTCCGGTCGACAAAGTACCATGCAGCCAGCATTCTTGTCGATCCCATAGCCGTCATGTGCACCCCGACACCCTGGGCTGTATGAGCCCTCGTCCGTGAATACTCTCGTGTAGTCCCATCCCCACGTCTCGTCAAACGGGTGAAACATCTCCGGAAGTTCAAGGAGCTCCACAGATGTGCGCGGGCTCGCATGGATGAGGACCGTCTCCAAAAGCCACCCAGCACGGGTTCCATATCGCTTCTCACACAGACGTGGAAGCAACGGCTGCTGGCTGAAAGTCTTGGCGAACGAATTTAGACGCCCGCGAAGGTCTGCCTGATGAATATCCCCGGCAAATACCAGCAATCTCCACGACCCATCGCTGGGAAGTCTGGTCATCAGGTTGATCGATACGCCTTCGGCATGATTGACCACATAGAACGGATCTATCCGTCTTCCCACTTTGATGTTATTTGCCAAACCTTGAGCATTCTGGTCTGCAACGAGGATATCAGGACCATAGGTCACCCCTAGACCCGATATAAACTCGGAGTACTGATCCCGAACGAATTCAATACGCTTGGCCGCGCCGGTGTCTTTCTCATATGCCCCGACCAACTGCGCATCCAGCTCCAACAATTCCTCTGCCACCGGCCGTCGTTCGGACTCGTATGTCTCTAGTACCCTCGAGCTAGCGGCCCCGGTGATGACCGAACCTAGCTTCCAGACCAGGTTGTATGTATCCTGCATCGACACATTCATCCCTTGACCTGCCTTGGGGGAGTGAGTGTGGGCAGCATCGCCGGCCAAGAATATTCTTGGCATCAGTCAGTGGAAAATCTTGAACGAGACCGAGTACAGGCTTACGTTACCTGTCGTGGGGCCGGAGCTGCTTGACGAGCTGCTGTTTTATCTGTTTCTTGTTACTTGAGGCTATACCGTGGAAAGGGCTGGATGCCATCTACATACCGAATATAGAGAGTACCAGTCACAGTGCTGGTACCTCAACTTGTACGGTTTCAGCAAGCTGTCTGCCTTCCTAACAAGCTCATCGAGTGATGGCTCATGCTTTGTGTCGTGGCCATTGCAGAGCTCCTTGTCGCCCTTCGGATGGATGTAGAACCGAACCAGCCGGTTCTCTCGGGGTGCGGTCATCATACTGCCACGGTCCCCGGAGCTGATCGCACACGATTGACGAATGTCTGCTATTGGATGTCTCAGCATAGCTTTCGTCAAGGTTATGGGATTTCACGATGTACGTACGAAAATCCGTAATAGGCACAATGTCAAAGACCGCCCAGGTCGACTCCCCCAGATTCTTATCGACCGGAACATGCAACTGGTTCCGGGTCCAGCCACGTGCACCGTCACATGCAATTAGATAGCGACAATGAATCGTCTCCGAGCCATCTGGGAGTGTAAGCCACGTTCCAATGCACGAAAGATAAGGTCCCTCCCCGAGAAAAGCTTACCCTGCGCCTTTCCCGACATGACCTCGACGGCAACTTTGTGATCCGTCTCGGAATTGGACTCCGACAGCGTCAATTCCCGTGCTCTGGTCCCGTAATCAACCTGCACCCCCATCTCGTGGAGATAGTCGAGGAAGACCTGCTCCGTAGCGCCCTGGTTCAGCAGCCGCTGATCATACACCGAGCTTCCGGGCAATGACGGGGTCCGTTTGCGCCGCTCGATGTGTCCTGTGCTCTCGTTGATCGCCTTAAAGCCTTTTAATCAGCCCCCCCGCAGCCCAGCTACAGCTGCTGCGACAGTACTCACCCAGTACGCCATCTCCGTATGCCGCACCGACTTCCGCAGGATGGGATCGACGATCCCGAAGCTGTCCAGGATCTCCAGCGTGCGACTCTGCAGCCCGTCCGCGTGGCCCGTCGGCGTCCGCCCGGGCTTCTGGTCGATGATCCGCGTCTGCATTTGAAACTGCGCCGCCCAGCAGGCTGCCATCAGCCCGGCCGGGCCGGCGCCGATTATCAGCAGATCGGTGTAAGCTTCGTTTCCCATTGCTGCATTATGGTGGTGGTGGTGTTGCCGATGAGCCTGTGGCCGAGTTCATGGGGTTTTTATGCGCCCCTAGCGCTCGTATGCGCATTGCATCACCGGTCAAGTGTTACGGTTGCGTTTGAGCGAATACCGGGTCTCAATTCAATTTTCCCGGGCGCGGGGAGATGTTATCCATACCACATGTCGACGTCATTGCATCACCGCCCTATCCGAAACACCTGCCCTCTCTTCTGTGTCTATGAAGTGTGGCTTTGATGTTCAGGATGAGGATTGAGTCATACCCTGTCCTCTCACTTCAGAAAGCTGCTTTTCGCTGCCTACACCCTAGTGCACCTTCACGTCTGCATTATTATGTAATCTTTATGCTTATGCAAACCCAAATGAGCACAATTGGGAAGGGTACGGCCACCAAGCTCATCAGGCAAGCACTTCTTTTGCTGATGATTCTTGCGCAGTGTATTGACTGTATAGCTATTTGTTTCTCGGAATAAATGGATGGGTGGTACAGTATATCGAACATAGCGTTCTAGCCTGAGGCATCAAGAACACGTGACCGTGCAGTTTTATGGAGAACTTAGAAACTGGCTCGGATTAAGCTACCAGCCAATGAGGAAGTAGAGCCCAGCGGCGGGTTGGCATGGCTGTAAATTGAGCTTATCCTACTTGAACTATGAGAATATCTGTGGTTAGATCATGTGATACACAGGTCTATGTATTGATACTGAATCAACCAGGTGAATCCTGTGACTTTTTGTTGTACAGTTTGGTAACATAGATAATCGAAAACCATATCCATTATATATTATTCTAGATTCATCTTCAACAACCCACAAAGATTCAACAGCTTTTATGCTCTGATTCGTAGAATCACAGACTAGGAGAATGCCCCAGTGTCACTTGCCCAAATCGAAATCAGATTAGCTTTGACTCCGCGGTGACGGAACAGCATTCAAACAAGGTCTACGTACGAACCAGATCCTTGCTTATCCGGCTGAAGAGAAGCATTTACAAGATCATATCGATGACCTCCTGAGCGGACCGAGAGTCTCATTTAGAAGCAGGTCATTTAGTCTGAGCCATCTAAGGGATTGTCCTAGAGCCCTGAGAAGCCCCGAGCTTATAGCTTGTAGCATTTCGATGAAGTGGAGGGATGGGCGATATGGAATCATATCTTGAATTGTCCGCTGGTTGGTCGGTTGATGAACTAGCCAAAATATCAAAGTGTGGAATAGTCCGGTAAACCGCCTTGGATCACATGCTCGGATTGCTGAGGACCGCCGACAGACGGCACCGTGTCTTGATACTTGCTTCCTGTTCACTGCAGCAAAACTATGATTGTTCTGCATCAGAATGATACTGATAATGTGATCCCGGTGGTGCGCACAATGAACACACTACCAGATTGTGCTTAATCTCGAACAGTCCTTCGACCAGGACAGATCAAGTACATACACCAAAACTTGTTTCTTCAGTAATTATTGAATGGCCACGTGTCGATCCTAGCTGTCTTTCAACCTGCCCCATATCCCAACAGTGCAGCCTGTTGCCGAGGAGAAACCCCCAACACGCGGCTCATCCACATCCCCGCCGATACCCACGACGCGGGCCGAAAGACCAACGCCTACGCATAAATCTGACGCAATCGCCGAATATTCCTCAACAGGCCAAAATAGACCCATCCCTGCCTGACGAGCACCAATTTCTCTGAGTCCACCGCGGTGAGGACCGTCCCCCCGTACAGAATCAACCGCCCGCGGTCCAGGCTAGTAGGGGCGGTGGCCGCCCCCGTGAAGATGAGCCAGGTCAACGTTTCCGGCGCCCGTCGGATCCAGAACGCCGCGTCGATCTCGGTGATTCGTTGGGTGAGTTGAGTGAGCTCTGCCTGGAGCGTGCTTTCCTCATCCATCGGGGCGTCCGCACGCAGGAGTCGCGAGAGGATTGATGTGGCAAGGCTGCAAAACACGTTGAGCTTGTCCTCAGTGCTGGTGGGAGATGGTGCGGTGGTGGGCTGTGGTGCCCTTTGGGCGGGGAGAAGATCAAGGGTCTGGAGAAGATGGCGCATCTGGTTGATCTCTGCTGCGGTGGCGTCCTCCAGGGTCGGGTGGTCTGCTATTGCCTGCAACTGAGAAATGGCCGCGTAGATGTCGAGGATGTTCTCGGCGGTTGTCGGAGTGAAGATTAGGCCAGTATTGCTGTGTTGGGTCAGGCTGGCGATCACGGACCGGAGTATGGAATGCGGGCGGACGTCGGAGAATGTCAGACAGTCCCAGGCGGGCGGGACGTCGAAGATACAGGAGAAGGAGAGCAATGCCCTAAGAGATCATTAGGTCCGGCGCATACGAGAGTTGTGGAAGGGCCTTTTTGAGCGCTTCAGCCTCACAGTTTGATAACCCCCAGCAGTGGTCCGAGCTCATCCCGCCTCGCCATCGGAAGTGAAAAGAGCATCAAGGTTAGCCCTTTCTGATGCGCAACCGCCGAGTCGATATCCAAGGCGACCATCTACAGGCCCCCCCACATGAGACAAGGGTGGTCAAGTCAGTCAACACATCAAGCAAATGGCGGCTGGCGCGGCGAAACGTACATTATAGAAGATCAAAGGGACCACCGTCCCGATCGCGGCATAATTGAGCTCGACCGTGTCTTTATTGAGGGTCTGATTCAGAAGCCGGATGGCGCAGGTTTGATGGTACAGCGTGACTCGGTTGTTCCTGGTGCCCCGCAGGATATCGATAGACGCGGAGGCGCTGAAGAGCGTGGCGTGGAACAAGGATGCGTTTGCCGTGGCATTACGCATCCACTCGGAGCTCAGATGCACGGCCATGCTATCGGGCTTGGCTACATCGGCGGGGATGGCGACGGAGGTGCAGACTGGGACCCACCGGGGCGAATCTCGTAAGTCTCTCACTTCCTTTTGTAGCCCCAGGTTGGGAATAGGGCTACGCCTACTGCAGACACTTGAAGGTAGGACTTACAAAACTTCAACAGGGTCGGCATATAGCCTTGGACCGGGACGGGCGCTTCCGTCGGGATGCTAGGGCCATGCTGAGGTTGCCCTAGGCCGCTGCGCACGTCTTGCCTTGCTCGGTGACTTCCTCTCGCACGCGTGGAGTCGGTGGAATGGGAATTGTAGAAGCAGCCGAGGCCAAGTCTGTAGGTTCAGACCGATGTCAGTCTGTCATGTACAATATACACGCTTCGAGCCTAGCCTCAGGCGCAGCCTCGCCATGTGTGGTGTGTGGTCAGCCAGACCGGCCGGTAGCCACCTGGCGACGGACTACTCACCTCAGACAGCGGGAACACCCAGGGATGAGTCGATCGCATTTCCTCTTTTGAGCACTGCATCTCACACAAGCACAGGGCGCGGTCTCCCGCACCGAGGGTACTGCATCCGCACGGGCAGCCGCAAACACTGGAGGCGTCGTCCAGGGGTATGAGCACTTTCGGTCGAGTCTAGAACCCATCGATCAATGAGCCTGCCGTCAAAAGCAGATCAAATATACCATAACCGATACGTACTTCTTGCAACGCGAGCATGTAGGCGTCAACTTGTCACATTGCCTCTTGCCCGCTTTGCAGGCCAAACAGACCACGGGAGATGACGAAACTTCTGCTTGAGTCGGGGCCATACTGCGAAAATGTCTTGAGCAGACACACAATGCTTTTGTGTCTTCTTCAGCGATGGGATACGGAGCAGTATACAAGAATCAGAATCGAGGGCTCGTAGCTGTCGGCCGGGTTGCGGGTCAATGCCTTGCGACTGATGTGATGGCTTATCTTTCGCAAATCACAAGGACGCTATCTTGCATTCAAAAGTGGGGCTCATGGATCTGGCTCGGTCTTAGGCTTGGAGGGACGGAGTTTAGCCCTTACTTCCACTTCCAAGCTGCGTTTCTCACCTGGTAGGTGGGCGTGTATGCTTCTCGAGCCGATCCGGTAATCATCCCAAAGCTACCGAGATTGTGCCACCCTCTTCTTCACTGGATGCAGATGCTCACCGCTGCTTGTGTGATGCGGCTGTAGATGCGGGTGGAGGTGGGGTTAGGGTACAGGCGGTGCGGATGCAGGCGCGGACTAGCGCAGGGAGAAGATCGGCAATCTGACATCCATTATTTTACTAGTCTCGCTAGTGCAGCAATTTTCATCGAGCAGATCCCCTACATTTCGTTCGTGCTGGAGAAGATGAGTATGAGCGCGATTACGAGTAGTCAATTTGGCTCATTTGTCTCCCTCTGGCCCTATCCAATCCCTGCCCGCATTCCCGCGGTTCCCGTCTTCGTACGATACGAGAAACTTCCAGGGACTTCTATCTACAGTACATATAACATACCAAAAGATGAAAGCCTTCATTATAGATTAACAGATAACTTCCAAGCTTTACCAATCGATAACGCGAACTAGATAGAGGACCAAGGTTTCCCGAATGCCCCTCCTTCCTACAACAAGATAAAGTACCAATGGAGAAACACACAATGGGCGCGGGGACGGTATCATAGATGGAGTCGAACGGCGCGATCTTGGGAATCCTTCCGAGAAAGATACCGGTCATTCGCGAGTCTATGCCCCGAAGGAACCGGTTAGAATTGTGAGAGCTGGCAGAACCTCGAGTGGAACGGGACTTACGACCACTTCACGTTGCCCACCATCATATTCTTGCATCCCGTGAGGAGCGTGCGAACGTCAGCCTTGGTGGCCGCGCTCAGCTGTCTGAACGCGTCACTGTCCGACAATGAGGACTCGGCTTCCTGGAAGACTCTTTTCGATCGGATCAAATCTTCGCATGCCGCGTTCATAGCGTCTTGCGCACTGAGAGAAGAATCATGCAGCATCTTCAGTGGGATGACACTGTCGAGTTGACCCGCCATCTGACGCGATCTGATTAGTTACACATTTTTTCCTTCATGGGCCCGATGAGACTATACTAACTAGCTCTTTCCGCAGCGAGATAATATCATTAACGCTAAATCTCTGTCAGCTGCGGCCGAGTGAAAGCAGACCATGGCATGCGTGGTACTGACATGATGCAGGAGATGGCCGTTTCGCGAAACATGGTTCTCATGTGCGAATCCTCATAGATCCAATGCGGGACCCGAACGTCATATGCAAATCTGGTTTTGATAAGAAATCCCCTTTACCAGAAGCATCTGAAGTGGGGTACACTCACTCCATCGCCATGATACAAGGGTACGCTCCGATCGACAACTCTCGGTTCGCGAAATAGCAACCCAGGCTGGGTAACCGCTCCTCGCGGGTTTCTTGGACGACGCACACCGAGTCCACGTATTCATAGAGGGAATCTGCGAACCTGCGGAGTGATTCTAAAGTTTGTAGGTCAATAGCAAGTACCGTATATCAACATCTCGGCGGATGTATGGGCCATACATACCAACTGTGGTCCCCGATCGCAGGGCGGGGGATATTTCCTCAAAACACCCACTATTATGGTCCGCCGCATCATAGCTCGGACCGTGCTCAAGCATCTTTGGCTCTAGTGTGCGTTTCAGGAACGCGAGGGTGCTCTCGCGGTAAGCTTGTGTGCCTTTGGCATCGTTTGCAAGTCGACCGCAATCAATCTCTAGGTAAGGTATCAGTGCGTGGTTTAAAAGGGCAAGCGAGGCTGAGGCCGTTGGGTACCATCGTCCCAGAGAAAAAACTATTGTAATAGTCTGCGTTAGTGTTCAGGTATTCCAGGACAAGGGCCACGCCGGTCGACTTCCTTACCCAATACATGAACTTGGCCAGGGGAAGGAATCTTTCCACATCACTGCCGGACCAGAAGTATCCGGCTAACATGGCCGAATTGCTTTTGATCAGTTGCTGGCGTTTCGTGCGATCTGGGCACCAGCTGGCGGGTATAGTTGTATCAGCACCATGCCCATAGACAATAAAAGCTAGTGAGGGGAGGAGCGAGGTTGGGTCTCCTCACCGGTTTAGGAAATATTCTTCTATGTTGGTTCGAACATCCAACTCATGAGAATGTCTGTCGACATCCCAGTCCGCGTAGACTCGTGCTAGCAGATCTGGGACGATCAATGTCTGGCCCTGTAATCGGGTCATAAGCGAAGGACTCTCCTGGCTTTTCGTCATAGTAGGAATATTGGCTCGAGGGGATGGGAAGTTTAGAGGTGGGCTGAGACAGTGTTGTCAGGAAGAGAGAGTAATTCTCTGTCCCGAGGGCATTGAGGCTGGTATTGAATTTATAATTCAGCGTTTCTTTCCCAAGACAATGCCCAGGGTCGTAAGTCAGATAACTGAATGCGCAGCGATGTTCATTGGGAGGGAGGGATATGGATGCTTAGCCATGAATGGTTAGAGATTACAAGCACCTTGCAATGGGTTAGCATCTCGGGTTCGGAAAGTGGTATTTACGATTTTGAACCAAGTTCTAACCCCAAAGGTGTAGCTGCATCGAGCTGCAGGTGCCTCTAGCATAGATCATGCATTAGCTGAAAGTGAAAACTAGCTTACTCCATTGACGTAAACCCGTGAGTCGATGGTAGCATACAGCGCGATCCAGCAGTCCATAAGGAAACCAAGTTCCGTTCTGGTGGAAAAAAAGAAAATTATAAGTAGCATCCAGACCTGCGCATTCTCCGATCTCTTGACCCGCCAGAGAGTGACTATCAAACTCCCTGACATTGCTCATCCCAAGATGTGGACCCTTACTCTCACCACCGTGTTCTTGTTCCTTGTAACAAAATATCTTTACCGTCTGTATTTCCATCCCCTAAGGTCGGTCCCTGGACCAAAGTTGGCCGCCATGACACATCTCCATGAGTTCTACTACGACGTTGTCCGAGGCGGCATGTTCATCTGGGAAGTCAAGAGAATGCACGAGAAATATGGTCAGTGGCATTCTCCCTTGAGGCGACTCAGGCTCACGGATTTCTCCAGGACCTATCGTGCGGATCAACCCACGAGAAGTCCACATCGTCGATTTTGCCTTCTATGACGAGATCTATGCGGGGGCAGGCAGGCGACGAGACAAGGACCCGCAGATGGTGGCATTCCTCGCCTCGCCCCATGCCGCGCTGGCGACGGTCGACCACGACCTCCACCGGTCTCGCCGCAATCAGCTCAACCCATTCTTCTCCAAGAAAAGTGTCGGCGCCTTGATGCCTGTCATCTACGAAAAGGTCGATCTTCTCTGTGAGCATCGCACCATGGCCGCCAAAGAGATGACAGTGATCAACCTGAGCGACGCATTTGTGGCGCTCACAGGCGATATCATCACGCACTACCTGTACGGCCAGGACACCGGCTGTCTGGCGTCCAAGCATTTCGCGAACAACGGCATCTGGGTATAATCGCCTCACACATTCTTGGACAGGCGGCCGTGGTTTATGAATCGCTTCGACTAGGTGCGGTTGCAATGCGTCCCTCGCGAGTGGCCCCACACGAGACCTTGCATTACAACGGCTATGCGATACCTCCCGGTGTGAGTGCTGATGCATGGGTCCCCTGTGCGACCACGTATCGTTACTCAAGGCAAATCCTTTAGACCCCGATGAGCACGAGCAGCTACTTCCTGCACCGAAATCCTGAAATCTTTCCAAATCCCGAATCTTTCGATCCAGAACGGTGGATCACTGCGAGTGAGAGGGGTGCGAATCTCTCAAAGTATCTGGTACCTTTCACAAGAGGCACGAGAGCCTGTATTGGGATCAAGTAAGGTTTCTTGGCTGATCTGTTGTAAATGCAGTATAATGTATTGGCCGGATGCTGACGAATATCTCTCTCTTTGTAGTCTATCCTATGCGGAGATCTACACAACGCTAGCCACAATCGTGTGTCGCTTTGATCTGGAGCTCTGCGACACGGCTCCCGAGAGGATGGCATTTACTCGCGAGATGATTGTGCAGAGGCCGGAGGAGGGGGTGTGGACTCTCAAAGCGAGAGTTGTGGGTGCTAGAGAAGACAGGTCATGAGCGCGCTTATAACTTGTCTGAAAACTGCTATTGGTGAATTCGATACATCATTCCTGTTGAGGGTGGTTTGTGATGCTCTGCAACCGCACTTGCAGCAATCCAGGTGGCTGAGGAAGCCTCTAGCGCGATTGGGCTAGCAGGAGATCCACTTTTATTGATAATTATGTTTCTCTGTCATTTGTAGGTCGTAGTATTTACGAAAAGGTCCTAGTATATAGACTGCATGTTGGACTTTTATGTAAGAAGGAAGCTAGCATTGGTAGGGAGGTCCGCACATGCATCCGCACGCACAGTTGCATGCGCCACCACACCAACGATCGGGACTACAACCTTCAGAAGGGGCAGATGGTCTGCACGAACACCTGCACGCGCACGGGTGCTAACACGATTTTCATTCCGGGCACAAGTGACTAAGTCAAGTCGAGGTCTTGACCTATGATCCATCCATGAGCTTCAGATCATTAGACAAAAAGTACCTTTGGATATGCAGTCAGCCACGACGTTTTGACTAGCTCCTCCACCAGTGTCGACAACTATTATATCGGAAAAGGCCCATCGCCAAGGTAGACAAGGCAATAAGACGCGTGCCAAGATTATCAAGCATTGCGGACATTTGGCGCAGATCCCACTGAAGCACGGGAGATTGATATATCCTTTCCCTGGAAGGTTTTGTGGTCATCCATGTTCCTGTCTTCCGTGTATGGCCTGACTCAATCAGCTATTCAGGCTTTAATTATCATTCCAAGTTGGCATCGGAACAGGATTCCTGAGGAAATAGCCGAGCTCGTCTCGCTCGGCTAGGGGACCAAATCACCCGATTTCGGGGCGGCTAGTATAGCGTCGCCAAGACATCCAGCCCACGAGGCACGCAACTCTATCAGCTTTTGAATGGTGGGGTGAATCCCTGCCACTACTCGCCATTCACGCTAAAAGTGGCGTGCTTCAGAGTTGAACAAATATCTTCACGCTTGTCGGCAGAAATGGAGGGTAGTCTCTCTACGCCGAATTGTACTCTCGAAATCTGAATTTTGCGCTATTTCCACCAGCCCTAGCATGAGCGCCTCGATCGAGAAGACGCCTCGGGCTGTGGAAGCCCCCATCCCCGAAGCTTCTGACACCAAAGATGCACAGTTCCAGCAACCATCACCTGAAATACAGCAGCGTCAGAAATGGTACCAATGGTTTGCGCCTACCGACACACCGGCCGAGCGACGCCTCATTCTCAAACTGGACGGCCTTATCATTGTGTTTGTGTTCCTGGCCTACTGGGCTAAAGTGCTCGACTCGTCCGCCACGAGCACCGCCTATGTCAGTGGTATGAGGGAGGACTTGAAGATGTACGGCAATCAGCTGAACTACCTGAATACCGTGTACATGTACGTGCTTCGCCGACGGTTCGATTGCCAACGTCCTAATAGCTTTAAGGGTCGGGTTTATCACGATGCAGATCCCCTTGACATTAGCGGTACGTTCCGCCGGCTTGGGTCTGACCGGGATTGAGAGAGTCTTACCATTGACATCCTCTGGCAGATGACGCGCTTCCCCGTGAACTACTTCCTGCCCGTCGCCGACCTTCTTTGGGGCGTGTTCACTTTGGCACAATACAAAGCGACCAGCGTCACGCAGCTGTACGCCCTGCGCTTCTTCGTCGGCGCCCTAGGCGGCTTCTTCTTCCCCGCCGTCCAATGGTACCTGGGCTGCTGGTACAAGCGCTCTGAACTGGCGCGCCGCGGAGCCATCTTCTTCATCGCCAGTCAGGTGGGCAGCATGAGCTCGGGGTATATTCAAGCGGGCGCCTACGCCCGACTCAACGGGCGGTACGGGATCGAGGGCTGGCGCTGGCTGTACATCATCTGTAAGCCCCGACCCCTACCCTGATCCAGAGCCCGCATAGCCTTGCTCGCCTCAATCCTAACCACCACCCCAGGCTTCGCATGCACCATCCCCATCGCCTTCCTCGGCCTGTGCCTCCTCCCCAGCACGCCCGACAAATGCAAATCCCGCTTCCTGACCCCGGAAGAAATCCACCTGGCACAAGCCCGCATGGCCGCCGAACACCGCCAACCGCGCCAGCCCTTCACCCTCCCGCGCATCCTCACCATCCTCAAGGGCTGGCGGCTCTGGGTGCTAGTGGGCTTCGCCTTCTTCTTCTCCCAAGCGGACGGCGTCTCCTCGAACAGCGGCCTCTCGCTGTGGCTGAAAGCCGAGGGCTACTCGGTCGAGAGCATCAACACAATCACCACCGTCTCGCCGGCGGTGACGATCGTCTCGTCGATCCTGTGCGGCGTGCTGTCGGACATCTACGACGTAAAGGTGGCGCTGATCGCGACGACGGCGGGACTGAACATCTTCGCCTGTGTGGTGCTGGCGATCTGGCGCGTGCCGGTCGGCCTGAAGTTCTTTGCGTTCTTCCTGTCGGGCACGGCGGATGGGATCGCGGCGATCATCTATGCGTGGGCGAATGAGATCTGCGCGCGCAGCGCGGAGGAGCGCGCGTTGGTGATCAGCGCGATGAATACGGTGGGGAATACGTTTGGGACGTGGATTCCGTTGCTGTGAGTATCCTGGGTGTGCCTTCAGGGTGGCCCCGATTGGTATTATGGAAGTCCTGGCTAATGTGGAAAATAGGGTGTGGAAGACGGTGGATGCGCCGCGGTATCTGATCGGGTATAATTGGACGATTGCGCTGGATGTGTGCATGTTGTTGATGCTGGTGGTGTTGCAGCGGTTCTGGCGGCGGGAGCAGAGACGCGCGCAGGCTGGGGTGTAGCATCCCCCCTGATTGTGGACCATTCAGCTCAAGGTTCTTTCAAGCCATGATGAATGCACTCAGTACATTGATTGACGCACCTTCATCTCGTATTAAGCTCCACAGCTGGTCTTCTGAGTCGCAAGCACAGTACATAGATAGATGTTCCACACGCGCCAGCCCTCAATTCCCCACCCCGAGCACAATCAACATCAACCCTCCCCCAACCCACTACATTCCCCTGCTGGTAACACAATCAGACCAACTCACACTCAATCAAACTCTCAACGCCGCGCTGCGCCGCCCAGATCTTGACCACCCTCAACCCCACCCCCTCCAACAACCCCCGCCACTGACTCTCCGTCCGCTCCCCAGACCCAATACTCATCATGATGAAATCCAAACTCGTCGTCTCCCAATACGCCCCCGTATCCGGGATGACATTCTCATTGATGAGCAACTTACTGTACCCCGGCGTCATGGCGGCAGTCAGATTCGCCAGAATCCTCCGGCAGAGATCATCCGGCCAGTCGTGCAGGATCGAATGCAGATAGTATGCGCGGGCGCCTGTTCCTCACGGTTAGTACGCTACGGTCCATACCACCACCCCGATATCACCCTCCTCCCCCGGCCCTCATCCGGCAAAAGGAACCAAAGGAACCAACTTACCGATAACAGGCTGCGCCGTAAAGAAATCATACCCCATCGCCTCCACCCCCAGCTCCCGCACCTCCCCCGGCACAGACGCCACCACCTCCGGCAGATCCTGCAGCACCAACCGACCCGGCACATCGGGCCACTTCCGGCGGAAGTCGAGAAGATCATGCCCGAAGCTCCCGCCGACGTCGACCAGCAACACGCCCTCGTCGCCGATGGCGGGGACGGCCCCCTCGACCAGCTGGTGCCGCACCGGGTAGAAGCCCGGATCCATCCACCGTGGCCGGCCCTGCGCGTACACACCCATGTGGTTGTTGAAGCGGCGGGCGGTGTCGGGCTCGCGCTGGACGTGCTCGAAGAAGTTGAGGCTGGTGCGGTGGCCGAGTTGGAAGGCGGTTTCGGTGGGGCTGGTGGGGTTGGCGTAGCGGGTTTGGGCGAGGAAGGCTGGGAGGGCGAGGAAGCCTTGCGTGAAGCGGGTGGTCCTGTTACGGGGTGTGATCATCAGTAGGGGTCATGGGGGTGAGGGGTGGGGCTGGGCAGGGTGTACATGAGCGGAAAGGCGTCGCTGTATTTTTGCTCGGTTAGGGTTTTGGAGAAGCCCGTGGGTTGGTAGGAGTCTTTGCCGGTTTCGAGGAGGACGCCCATTGCGGCGAGGTGTTTGGTTAGGCGACCTGTGATAAACGGTTAGGTGGGGGTGGGTTGTGCTGGGACATAGGGGGGATGTGGGCAACGCACCGAGAAGGACCGGGTCGACATTTGTGGTTTTGGCGAGCTGGGCGACGGTCGTGGCTTGGTCGGTCGTGCCGAGCGCCGTGAAGAGACCGACGTTGATTCCGGTCTCGATGGCGGCGTAGCTGGTTGTCTAGACCCGAGTATACAATGTCAATGCTTTCGAGTATTGTGCGCGGTGGATCAGGGTGCGTATTGCACGTACCTCGGACCAGCAGTGTCTGAGTATCGCCTCCCGGGGGGTTTCGAGTGCATACACGAGGGCTCGGGTGCTCTCGAGCAAGTCTATCCGTGTTTGGGGGTTTGCGTCGAGGTATGCCTTCCCTTGGGCATGGATCTGGCTCAGGAGCAAGGGGATGTGGGCAGGCAGGTTTGGGGAAATGGCAAGCTGCGCCACATCGGTCTCCTTGTTGAGGGCGCCGTTCTTGTGTGGCATGGTGAGAGCTGGTATGTGTACAAAGGTAGAACAAGGCTGGGTATGGAAAGCAATTGCAAAACGGAGTAAGACCAAAGACGCGTAGACAGGCACGGGCATATAAGCACGGCCATGTCGGGGTAGGGTTCAGGTTGACACTGACGCTTCCCCTGAACTAGTCCTAACCACATCGATATGACAGGCGGGGAACCATGCAGACGGCTCAATCAGTAGTCAGAAATGCTCTGCCTACAGGGGAGATGTCACATGCCAGCTAGGTAGTCTTTTTACTAGTAAGGGTTAAATCCTTAGTTCACAACGGACTGGACGTAGTCTGGCTCTAGAAGTGTATCGGCTGAACCGGGTGAAAACTCGACTAGGATCTGAGATTAAATCCTCCCGTTCGGCCCACCGGGCTCGGCTCAACGGCAGCAGCCTTTAATATCGAGACAGCACACTAGCCGGAGGACCGGCCTTCGCTGGTCGCTGACAGCGCCATATTAAGATTAGCCGGACGAGGCGACCAGTCAGCGACAAAGGAGCATCTCCAACGTATGATTGCAATCAAATGCAACGCACACCACCTAGCAAAGCAAACATGGTTTCGGTCTATGGACTTAAACCTATCAGGGATAACACAATTAACTTAGGACGCGGACCAGGAAAGCGTCCTTTCCCTCGCAGCTCGATTCCCTGTCTCCTTTTACACCCACACGCGTGCACATTTCTCCTCGCACAACAAACTCAATCTTCAGATGAGGGTGGGTTGAACTCCAATCGCAAGCTCAATGAGGCCTTCCCAATCCATAAGCCATGACTCTCGAGTATGCCAGCCCAACCAAGGGCCCCAAGATCCTCGGGGTGTTTTGGGCCTTTTTCTCCGTGAGTGCTGTCACGGTGTCCGCTCGCCTCTATATCCGATCTCGGATATTGAAAAACGTCGGCTTGGACGACTATATCATCGCACTCGCGACAGTGAGTCTTCTCCCGGTCGGATACTACTCGTATCCTCTGCGGAGATTCTGAATTATGCTAATCGCAACAGCTCATCCTCGCGGGGTACACAACCCTTACCACTGTCGTCGTGGCCCGGGGCTACGGCAAGCACACGGCCGCCATCGTCGAGCAAGGAGGCATGGATCGACTGGAACAAGTGCTGCTGCTCAATTACATCAACTTCGCGCTGGGAATCATGTCATTTTCCATTCCCAAACTGGCCATTGCTGCACTGTTGAACCGAATCCTGAACCCCGGGCGCTTCCACCAGGTCTTCCTGTGGGCGTTGACAGGGACGGTGTTCGTGACATCGAGTATCTGCATCATTGTGCTGTTCACCATGTGCGACCCGCCGCAGGCTTTATGGAAGACACAGCTTTTAAGGCACGGTGCAACGTGCCGGCCGCAAGTCGTGCTGGTGGACTATGCGATATTCACTGGAGGTATACTCCCCAACCCGTCTTAGTGCTGCAAACGTCCGCCACACTTACAATTCCGATATAGTTGTCTCAGCCTGTGTCGACCTCTATCTAGCGGTATATCCCACGGTCGTTCTCTCGTCGCTGCAAATGACGCTCAAAAAGAAGATCGCCCTATGTGCAGCGCTGGGATTCGGCGCCATGTGAGTTGGAAACACCTCTTTCTTTGTAGACGAGCTAACGTTGCTGATCACGCGGGCAGTGCGTGCGCAATGGCCATCGTCAAGTGTAACCAGCTCCCTGGGCTTTATGACACGACGGACTCGACCTGTAAGTACAAATTTCGAAACAGGGACTATTTCTTGCCTAAAACGACCTAGATGCAACCGCCGACCTCGTCATCTGGACCAGGTAAGCCCACCCTCACGCATCAGTGCATGTATGGCAGGACTAAGCATCTTTCCTAACTCAGCATCGAATCGAACGTGATTATCATGGCCTCGTGCATCCCGACCCTCGGCCCACTCTACGAGATGGTCCGCGGCCGGCGCTCGTGGAGTTCCTACCAGCGGTACTACAAGGGCCACGCGATCGAGCTCGCCACTTCGCGCAACCGCCCGTTCAGAAAGCCGATGAACTACATGCTCGCGCACGATGAGCTGCTGACGACCAACATCGGGACTTTGAACAATGGCAGCCAGGACAACATTCTACCGACGGGACAGGTACAAAACAGAGATTGCGCAATGGGTCAGATTCACCGGACGGATAAAGTGGTGGTCGAGTGTGAAAAGGCGTGTCCAAAGACACAGAAACAGAAGCCAGCAGTATAGTCCGATATCTGAAATCCCAACCCAAACAACTATCATCTCGTTCTCTCATCAATCATGACACAAGCTCTCAAGAATCTTCCTCGAATCACCAATTTTCACCAGAAACACCCCCCTCAACCCAAGGCCACCCACTCCTGCACACGCACCGCCCTCGTCCGTCCCAAGACACCCCCCTCCTTCCCCACCGCGACAGCGTAAACCCTGCCCGTGGACGCAGCCACCCCGACCCGATCCGTGACCAAAACCGTCTCAAACGAACTCCTCTCCACCTGGCCCAGAAACACCGGCCCGGAGGTCGTGGCATTCCTCCCGGTCCCCAGACCGAGCCCATAAAACCGCCACCCGACCGTCTCCGTATCCCCATTCCAGGACACATAGACCCTCAACGCATCCCGCTTAGCACTACCATCCAGGTACGCCACGATGGCCGGCTCCTCCGCGGGGGTCCCCGTCCAATTGCCCAGAAACCCACGGTAACTCATCCCCTCCTCGGCGATCCACGCATGATACACCACCTCGTCGTCGGCATCAAACTCCGTCATTGCACCCGCCGACCCCCAGTTCACGAAGACGCGTCCGTCGTCCAGGAACTGCGCGTCGCCCTGCGAGGCCGCGCTGATGCCGTACGGCGCGGGCGCCTCGCGCAGCACCGTCGCTGTCTTGGTGTGGAGGTCGAGTTCCACGACGAGCGCGCGCGAGACGTTGTTGTACACTAGTCCCGTGCCGGCGTTGGAGTTGTCGAAGAAGGAGATGGTTTCTTTGGTTGCGGTTTCTTTGGTTGCGGACTGGGCGTGCCAGCGGGCGTGGTGCTGGAAGCCGAAGGCGAAGCCGGTGGGCAGAGTGAAGGTGGAGGGGTTGGAATAGCTGAGTCGCCAGAGGATGCGGCCGTCGGTGCCGTTTACTTTGAAGATGGTCGAGAGGTGTCGGGACGAGACGAGGTAGTTGCCCTCGCGGTCTTTGTCGACGCTGTTGATGTGGATGAAGTCCCAGCTCGTCGAGGCGGTGAGGGCGCTGTCGGCCGCCGCGGAGGCCAGGGAGATCAGGCTTTCTGTTTGGGTCTGGGTTAGTTGGTGTTTGGTATGACGGAAGAGAAAGGTCGGGGATACGTACCAGCTGGATCGATGTGGTCGAGCGCGTTCCATTCGAAGATCAGGTCGCCGGTTGCGATGTCGAATTCTGCGCAGCGGTGTTACTCCAGTCTACTCGTCTCTCATCAGGCTGCACTGAAAGGACATACCCTGGAAATACCCATCCCCAATCCACTGCTGCGACGCATTGCCCCCATACGCCGACAGGTTCCAGGGCGTGGGCGTGTACACCTCCACCAACGCGGTCTTCCCGTCGATGACATTGAACTCGTGGATGGAGGGGATGCGGTGGTTGGCCGCCTTGGCCGTGGCGACGTGCTGGTAGTTCTGATCCAAGAGCACCTGGTACCCCCAGCCTTCGCCATGGGTGTTATCAATGGTCCCCTGGAAGGCCTGCAGCACGGGCTGCTCGTTGTACGTGGTGCGGTGGAAGTTGCCCACGAAGCCCGCGTAGTAACCGATGCCGGACCAGATCAGGTCGCCGTTCTTGCGGTAGATGTAGGCGCCCGGCTGCGCGAGGGAGCCTCCGTACGGTGCGACGAACACGTACTCGGTGCCGTTGGCGTCGGGGGCCTCGACGGTGACGTTCAGCTGGGGCGGGGAGAGGTCCGGACGCGAGCGGTATTGGCCATCGGCGAGGACGGCGGAGGCTGCGGCGGCCAAGAGGAGCAGGATGGAGACCATGGTGGCCGGAGGATATGTACAAGATGCTCGCTTGGTGTTGTGGAAGGTTTACATCGGAATGCCCGCGTCGTCGCGTGGTTTATATTTGTTTCCGTGTGAGTATGCCGCTGCTGCAGTGAATGGAGATGTCCTTCGCGCCTGCCAGCTATTGATGAAATGGCATCATCCAGCAACACTTTTTCCTCATTGCTCACGGTAAACTACGCAGAAGCTAACACCTCGCTTCTGCATGATATACAACCGGAGGCATCCTAATATGGTTCTGATTTGACGTGGCCGTGCATTGTACCATCGCTAGCCGCGATTACGCGATATCCTCCCGCAATGAGGGCTTCGGGACGAGGTCGCTTGGTCGTGCAGAACCTGTTGCGCTGCTTATCCAGCGCCAATGCATCCAATCGATAAGATAAGATTTGACTCTTCCACAACCCATTAGACGGTGTATGACTTGTTCCGCTGAATGCCTGGGTGTCGGCTTGGGGGTGCCGCAACAGATCCTTGGACCTGACGAGTCAATCGACACAGATTCGGTTGTCCTAGCTCTTACCCCTATCCATCACTTGATTCAAAACTCTGACCTGCAGGTCCCGAGCAAGCCTGCAGAAGGTTCCCACCATATGCATCAGGGGATTTAAGCGAGGTCAAAGGTTGTATGACATTTACCGGCATTCCCGGACAAGCTGGATTCGCCATCGCGCTGCGGGATGGCGACTCGCAATGGGGTCATTGGTGATCTCCAACGGCTGTACTGTCTGGACACTCATACGGTGGGCAATTTAGTCAGATATATGCCGGCTGAAATCATTACCAAGCTATTCATGTTTTCCGTACTGTCCCTATGGATTCCTGACAGTGAACACTGGGGTCTTACCTTGCTGGATAATATGCCGATTATCTGACACCAGCACGCAAGCCAGCATGTACATTGCAGCACAAGTCATCCTACAAACTTTACTCTCCACCCAACAATCTATCTCGTTGCATAACAGTTGGGAGCCTACAATCCGACACTCTCACGTGTTGAGGCATGCATAACTCCTGTGGTGAGTCAGCTGCATGAGAGCTTCACCGCATAAGCGCATAACTCCGCCCCATCCCGGACCTCGGTCCAAGCTGACCCGCCCCCGGTGAGCACATTCCCCTACACGGGCATCGGCAATCTCCGCCCTTTTATCCCCAAAACAGCTAAAGCAAGCAAAGCCAGTCAAGTCTAATCTTTCATTCATGAATCATACACGCCGACATCGGCCGGCTCTCATGCCTCCAACCCCTCCTCATTATTATTGTGCAACACAGGAAACAAAAAAAATTCATCCAGAAGCAAAGCCCCCATAACTAATACTCGAGCGCAGATTAATAAGCATACCGATACGTCGGCGCCATATCGCCCATATACTCCTCCTCGGCCTCGGAGATGGCGTTCAGATCGACCGTGCCCTCCGCAATCGCCCGGTCGCGTTTGCGGTTGTCGTGCCAGATGGCCAGGAAGTACAGGCAGGACATGGCGGCCGAGAAGGCCAGGAAGGAGACGCCGATGATGTAGCCGTTGCGGTAGAAGGGGGCGTCCTTCGATAGGAAGGAGTAGGTGGAGATGATGCCGCCGACTGTTCATGGCCATTAGGGTTAGTACTGACCTGTTGGCGGTATATCTGAAGGGGGGGGTATAGGGAGAAGGGACACGCACTATTGCCGAATCCAATCTGCCAGGCGGTTCCCACACTGCGGCGCCGATGACCGCCCAGGTTCATGGCGAACCAGCACACGAGCACGGGCATGGCGCTGTAGCAGCCGCTCGTCACCAGGAAGAGCGCCCCGTACTGGATGTGGTGCTGCGAGGTGCTGTGGATGTTGATGAGGATGCCGAACCCGGCCATGGCGACCAGCATGGGCAGCAGGGTGAAGAGGAAGCGGTGCTGGAAGCGATCGGACAAGTAGGCGATGCACATCGAGAAGCCGAACGCGGCGGCCCAGGGGGGGATGGAGTAGAACTGGGTCTTGATGGCTACACACACGGTGGTGGGTCAGCGCATGTGCATGCTGGTGTAGATGGTGGGGATAACATGACAACATACCTCCGTAGCCAAACGTCTTAATGATGGTCGGCGCGAAGTACGCGTATCCTGCGCGCAGCACATATTAGTGACAGAGTCCCCATCCAAGAACACTAGGATAAGACATACCGTAAGCCGTGACCACCTGGCCGAAATACATCCATCCACCGATGAAGATCTTGTCTGCAGGTCGTCCAGTCAGTTGCACCGCACACGCAGAAATCATCCCTCCGAGGAAGCACGTACAATCCTTGAACACGGCCAGGATATCGCGCCAGCCCGTCTTCACATCGACTGCCGACTTGCCCGCGTCCTGCGCCAGCTTGTCGCGCAGGAACTCCCGTTCCTCGGGGGTGAGCCACTTGACGTCCTCGGGGAAGTCCGGCACGACGAAGAAGCAGCCCATGGCGACGACACAGGTGATGATCCCCTCGATGATGAACACCCACCGCCAGCCCGCCAGCCCGCGCACCCCGTCCATCTTGCCGAGGCCGCTCGCCAGCAGCCCGCCAAACGCGCCGGCCAGTGTCGTCGAGCTGAAGAAGAAGCTAAACCGCTTCTGAGCCTCGCTGCGCTTGTACCACATTCCCAGGAGATAGAAGCCTATTTGAGCCGGGAGATCAGTATGAAAGAGAAAAAGCCCGCGCGAGAGAGAAACTCACACCCAGGAAACAATCCCGTCTCGAACATGCCCAGAAACCAGCGCGTGGCCATCAATCCCCCCCAATTCTGCACGAAACCCTGACATACCATCACGAGGCCGAAACCGAACATACACAGCGAGACTATACCCCAGGAAAAAAAACATCGCGTCAGCACTCAATTTGCACAAGTAGATATCCGTGGTGTTTTGAGTTGACGTACGCCATGTATGCGGCTTCAACTTCTTCATCAACACATTGGACGGAATCTCGAAGATGATGTATGGGACGAAGAAGATCGTCAGGGCGGTGTTGTATTTCGTGCCCGTCGTGATGTGGAGGTCGCTTTCGAGGCCCAGGACCGCCGCGTTACTGATGTTGACACTGCGCGATTCCTTGGTGTCAGAGAGCAACGAGCATGCGCGCGCACAAAAAAAAGGGGGGGGGGGGGGTTTACCGATCCAGAAACGCCAGGAGATACATCACACACAGGCACGGCACCACATGCCAGTCGATCTTGGCCATGAGCTTGCGCTCGTTGACGGTGCCATATTGCGAGGGCTCCGGCGTCAGGTCGCCGTTGTCCACGGGTTGCTTTTCTGCAGTCATGGGAAAAAGAGGAGAAAGGTGGTCAGTGGGTTGCGATCGCAGGAGACAGAAAGACGATCGCAATATTTTGCGGTGGCTGCTGAGGGGGGAGAAGGGAGCTCACCATCCACGACCATAGTCTAATGCGCGTACGCAGCAAGGGGTGAATGCAGGTTGCTACCGAGGTCTACGGGGGATGTCCCGATATATCTAGGAAAAACGGAAAGAAAAGCAAAAGGAAGAGAGAGAAAAGAGCAAAGAGTCGTCATTGCGACTCACGTACGGGCGCCAATGTATTTAAATGAGCGATCGACTCACAGGCGCACCGGGGCCAGCTGAGAGACGATGATTCCCTTAATCCTTGCCCAAAAAATGTGGTACTCTCCGACCCCGGCGGTGGAGACGAACGATGTGCATGAACCAACCATTCCGTGCAGATCCAGAGTAGATGATGCGCTATGGGCAAGCTACCATTGCCGATCGAGTCATCTTTCCCCTCTCCCGCCTGTGGTCACCAAGTCACAGCTCAGTCTCTGCAGCTGGACAATGATTCCTGGGGATGGGATGTGGTCTAGTCTTACTAGCCTGGATGGCGCTCGGCTTTCCCCGCGGCGGACTCCGATGCCGCTCTCGCGGCCACTCAAGTCTTAATTACTCCGTACCTCTTGGGTGATTGGGTGGGGACGGGGAAATACGAGGTCTTGCTGTCGCTCGGCGAGTCGGCGAGATCGGGCCTGTCATTGCTTTTTCTCTTTCATGTCCAAAATTCGAAGATGTTTTACTCCGTAGTATTCAACTAATCTCACTAAGAATAATAGAGGTTGAGGCCCTTTTCATTGATTTTCATTGATAATTGGTAGACGATTTATTACCTAAGATGTTTTCTAGACTACTGATAGTATTTCCTAATTCAGAGAAAGTCTTTATGTATTCTCTCATTCAGAAGATAGAATTCGAAAGACTTTTTTTGAACCAGAGTATTAGAACAAACAAGAAAGAAGAGACTGAGACAATATGATCTGAAGTCATTGCCTTTGGTTGTTTTTGATCTTATTTGATTAGCCCTTCGATTGAAACCATGTGGGATAGAGACAACCCAGTGGGGTAGTTTGTCAAGAGTGAGTTTTGCTACAGCAAGATCAGCAGCTCTGACCCAGCGACTGCAATCTGGATCGACTCCACCGGTCGCCGATCAGGCTTCCATTCCGGGTCCGACCCAGTTCAAGGTCGGTATCATGACAATTGGTGGAGTACTCGGTCCTCTAGATTCCTTTATTCCTCCTGCCAAAAAGAGGAGAGTGATTATGGTGCATACTTTACTACTGACTTCCACCGATAGCATTACAGCTGCTCCCTACTAGGCAGCGTTCAGCAATTGAAGGGCAAACCTGTCATTCAGAAATAAGACCCACTCCAGCCCACTTAACCCTGAATCAATGAGAGAAAGTGGATCAACCAGTCAGACATACTAATCAGATTAAAGCCTCATATGGCAGTGTGCAGATGATTTCTTCTGCGGGAGCATCGACAATGTGTGATGCGGCTACGTAAGTATTGATCAAATCATGTAAACTCTCCATTGCCTCGGAGCAGCTAGCATACATGCTGTTCGTTTCATTCGTGATGCGTGAGAACTAGTGTTGCGTCCCGATGGGGTGCAAGATAGCAGAGATTCGAAGATAGAAACAATTGATAATTTTAAATCAGTAAGAACAATGGTGATTAGGCTACTCTTGAGAAAGTGTGCTAGATACTACATACCCACAGTCTATCAAACACAACAATTCACCGAATGCAGAGGATAAACACTTGCTTCCGCACTCCCGCGCAGATGAACGTGCCATGTGCCTACATGTCAAAACTCACAGCATCCAACAGCGGTGCCACAGTCATGCAGCATCGTCACGCACCTTTCGCCGTGGTTGACAGGTCGCCTTGGACGCATACCCCAGTACCTTCGACCGACCTACATCCGCCCCATAGGTCAAAGTGGAGGAATTGGCGTCGGACTTGGCCTGGATGACCCCGGCCAAGTACTCCCAGATCTCGAGCCCGGCCCTCACAGTGAGATGGCTTTTGATGGTGAATTGGTGAAGTCATCACCTCATATGTTGTTTCAGCGTCTCCAGCAAGACATGGATCAATAGACCGACATGCGTGAACGCCACACAGGAGAGTGCCGGTCTCGACCAGTGTCCGTCGGTGTAGCGGTGGTATAGGGCGCAGAGGTCGAGAACACAAATGCAAGCAAGCTGGAGTAGATCCATATCGATTCAGGAGTTTCTGCAAATTTGCAAGGTTAGCGCCACTGACAAGATGTTTGATATCGGGATCATGGCCGGCTGCTTTCTTACATGCGTGCGGAAAATGGCCGAACTAATGGTAGCGAACAAGACGTAATGATGCGGGGCTGGAGTGAGGATGGAATAAACCTGAAGGAGACGGGGTATAACATACCCTTATTCCAGTCCAACACTCCGATACTAAAGACAGCAAATGATACTAATACGGCTGCCTAACCACACCAATTCGCATTCCAGCTCCGGGAATAACTACTAATGACTTTTGATGACCGGGAGGCTCGATCTGGGTGACTAGTACCCAGCCTAGATGTGCGTGAGATGCTACGATATCTTAGTGAGGCCAATGAGATTCCCCAGATACAGAATAGATACTGCATCTAGGTACCAATGTGTGCTAGTTTATAGTGCAGTGACGCGGCCTCACCGCGCTTAGAAGGCTTTAGTGGAGATCTTCGGATAGCTTCCGGATCTAGATGTTAGCCTTAGCAGACTCTGAACCGAACTATGCTTTGCAACGGCGTACTCAGCCGATAGGGCCAATGGCTGGGTATACATCCTTCCCGTTTCCCTCTCTCGGTGAGATTTCGAGTCATCATTGTTCCTGCCGCCAGGGAATCACCTCAGGCTGGAAGTGGGCTGGAAGTGGGCTGGAGGAGGAGATCATTGGGACTGAAGGCCAGTGGTCTACTATATTCACTACAATGTTTACAGTGATCCCATGAGTCAATATAATATATCCAAGAAATCAACCGAAAACTGAGGATTCTGCTGAGCGCATTGCAGGCAACTGTCCGTTACACAGTATAGGTAAATGGTAGCAGCCTTCTTTTGTGCTCGGCTAAATACTTAACAGGTCATCTTCTACACTTCAAACAAATCCAAAGATATCAATTCCAGGTTCATATAGTCCAAACCGATAGCGCGTTGCGCGTGATATCAGCAGCCAGGTCTATCTGAAGGCGGTAAGAGCTACCTGACTGTAAAAAGGCGGCAGACTCCCGTCTAGAGCGGAAGACAACCGCCTGGTGCCGGTCAGCTGACCGCGGGCCACCCCGATCACGGTCGGAGTTGAGCCGATGTGTTCTGATGGGCCTTAGGTTCTCGCAGCACAATTCCTAACTCTACTCCGTACATTTCGAATAAGTAGTTCAATCAGCCAAGCACTCGAACAATCCGATTGAAACCTACATCTCTTGCTACACATGACAGTAACCCAGCTCTACGCGACCGATCTCACGGACAGGAAGAGTGGCGACCTCAGGATCCACGCAACCCATTGAACCAAGGGATACCCCCTTCCCTCGAGCCTATAATATGGGGAAGCGGGGAACGGAATCGGCCCTGACGACCCAATTGCCGGCCACACAAAAGTGGCACACTGTGCTGTAACTTACATTCTGCTGGCACAGTTCCCCAATTTCGATTCCAGATCGGCGGGTTGGAATCTTGGATCATCTGCGTAAATCTGTCTTTTTACTCATCGTGATCATGTTTGGTTGACTCTCGCACGGAAGCTTGTCACACGGTGAACACCGGAAAGCTTGTGCTGCTTGTCTCATTGCACGACTTGCTTTTTTTTTTTTTTTTACTTTTTGTCTCCAAACCTGTCACAGCACATTCCAGCGAGGCTTATCCCATGTTGATTGGTGAGGCAGATGATACCCTCATATTATTAGGTTTATTGTCGAGGTGCTGGACTGTACGATTCAGGCATGCTGTTCGGTGCGTCCGGCGGTTTGCCCGCTTACCTTCCAAATATATATCTGTTGTACCCGCAAACCCCAGTCATGTTCCAACACACAACAAGTACCGTGGACCAACACAACAAACTTTGACCAGCTTGAGCTGACCTCCATCACAAAAATAGAATCATGAGGCTGATGCATCATGCGGTGAAGGAATCAAACGTAAGCTAGCAGCATGGTACGCCTAACTAATACTCGAACCACGTGACACAATCAATGCCGGCAGCACTGACCATCGGCAACCGACAATCAGAAAAGACACAGTACTTGGATCGTATTATCAAGGTTCAATATTCAATGCTCACGAATCTAAGCTAAATACAGAAAAAAAGAAAAAAGAAAGAAAAAAGACCGAGCATCTGCGATCCACATTACCAGGATTGACCTCCTCTTCCCGATGAGTACACATAGAAGTACGGCGTACACCCGGAGGGTCGTGTCATCGTTCCCGGGCCCTTGTCACGTCACACCCTTCTTGTCCTCTTCCGAAAGAGCAACTTTACACAATCATTAGGTTCATGTCCCCCACCTTTCTTTCTTTCATGGCCTTGAAACGTCAGAATCTAGTAGTTCTGGTAGGTCCCATAGTTGCCGTAGTTGCCGTAGTTTCCGTAGTCCCCGTAGCCGGCCGGGGCGGTTGTGGCGCTCGCCGTGGCGGTCGAGGTCGCGGAAGAGGCGTCCTCTGCCTCCTTGGCGGCGGGCTCCTCCTCCCGCTTGTACGAGCCATAGTTCCCGTAGGTGCCGTAGTTGCCGTAGTCGCCGTAGCTGGCGGGGGCAGTGGTGGTGGTAGTGCTAGCGGCGGAGCTCGTGGTGCTGGAGGAGCTCTCGTCGCGCTTGTAGTTCTGGTAGTTACCGTAGTTGCCGTAGTTGCCATAGTCGCCGTAGCTAGCGGGCGCGGTGGTGGTTGGGGCAGCCTCGGTGGTCGAGGCTTCCTCCTTCTCCTCCTCGGGCTGCTCGTCGCGCTTGTACGAGCCGTAGTTGCCGTAGGTGCCGTAGTTCCCGTAGTCGCCGTAGCTGGCCGGAGCCGCGGTGGTGGTGCTGGCAGCAGCAGCAGCAGAGGTGGTCGACTCTTCGTCCTCACGCTTGTAGTTCTGGTAGTTTCCGTAGTTGCCGTAGTCACCGTAGTTACCATAGCTGGCGGGGGCGGTGGTGGTGGCAGGAGCAGCGGTAGTCGACTCGTCCTCACGCTTGTAGTTCTGGTAGTTGCCGTAGCTGCCGTAGTCGCCGTAGTTACCGTAGTTGCCATAATTGGCGGGGGCAGTAGTGGTGGTCGAAGCGCTGGAGGCATCGGCATCGCGCTTGTAGTTTTGGTAGTTACCGTAGCTGCCATAGTCCCCATAGTTGCCGTAGTTGCCGTAGTTGGCCGGGGCAGTCGTGGTGGAGGCGGCCGAGGAGGTTGAAGAAGAAGCAGCAGCCTCATCCGCGTCAGCACGCTTGTAGTTTTGGTAATTGCCATAGGCACCGTAGTCGCCGTAGTTGCCGTAGCTGCCATAGTTAGCGGGGGCAGTAGTGGTGGTGGCAGCAGTGGTAGCGGTCGAGGTGACGGCCTCGGCCACCGGAGCGGCGCTCACGCCCAGCATGTTGCTGCCCAGGACGAGCAGGAGGCTCTTGGAAAGAGAATGCATGGTGTGTGGACGTCTCAAGACTGAAGAGGGGAGAGGGACAGGAGATCTAGGACAACTGCAGATGGGTGGTTGGGGAACTGCAAGGCAAAGGCCGGATCGCAGGCTGTATTTATAACTGCGTCTGCGAGATTTCTTTCATCGTCCTGATGATCCATAATTAGCAGCAGGAGAAAGAAACATCCGCAGCCAGAGCAGTTACAGCAGACGGTCTGCTAGACTGCAGTCTATCGACCGGCGTGGGGAAGGCAACCTACAGGTCAGTAAACAGACTGATTGGCCACGTCTCGGATTGTACCATCGCATGGATGTGTGAAGAGAGCCCAAGAACCCAGCCTATGCCAATCAGAAGATGATGAGGAGCAAACGGGGTCCATCGGAGGTCCCGGTTACATGTTGCTTGCCTCACACTCTGTCCCGTGGAGCACCAATATAGAATTGACTCAGATTATTCTGCAAGCCGAGAGATGAGCCTCTCTGCAGGTGGGAGGAGGAGGGAAGGTGGACATTGCCTCGGTCGGACGAAGGAAATGATCCGAAGCGGGGGGGAGGAGTGGGGAGGGAGGGTTAGTAAATGATGTCGACAAGCAAACTTAAGATGCAACAGGCTAGAAGCAGGATTTGGAGGCAAGTGGAAAGTAAGGCATCTTTGCGTCATGTCTCAGATGGGCTTTCTCGGCTTTTGCTGTTGAAAGAATGCGGAGCTGGGCTGTAAGGCGGGCAACACAGCAACAACCGAATATGAGACAGACATGCGGCTAAGCGGCGGATGTCTCACTTGTAACAAATGAGCGGCCTTCCCGTCGACGGGGCACCATGCACTGGCCATGTCTTACTTTCCAAGTCACACCTCCGTCAGTCACATATTGATGGCTATCGATGGCAATCGATGGCAGTTGAAAGTCTAAGATGAGATATTATTAGCAGCGGAGGGTCACGGAGACCTCCCCAAGAAGCTGATATCCACACCTCAGGCCATTCGACTTGGCTGGTTCAAGGCTAAGAATAAACATCCCGCCTGATCGCCTTTCTCACATCTACTCCCATTTTCCTGAAGATTCTTTTCTCTTTCTGCATGTTGTTGGGCTTTCTCTTGCAAATCTAGATTGGCTGTTTCCATGATGAACCTCCCCAGAGATACCAGCTCCTTCGAGGACAAAATGCCCTCTTCCGAGCGCTCCACCTCCACCGATAGGGAGAGGCTCCTCATAGACGAGGAGGCTACTCAGTGGTCGCAAAACAAATTTTCCTCCAAGCCGTTTCTCGGAGGGTGGTTACGAGTTTTGTTTGTGGTTGCTGTTGCGGTTCTGTCGTGTTTGGTGGGCGTCTTCCTCGGACACAATCAGAGGGACATGGACGTGTCGTGCACGCGGCGGACCACACAGTACTGTAAGTCTATCCACACTGGATTAAGTTCAGGAAAAGCTCCAGATGCAGTGTCGTGTGGAGAGATGGATTCAGTACCCAGCTAACGGTGATCGCAGCACCTGTCATCGGCCAAGTCGGCCTCAAGTACCACCAACAACCCTTCAACGGCTCCCTGCTGAAGCAAAATATCTTCCGGCAAGATGCGAGCCCAGAGGTGGACGCAGCCTGGGAGTCCCTCGGTGCCAACTGTATAATTACCCCCCTCCTGCTGCGTGTAGCCACATACTGACCCGACCCCAGTCCGAGCGATCAGGGTCCCCGTCGAGGATGCCCAGAAATCCGGCTTGGCGAAGGACCAAGTCAAGATCCGGGAGAAATATGGCGGGGGATATCCCGCCAACGTGGAGGGCTTTCATCATTTGCACTGCCTGGTATGTCTGGGAATGTACTGCTGTTACGGCCGTGGAGCTAACCCGAACAGAACCTCCTCCGCCAATCTCTGTACTACAACTACGACTACTACCACAACCTTGGCACCGGTGCCTTCACCAACGACGATTACATTGTGCGACACCACGTCTGTAAGTGAACTCTCATCGCTGAACATAATGACTCTGGACTGACAACCGCAGCGCACTGTCTCGACGTCCTCCGCCAGGAGCTCATGTGCAGTCTCGATGTCGGCGTCCTCGGCCAAGTCTGGGTGCATCCGGAGCACCCGGAGCCCTTTGTGGACTTCAACACGAAGCACCAGTGCCGGAATTTTGAGGAGATCCGCGAATGGGCGGAGAAGAACCAGCTGCCAGAGACGGTGCCCTCGGATTTCCTGGAGCCGCCCTTGTTGACGGATCGGGTGTATGAGGAGATTCCGTGAGGCGATGTAACTTAGAAGATTGTATATATAGAGCTGAGCAATGATGACTTGCATATATGACTGCTTTCTTGCCGTTGCCTAGAACATGCATCGAAGTGATCGTGGAAAGCGAACTTTGTCAACCCGATTGTCATTGCGATATAGCAGAGACACGATGCTCATTTAGCACTCCTGTCTCACGTGATCTTAAAAGAACTCTGGGCGCACATACACTAATGTAAATCCTAATGTAGAAGCACTCAACGTAGCCACGGGGCTCTGGAGCTCTGCCTGCCCTCGATACTATCTTTACATGCTCACTTTCCACGTTACCGAACTTCACCGGAGCTCTACCCTGAGTGCAAAATCCGGAAGTGGAAATACCACCAAACCGAGTGGAAATAACCCACCCCCGGCATCACCCACCGGATAATCCCACCCCCGGCCCCGGTCGTCCTCAAAAAACCACTCGCGCCACACCGAATCTGCAATTAAACAACTTAACGCAGAAACTCAAATCCACAGCCCTGAGCCACCACATTCCACCCCAGCTGAGCCCGAATATCCCTTCCTTTTCTCGATAAACGCCATCAAAATCCGAAACAAGCCCACAGGCCCCCAACTTTATCTCAACAATCCCCTCCCCAACCCTAGGTGTACATACATCCAGTACACACCTAACTCCCAAAAACCCACAAGCACAACCCATGCCCCAGGCAAGCAAGGAGCAAAATTCTATATGTAAAATGGACCTCCCGCAAATCTCCGCCCACCTCTCCCCAACCCCCCACGCCTACCCCACCTGCTGCCTGGCCCTCTCCAGCACCCTAGTCACCTACCTGGGGACTATCCTGCCCGCCCACCCGGGCTTCACCCTCTCCATCGGTAGCGGCTCCGGCCTGCTGGAGGCGCTGATCACGCTCCGCCACGGGACTGTGACGGTGGAAGGGGTGGAGGTGAGCGCCGCCGTGAACCGGTACATCGACGAGTTGGATATGAATGTCGTGCAGGGGACGTGGGATCTCCTCCCGCGGGCGGCGCGCGCGGCCGCGTGGATGTTCGTGTATCCGCGGGAGCCTTCGTTGGTGAGGCGGTATTTGGATGGGGTTGAGGGTGGTGGTGGTGGTGGTGGTGGTGCGGTGCGGATGGTGGTGTGGTTGGGGCCGCGGGCGGATTGGGGGGATTATGTGGGGTGTTTTGATGAGGGGGTTTGGGTCGGGGAAGAGCTGGGGGAGGAGGTGGGGGTGGCGGGGTATGAGGTTTTGGTAGTTCTGAGGAGACGGGAGGGGTGAGGGTGAGGGTGAGGGTGAGCTGGATGGATTGACTGGGGTGTTTGTGTGATTTGATTAGCATGTTTGGGATGGGAATGATGTATTTGTGGGTTGTGCGGCGCTGGAATGAGGGTTCGGTGATGCTAGGTGTTGTGAGGTGTGGGAAGGGGGGGCAGAGTGCAAGGGGCTGTGCTGGTGTCGTGGGTTGCATGCTTGCTGCTTGCTTGTTGGTTGCAGCGTATGCATTAGTTGTGGCTCTTCGAGGAGTGCATCTTCCACTTTGCCACCATTCTTGAGCCACGATGATACGCCGAGCGAACCCTGGATTCGACCCGGCAGATTCAGCGAGGGCCTTATCTCAAGCTGATATGGCAGTGGTGACATATCATATGGCTCCGAGCTTTCAGCACGCATCTCGACCGAGAAAGACCATCTCAAAGCAAGCGACATAGCTCTGGCTTTTTCCTGAGATGCCTAACGATTGCAGTTAAGTGAATGTCTAGAGCTCGCCGGGTTGAAAGTCAAGCCTGTGCTGCCCAGTTCAGAATCTCGCAGAAGATATTTCTCAGGCGAAAGATTGACGCTCATCGATGACTTGGCAATATCTGAACCGCTACTTGAAACAAGCAGTTCCACAACCACTGTGGGGTTGTCTCCACTCTTGCGATAACAAGGCAAATGACACCAAGACACGGAATGTTCTTGTTGCGATAATCACGCACCCTTCAATCTCCTCTGTCCGATGAGCCGTTAGAGCTAGATGTGACCCTGACTCAGTGCGGTGGGGTTATGTTGAGTGAGCGGCTATGCAGTGAAGATCTGGACCCTGATACCGAGGATTGCCAATCTTTGTCTATTATGATTTGATTGGTGCAATGGCATGGACAGGCAACCCTTGAAGCTGGAATTTGAAATTTACCCTGCAGATTACTACTTGTCGCGACAGAAGAAATGCAAAGGAGAGCTCAATCGTGCGGCAACACCGAAGAGGGCCGGAAGTATCATGCATATAAATTCCACCAAGATACAAATATCAAACCAAACATGACTAGATCCCAAGTACCTTCTATCCCCAATTAGTCTATAATAAACCCATTCTGGTGTAGCCACGAAACATACATCAACCGATAAAAATGCCTACAGCACCGCCACCTTCTCCCCGCCCCGCAACCAGCGCACCTTCTCACTGATCCCCTCCGCCTCAAACACCTCTCGCAGCTCCTGCCCGAACTGCGTGAAATGGCCCCACGACTCGTAGTGCATCGGCACCAGCACATCGGCCCGCAGCGCGCGGAACAGCCGCGCGCCGTCCTTGCCACCCATCGTGATCTGCAGCTTGGGGCCCTCGGGGTCCTCCGGCATCGACACGTGCGCGTTGCCCAGGTTCATCACCGCGGCGCAGACGTGGTACCGGGCCGCGATCTGCTCGAGCTCCGGGATGTAGACCGTGTCGCCGGTGAAGTAGATGGCGTTGGGCAGGTTGTCGCGTCCCCGGCCGAAGCTTTCGGCCGTGACGAGGAACCCCGTGCATTCGGCGCCGGGGACGTGCTGCGTCGGCGTGGCGATGATGGTGAACTGTTGGCCGGCGATGTGCGTGGTGATAGTTGACCAGGGCTTCATGCCGTGCACGGCGGGCCGCGGGGCGAGGTTGCGCGCGCCGTCGACGGTCGTGAAGACCGGGCGCGCGTCGAGGAGCTGGCGGCCCGGCGGGTCAAGGTTGTCAGCGTGGTCTTCGTGACTGAGGAGGACGGCGTCGATGACGGGCAGCTGGTCCAGGCGCAGCGCTGGGTCGTCTTCGACGCGGAGCACGATGTGGCCGGATGGGAACTCTGTGCCGGCGGGCGAGAAGAACGGGTCGGTGAGGAAGTTGACCCCGTTGATCTCGAGGATGGCGGTGGCGGTGCCGATGTGGGTGATGCTCAGGGTGGGGGCCATTGTTGTTCGAGAAGGTAAACAGAGAGAGAGAATTGGACTTTACCCAGGATGTGAGAACTTGGCAATGCTGGTAGAGTCGAGTGAGTGTGTCCGATAGGGGTACTTATAAGTTCCAATCGTGAGGTCAAAATTCAATGCTGATCTAAGTTCATGACAGATTTATCAAGTTTGGATCACTGAGCCGGCATCCCGCTTGAGATCTCCGAAGCTTAGAGTTGGTTATCAATGCTGCAGGGTTTGTCATTAGCTCAAAGTGACTAAGGAGCTTTCACGTCAGGCGGGTATGATGCCGGCAGGTGGGATGCCGGCAGGTGGGAGGAATTGGGATGTTGACAAATGGTGGAGATTACAAACAAACATCGGCCACACCCGTTTCCACGGAACCGGTAACTAACCTTTAGGTGAGGACTGTTAACTTATAGATAAATGGCTTCTTCAATAGGATGCGAACGCTCAGACTGGCTATAATGAAAGCAGTGTAAATGAGAGAGAATTGACCACAGACACAATATTGTACTAGTTGCTTTGAGTGCCTGAGATCATCGCAGTGTAGGGACAGCCGTCAGAAAACCTGACTGTCCGACCTTATGCACCAAACACCCCTATAAACCCAATTCCTTCCCCAAGCAGACTCTGTTGATGAATGGATTCGCAGAACAGTGATTGATACATGGTATATGCTTGCCAACCTGCGATCCATCACGCCGGAGTAGAGCACAGTGATATGCAGTTGCATTTTTACGATCCGATTTCAACTTTGGATGTATGCCGACGAGTGTGATGCATTGCCAGTTCTAGTTTATGTGGATAATACACAACCAACTGGATCATCATATTTTTCCGCAGAATGTTGCAGTTGTGAAGGCTGAGGGGATTGCGCTTAGGGCTTGTTCACTTCCGCGGCAATGTCGACCCGAAAGAGGTTAGCACAGGGCTGGACTCTTCATATGAGGGACAGTACATCAGAAAGGTAACATCCACTTGATATCCATATCATTCTATCACTCGGCAGAGAATTCGCGAGACAATGTTCTATATCTATCACCACCACGCGCCACTTGTAACGGTATCACGTCCTGGCCTGCATCCTCTCCATCTCCTGGATCATGGGACTGGCCTTCCGGATGCGATGCCCGTAGAAGTAAAACACCAGCGGGATGGAGATGCACGCCGCCTCCACCAGCCCCAGCAAAGTGCTCGCCCAGTTCAACCCCAGCGTCGCATACATGGAAGGTCCGGCCAGGGGCAGGCACGCTCCCATGATGCTGCGGGTGAGCATGTTGCCCGCCAGCGCCGAGGCCGTGTAGATCCCATACGAGCGGGCTATGTAGTTACTGGCGTAGATGAACACGCACGCGTTGCCCGCCCCGAACGGGACACCGGAGAGGATGGGCACGATCCAGTGCACGTTGGGCGTGCACGTCCACGCGAACCACAGCTGCCCGACGGCGAGCAGTGTGGCCCCCAGGCAGACCACGCTGGCCATGGCCTCAGGAGGCACGAGGCCGGTGGCGGGATCTTTGCGATGCCGGTTGATGACCCGGCGGAAGAGCGGCTCGCATGCGATGGCCAGCAGCACGCCGACGCCGATTCCGACGAAGGACAGACCGCCGATGCCCGGAGACCAGCCCCGCTCAGTCTGGAAGGCGATGGGGAAGGCCACGAAGCAAAGGTAGAGGACGCCGTAGATGAGCGCGACGTAGATGTCCCAGAAGATGCTGAGATTTCGAGTGTAAGTAAGTGTTGACGAGGAGCTGGACTGGGCAATCTCTTACCAAATGGGCTCGGTGAAAAGCATGACGAACGGCCGGCTAAAGCCCGTCTTCACTCTCGCGGACAGGCTCTCCCCGACATCGTACCGCGTCCACCATTTGGGATCGCCGGTCTGTTGGCGCATCTTGGCTGCTCGCTGGCGCAGAATCACCGGCGCGTAGGTTTCGCGGATGCACGCCATCAAGGCCATGATGGCACTCCCGATAATCAGCACTAGCCAGTTCGTCCACCGCCATCCCAGATGTTCGAACACGAAGCCTCCAATGATCGGTCCATAGACGGGCCCGTTCGTCGGACCGATGGACCAGATGCCGAAAGCCATGGCGCGGTGCTCGTCGGAGACCACATCGTTCACAGAGGCGGGCGAGTTGCCCATGATCGCGCTGCCGAAGAATCCCCCAAAGAATCGGCTGATGAAAATGGCTTCGATGTTCGTGGCCAACGCACTCGGGAGGATGAGGATCAAGAAGAGGGCCATCGAGAAAAGGTACACGGGTCGCCGGCCGATGATCTCGCTCAGCGGCGCGAACACGATCGTTCCGATGCCCATACCGCAGAGGTAGGTTGTGACTCCGAGGAGGCCGACGATCTTTGAAATGTGAAACTCTTTCTCCAGACCGGGAAGTCCAGACGTGTACAGCGTGCTGAACAGGCTGACCACGGTCGCACCCAGGCTCATGCTGACCACCGTCAGGCCTCGGTACCAGATCGGCCAGAGGCGGGGATTGGCCGGGTCATTCGGCTCCCAGTCCAGCTCGTACTCCGGGAGGTTGGCTAGACTGGGTAGCTTAGATATCGTGGGCTCAGTGGTCTGGTGTGTGTAGCTCTCTGCATCAGCAGTGTAGCTGCGAGTCAACGTCGCATCCTCGTTCAACGCGCGTTCGGAGTCAGGGGCCTGCGGGTCAATCATTGTAGTGAGCCTATCCTGGAGACCAATCTGCGCTAAGAATGAAGACCGTTTGGCTGACATTTATACATTTCTCCCCCACGGGTTTCATATTTTGATATAGATGGGCCCGGTGGGATGAACCGAGTGGGATGCCGGCCAACTGGTAGAGCTTAGTCAATCCCACATCGAAAGGGGGGAGAATCTTTGCTCCTTCCGCCACTTCCATTTCTATCCCACTCACCACCGAAAGCTGACGACTGTGGGACTTCTCTGAAAGTTCTAACAATGCCATCTCAAGCAAATGCTCGACCAGCCAAGCCCCATTTTCCATGTGTTCATCCAGGCTGCCGCGCGACTTACCAGCGCAAAGAACATCTGAACAGACATTTAGCACGCCACGACCGGGCCCATCGCTTCTGCTGCCCACACTGTAGCAGCACTTTAGCCAGAAGGGATGTCCCCACTGCCCTGTTTCTAATGCAGGACAGCCCTACTGACTTCTCTTCCAGCGACCTTCTCCGCCGCCATGTCCGGATCTACCATCCCGACAGGCAGCCTCCCTCGGCCCGGACACCCAAGGCCTGCAGCAACTGCCATGCACGCAAAGAACGCTGTGATGGCGGCAGTCCCTGTGCTCGATGTGCGCGACGAGGGGCGAGCTGCTCACGTAATCCCCATCTGGATCTCGCTCACGAGGAGGGCTGTGAAAATGTTTCGGAAACCCGGGGGCTTCTCAGCGTCGATCTTGTGGCGTCAGTCGCCGACGCATCCCGGTGGATCGGCATGAGTATATCAACATCTACTTCAACAAATTCCATCCCATCTGGCCGTTCCTTCATCGGACCACCTTTTATCCAGCTAAGGAACCATGCATCCTCCTCCAATCCATGTTGATGATGGGGTTGTGGATCAAGGGGGACCGGGAGGCGCGGCACACGGCGATGCGGTTCCACGACCGACTATTGTCGGCGATCAGGGCTCAAAAAGTGAGCGTGGACATCACCCCAATCCATCAAGACTAGTCGAGTCGGAAGGGTAACCTCGCACAGGATCAATGGCATGTACCAGAGTCGATGGGACACCCTGACGATAGCAGACCATGGCCCATGGCGACATACCAGAGCATCCTTCTGCAACTGATATTCGCCGTGCTGACGGCCAAACCGGAGGTCCAAGTGGACCTGAACTGCCGCTTCCGGCTCCCAGAACCTACCTACGAGCTTCTCACTGCGCTGGTGGCCATCTGCCGCCGACTGGGGCTGTTTTCGTATCCGAACATGCTCGCCCGGCATCATTCGACTGCCCCGGTGGCGCTTGTTTGGGTGAGCGTGGAGGAGATCAAGCGATTTGGTTTGGCTTTGTACAAGCTGTGCCGTTTATGCAGCAGCAGCACCTCCTCTAGTCGAGCGAATACGGACAGTGGTGCGGATGAGCTTCTGACACTCGCGGACTTGGACTTTAGTATGCCGGATAGTGACGACTGGTGGAATGTTGCCTCAACGACGGACGCCTCGACTCTCCGACACACGGGCTGGCACTCGACAGCCAGGGATAACCGCAACCCCGGTGGCTGGATCTCCCAGGCGTCAGCTCATCTGCGTGACCCTGGGGTTAGGTTGGACTGGATCTGATTCCTTCCGTGTTGTTACAGAGGTTCGTTCTAATAGTCACTGTTACTGCCTTGTTTGTTGCTGACCACCCTGACAGAATACCTAGCTCGACGAGAGAGTCAACCAGTGAGATAGAAAGACAATGCCAAATTTATAATCTCACTGTGCAGCCACGATGCCATTACTACGCCTGTTGAACAAGACTATTCCGACTAGCAACCGCAGGAGAGCTGAGATAATGCACATGAGGGACTAAATGGGGGGTTTTTGGGAGCCACCCAAAGGAGGTTTTGCACAAGGAGAGCGCTGCTCGAGCGTTATTCTGGCTTGTGCAGTCAGGGGCCTGTGTCAATACAAACATATGTACCGATCCTCTGCGCGGCATTAAAACACGTTTGATTTGAAATGGGATTTGACTGCTCGTTGATCGCTGCTGATCGGGACCTCTGCCATCGGTTGCTCTCGCACATGCTGGGAAGTCTTCATCCCTGGAAACCACCCTTACATGATGAAAAGATCAAGCGGATGATCAGTGTAAGTTGACAGGAGCAGAATTATTGATTCGCCTGCAAAGCTCCAATCAACACGGGGTCCAGAAGCGAGAATTGGGTCTGACGGTAACGGAAATGACAGGTCCGAGATGGGGACGGTGCGGAATGTGACTCGTGGCACAAGCAGGTGGTCAAGGCAGCGAAAAAAACCTGATAGGCAGGACTCGAAAGGAACAGGGGAAGAGGAAAAGGTAAAACATGCCAATAATGCTCATAACAAGGAAGATCAGAAGGCAAAACAGGAGTCAAAGAGTTATATAGATGAGGTCTGTGGCTTATACCGTACTTCGAAGATCCTTTGATCCCGCGAGAGTGAGAATATTCACCTCTTAAGAGAGCCGTGTTCGAGCAAAAAGGATTGGTGGCAATTTAAACGTTTCATAATCAAAGATACCTCGAATATTGCTTCCGCAGAAGTCCGGACTATAGCTCTTGGGGATGTCGCCGACGGAACTATCTACTATCCTGGTATCGGAGAATCTGATGAGTTCCCGCGGCCATCCTGATCATTCTGCCCTTCTGCGTACTCTGCCCAGCTCACAAATCCAAGCGTCAACGGTCCGGCTCAAAAGACGAATAGACCAGGCTTGCAGTCGCATCTCTTGCAGGTCCATTCTAGTCTCTGAGCCGGAACTCACTGTGAAAACTACCAATGTCATGGTGACACACAAGGTTGAGATGCGTCCTGAACGGTGATGTGCACATTGCACAACTTGTCCCGTTGAGAAATGTGTGGTGATCCAGGTTAGAGTCGATTCTGTCTTTATCTTCCATATTACTCCCCTACTTTTCCCAATCGAATTTGGGATGCCGGGACGAAACGGATAAGTGAGTCGAGTATGTCTCGATGCGATGCGGGAAGTCATGAAGATCTTTCCGACACCACTCCCGTATGGATCTGATGCCGGCATATAGTGTCTGCAGCTCTTCTGGCTATTCTTTCCGGTAGTACCACGGCGGGAAACAAAACGATGAATCAGATCGCGGGACAGATACCGGTAGATTCATATGCAGTGGATCCCAATAACAAGGGACATCTGCTAGCGGTATAGTGCATGCCTGGGCCGAGGATCTCCTTCCAGGCTGGGGGGCTCGTGTAACCTTTCGAGAGAGAATTGTGATTTGGTCGATCACCAATTGACCTTTTGAACAGAGAGAAAGCATTCACAGGAGACCGACGTTTTGGAGCCGGCTGCTTGCTGATGCAGATTTGGTGAGAGTTGAACTGCTTTGGGGCAGTTCGGCCTTAAATAACCACGATATAGGGCTTCGCGCAGTTGTACATGCTGCGGAATGTAGATTGTGAGGGGGAGAAATTGCTGAAACTCCTTGCGATGTGCTACTCACTGTGAGAGTCAGTGTGTAGAGATGTAATCCTAATTAGGGCATAGCTCCTCCCCCAACACCGCCGGGGCTCCCGGCGCAGCTGGCTCCTCATCGCAGCAACGACATCGAACAGGCGCAGATCAGAATCTCCGCCCACTACGACACCTCCAACGTGCTGTCCTCCTACTTCCTGTCGCCAGACATGGACTACTGTATGTCATCTTCTCACCTTTTAAAGACAGGGAGGCGGTGGAACAGGTCCTGCACGTGATGGCTAATACTTCTGACTGCCTTGCACAGTACAACTTTGTCGTGGCAGAGACGAGCTTCCGGTTGCAGCTGTTGAGTACCTTTAGCCTCACGGCGGCGAGGACGCCCGGGTCGGAGGTTAGCGATGAGTCGTTGCCGTATGTGGAAGTGTAAATGCACTCTTTTTTACCGGGTTGGAGAGGTCAATACACGGACCTGCATGATGATACTGCGGGGATTTGTGTCGAGATAGAGGAGATATCCCTTGACTGGACACCGTTGATCTGTCTCCTACAACGGATTGCAAGTCTAAACGGAATGAAAGGGATACTAGCACTTCTAGTCTCATGGGTAGAAATATACAGCATAAGCTCGAAAACACTTAGTGAGAAGAAAGTAATGTTTGAATGCTTTTTATTCTGATTTACTCATCATCTTTATGCACACTAACACATTTCTCGATATCAATGAAAACTTGAAGACTTGTAAAGCTAGTTGATATCCTTGATTCCAGTATTAAAGGTGCCCAAAAGTGTACAAATACTAGTCTCGGTGACTGCAGGACTATCTTATCTATTCATTTCCTTCAGCAAAAAAATCATCTATTTTTGATCCCTAGAAATATATCAGTAAGCCCGTCCTAGAGAGAGCACACTGTTTGCTACTCTATCGCTCTGCAAATCTTCCCACGTCGCAGTTGTAAAATCCACCTACCCTCCCTTTTTCTGATGCAGATCAAGTAGAGGCACACTTCCCACCCGTACAAACCAACTCATCGGAGCAATCATTCTCCGTTTCGCAGGAAGCTCCTACGCACGTCAGCAATGCCGATCTAAGCACCGGAAACAGGAACTTGAACCTACCCGCGCAATGGCCCTCCCAGGAGCAAGACCCCGTAGCGGTGGTACCTGTTGCTGCAGCACTTGCACTCGCACTCGCACTCACAGTCTTACTCCCCGTAGAACCGGTACTTGCGCCTGGTGTAGAACCCCCCTTCAACCCTGCCGCCTCCACAATATCCCCCAACTCCGTGCCAATCTGCACCTGATACACATAGGTATCGATGGCAACCGCCTCGCCGCGATACGCCCCGAACTTGGGCTCCGTCCGCCCCGTCCACGTATTGGCCGTCAGCCTGGGTCCTCCCCCGGAGGTCCCGAGGGTCTGCTGCTCGCCCTCGAAGTAGAACTCCACCCACCCCGGGCGGCCCGTGTGGATCACCATCCCCACCGCGTAGACCGTATCGGTGTCGACGGTGCGGGACCACTGCGCCTCCCGCCCACTCGAGCTATCCGCCTGGTACTGCAGGTGCAGCTGCCCGCTTTTGAACTCGAGGGAGAGCGGGATGTTCGCTCCGTTGGCGGCGGCGTTGTTGCCGGCGTAGGCTTTGCTGGATTCCCCATTTCAGATCAGCACACCGATCATATCTCATATCGCTTGTTGGCCAAGGAGAAGAAAGGAGGGGTACAATTGGAAGATCATCAAACTCTGCTCAATCACCCCCAGCGAGAACTTGTAGCCGATGTAATAGGTCTTCCCTTCTTCGATCTTGTTGGCCAGGGCGTGGTACTCGGCGCGGATGTAGTCCTTCTTGCGGTGGTAGTGCAGGGCCGGGACGCCATGCGGGTCGCTGGCCAGCTTGATGTAGAGGTCGTTGGTGTTCGTGGAGATCTTTTGGTCGCGCGCTTCTTCGAGGTTGAGGATGCCTAGGGTGGAAGGGGGGTCACCGTTGGCGGCGGAGAAGCTAAGGAGGGGGGTGGAGAGGGCTGGAGGGAGGAGGAGGGTGAGTGTTAGGGCGAGGGGCGAGAGATGCATTTTGTGGTAGAGAGGTGCTTGGTTGGGCTGGGTGGAAGTGTCGAGGAGAGATACGTGATTACCTCGGGCTCAGGACATGATGGCTTATCCGGGTTAGGTCCCAGGTTCTTATAGCGATTCAGGGTCAGGTGTTTGTGGGCAATACGAACACCTCGTGGGGGCCAGACGGGCAGAATTGTTGGTGTTCTCTACCGTGATGAGCGAGAATCAGACAGGGTTCAGGGTCTAACATGTAGGGCTGCAGGCACAAGTGAAGGATGAAAGAATGGGGCCGAGTTGGAAGAGCCGTGGCGGCAGATGTGCCTCGGATCCTTCCATCGGCGATCCATTTGCCCTCTTCGGTTACATCTCCCTGATACCCTCAAACCACGGGGGCCAAAATCGTGATCGACTTCCTACACAACGACAGATCAATTACAGCAGCTGGACCAGATACAGAGGATGTGTACTTTGATACAAGAATTGGACTGTTTGGTCTCGCTTCAGATTCCAAATATAGAAATGATCGGCCCATGACATTCTGGCCGGTCCTGATCCCTCGGCGGGCTCAGGTCAAATATGCCAGAGAAAGGCTACTTGTTATATCTCCTTCATTGATCTCAACAATAAGATCAGTGATATAACAGGCGCAATATGCGCGTTGTGACACACGGCGTTGTTTCCCTTCTGATAAGCGAGGCCCGTGTCCATTTGGAGTTCGGCTGTCGAAATTACCGGAATAGGCAAGATGTCCGACTCCGATGCCGAGGGCCGCGCCTCACAAAGCGATAAGCGATGAACTTCATTCTCGATCTGCTCAGAATGTCTTTCTTCTCCCCACCCTATCTCTTGCGTGTGCCACTCTCCATGATCGTTTGCTGAAGGCTACGGTATTAAATGGCAACCCCTCGTCGCAACGGGCAGCTTTCTTCCTGCGAGCCATGCAGAAAAGCCAAGCTACGATGCGACCACCAGAGTCCCGTTTGTGGACGATGTCTCAACACCAATCGAAATGAGCTCTGCTTCTATCACCCAGCTCCTCAGACCCAGCCGCGTGCATCCCCCATTGGCGTTTCATCACGAAGATCAAGAAAGCAAAGACCAAACAATCAGGTCACCTTTCGTGTGGATAAGAGAATATCCACCGCAGCCGCGCAAGGTCCGCTGCCAGCTTTGCCGTCGGGTTTGTCGCCGGTGATCGAAGACGCAAAGACACTATGCGACCAGCTCCTCCCGCGATGCGCTGGAAAGAACAAACGGAACCAAAGACCAGGTCTTTTCGGGTTGATCTCACCCCAAGACATCTTTAGCGAGTATGAAGATAGCTTGCAAAACGATGATCTCGCTCCTGAAGCGGCGGCATCGACGACCACGGCTCACCCAACCGACCGTGACTCAGGTCAAATCAAGCGTGGGGCTCAGATTCTGTTGCTCCTGCAGAAAGTCCGTTGGTTCCGTGCGATCATTGAGCTCAAGAACAAGACCTCACCTGGATGGGTTTTAGGCCCTGCTTTGACACGTGTCCTGTGCGATTCCATGGAGAGGATGTACGACTCGGCCGTGGGTGGCTCTCCGGACACGCACGCATCCTTACTACGCCTGTCGCGCCAGATCTGTACCAACACATCGGAGGATATCCGAACGCACGCAGCCATGAGCGCCAACGAGTATTTTGAGTCGATCACGGCACGGTGGGAGACCGTCGGTCTCTTCTTTGCATTGCTTGGGACAGCACTGTTCAATACCCCCGACAGCGATCCCGTATTCACTAATCAAAACCCGTCAGAACTGTCGAAGGCTCAACTTCGAAGCATTTCCACTACGGCGGGGGAGCTGTGCTGCCAGTTCTGCAACAGCGCCGGAACCAGCAGTGATCCCCTTTGCTGGCTCATGATCCAGCAGGTACCCCTTCTGACTTCGATGTTTGGGGATAGCGGTATGTACTCCTCTCCTTCGTACATTCTCGCCCGCGAAATTGGACGGCGGCTGAAATTGCGATAGACTACAGAGTGTGGCAGAAGCTCGGAGACTTATCGACCATCGTTTATGCATTCGGTCTGCATCAATCCGATCGAGACGTTCAACCAAGCCTCCCCTTCTTTTTGGTGGAGATCCGGAAGCGGGTGTTGGTAAGCGCGTATGCAATGGACAAGGAGCTGGCAACCTCTTTAGGGCGTCCCCCCCGGATCTGCTCGCGATACTGTCATCTCCCGCTTCCCTTGGATATTTCCTATGAGGAGATGGTTCTTCCTGGTACCACGGAGGAGACCGCACTACTGAAACTTGATGCGAATGGTTGGAACACAGAAGGGAGATTCACGGTGGGTGTCAAGTTTCGCGTCGTGTTGATGACGAGTCTGCTGCGAGAAAACACCTTAGAGCTGTCGCTAAGCCCCGAGATCCGGAATCTTACAGCCAAAGTCGAGTTCGTTACATCTGAAATTCCTAGCATACTATTATTTAAAACTGACTTCCGCGAGAATGGGCACAGAGACTTGATCCAAGAGTGCCGAAAGGTGCAACAAAGCCTGCCTACCTTCATGCGTTGGTCGGCCGAGGAAGCGGCGACGGGTGCATACCGCTCAGCCCAAGACGAGGGCCGCGTCTTCGCACACATGGAATTCACCTACCAGGAGTTCTTGTTGCATCGCATCCTACTCAAGCGCCTGGGGGTCACATCACTAGGTCTTATAGAGAGCGCCGTTGATATTCTGACGACACTGCTGGACATCATTGCCATGCAAGCTCGATCGGGGAAGTCCGCTATCAATATGTCCTGGGATGTACGACTACTTTTACCATTACAGACCCTCTGCGCTGGGATCACAATCATCTGACCTATCCATATCCTACAGTTGTGCTACATGGGCCTGCCTGCCGCGGGTGTGCTGACCTCGCAACTACTTGCCGGGCGCAATTCCCAGATACCACCGTCGAGCCCGCCACCGCTACCGGCCAACTTCCGCTCCCGCGCCGTTCAGAAGCTAAGTGTCTTTGTTTCCCATCTGACGTCGCTAGTGCAGAACCACGAAGGGAATTATGAGGTGGCCCAAAAGGGGGCGAAATTCATTCGATGGGCATTGGACCAGGTCCTTTCGCCCCCGCCAGTTCCGCACCCGGCTGTATGGAATGAGAACCCCGACCTGCCGCAGGGCTGGCTTCTGGACAGTGATTTGACTGAGGACTTTGACTTTTTGGCATGGTGTGATACTGTGAATTGGTCGCAGGACTCCTTTTTAAGTCTTGCATGAGCGGGATATCTGGATGTACAAAGTCTGCGTCACGAAAGCTTTGTCTTAATACAAAGTTTTGACAACAAAAGACAAGCTCGAGGCCAAAGATAGTGATGGAGACCAAACAGAAAATCGGGTTCTATGAGGGAGATAAGGACAAGGTTCGGTTGCATGCAGTGTGCGATATTCTTTGCTCTCACACACCATGCGGATAATATATTCCACAGTACTTAAACACCGCCAAAAGCAAGCAATTACTTCAGAACAGTATGATCGACCGCCTCCGGTACCGTGACCAACCCCCTCTTCTCCTTCGTCCGCCACTGCATCGCCTTCAAAATCCCATACAAGACGGTCAACGTCGGCATGGCCACTCCCTTGGCCCTGCCCTCGCGCACCGCCTCGCCCACCAAATTCTCAAACTCCGTGAACCGCCCGCTCCGCACATCCACCTGCATACTCGGCGGATTGTACATGGTGATGGGATCCATGGTGATCATAAAATCCAGGGTCTCGTCGGGCAGCTCCACGCCCGCGCACGTCTTCGCCGCAGCCTGAATCTCCCGCATGGCTGGTCTGACGAGGTCCTCAATTGCCCCCTCCGCCAGCTGAATCCTCCCCGTATCAAGATCGGTGATGGCACAGATTGGGTTCAGGCACGCGTTGTACAGCAACTTGCGCCACCGACTAAAAGCCACGTCGGGGTTGAACTGCGGCTGGCACTTCCCGCCCGCGCCGTAGATGCGCACGAAGTCCTGCGCGGCGGCGTCTTCGACCTCCGGAGCGAGGCCCGCATTGCGGAAGGCGCCGATGTACAGCTCGTCGTCGTCTTCATGGACGATCTTCCCCGGGGCGACTTGGTGAGAGCCGCAGAAGCTCACGCCGCTGAGGATGATGTTGGTGGGGAAGGCGGATTGTAGGGGTTTGTGGATGTTGAGGCCGTTTTGGAGTAAGACAATGCGGGTGTGGCCCGGGGTGACGGCGGGATGGATTAGTGTCGCCACGGACGGGGGGATGTCGGCGTAGTTCTTGGTAGTTACGATGATGTAGTCGTAGGGAGGGAGGGATTCGGTGGTGAGGTCGGGGATGGTGTTGCGGACTGGTCTTGGGTGTTAGCTGAGACGATTCAGGAGGCTGAGGTCGTTGAGGTCGTCGAGAGAGGGCGGAACAAGAGGGGTCCGTACGAATGGATGGTTTGAAGCCTTCGACCTCGCCGTGGTCGATGGATTTAATGGAGAAGCCATGTGCCTTGACATGTTCGTAGTTCGATCGCAAGACGGCGGTGACAGTGGCTTGGGCGCCCAGTTCGAGGTTGAGGGCCCCGATGGTGCCGATGCCGCCGCAGCCGATCAGGAGGACGTTAGCTTTGTTCTGCATTTTGGTTGCTACTGCTGTGATTAAGCAGGATGATGTAGGTTGGTCTGGGCAGATAAATATCGAGCCGGAGGGGTTGGGGGTCGAGCAAACGGGGTTCCAGGATCCAAGTTATCTCGCAGCTTATCAGATTAGGGCTGCAGGCTGGAGGATGTCCTTCGATTTCCCCGCTTTGGGAATCAAACAGGCAAGTCATCCCGGCTTCACTTTCCGTTCTTATCTCCGCCTCTTCCCCCTCTTTTCCTCTTTTCTCGAGATGACCTCCCCCATTTGATCGCCATGAATTGCGTGTTTATGATTTTTTCTTTATCGACTTTATCGATAGCCTAACAGATACCATGACCGATGAGCAGATAGCCACGACGCCTTCCCCGCACAGCCTCAAGCCCGCCTCCACCCGGTCACGGTCGCTGGGCGGCTGCGAGACCTGCCGCCGTCGGCATGCCAAATGTGATGAGACACGGCCATCCTGTCAGATGTGTGAGCGAGCGGGTCTCATTTGTGAGCAGTATGGCATCCGACTTCTGTTTGACTCCGGGGAGAGTCAAGGCTCGCGTTGTCGACGGCCGCTCTTCACCGAGCACTGCCGCCAGCAGATGAGCGAGCAGCTGGTGGCCAGCCTCAAGCCCCACAATGTCAACATTGTGCTCTCTCGATTGGATGGGGACTGTGAGGAGAGGGAGAGGGACGAGACACCCCCGACTCAGAGCTTCTTCACTCAGTTGGGACCGTTTGGCGCCTTTCGTCTCGTTCAATCTAAGCCCGACCCCAGCCCCGTCTTGATAGAAACTCTCCCAGCACACTCGGAGTTACCACTGGTAGAGATTCCTCCGGAAACTGGGCTCGATCTCGCGCTAGAGGATGCCTTTGCTAGTGACCCCTTGCTCGACTGCCTCTTTGGTAACCTGGAAGTCGATGGTTTTGGGGAGCTGTCGACGCAGAACTTCTTCAGTGCTGCCATGCCGCTATCCGAGGGGGATGGCTTCTCCTCCCCATCCCAGTCCCTCACCAGTGGCTTGCTGATGGGGCCATCGACCGCCTCGTCAATGGGGCTGTCGTCTCCATTCTTGTCCGCACCAAGTCTGCGGTCCCCTCCGACCGTCACTAATCGCGCACCACCCGACGCTCCTTTCCTTCTGTCGGTCTACAAGCACGACGTAGTACCACTCTTCTCGCTAGTCCAATCGCGTAAGAATCCCTGGGAGGCATTGTTTGTGTCTAGCGCCATGGAGACCCTGGCCCGACTGACCATGGGTGAGAACGTTGCACCGACGCAGATGACCATCTTCAGCGCCATCCTCGCCACGGGCGCCTTTGCTCAACGAGGAGCCTCGGCCACGCGCAGCTCGGCAAATTACTGGGAAGGGCAAGCAGAAGGCCTTGCGGCGGAGGCGCAAACCTACCTCAAGCGGGCCTTGCGAGACGCGTCATCGACCGTCAAGAAGGTCAAGTACAAAGACATCCTCATCGCCCTCCTGTGCATCCATACCGTCTCGGTAGGCATTCCTGATTCCATCATCTTGGACATCACTGATTGATCCAGGCGTATCAGGGTAGCGAAGAACGCGTCCGTCGTTGTCTGCTTGACTGCGAGAATTGGGTGCGCTTCCGTGGCTTGCCCAAACCCCGCAAGTCGCGCAAAGTCCGCCTTCTGCACCACTGCTACGTCTACCTACGCATCTTTCACGAAAGCACCTCGGTGCTGCCCCCCGTGCCGCCGGATGGGGAGATTGACCATGCTTCACCGGAGGCTACCGTCGGGTCCATCGCGTCCAGCCGGTCATTCCGGCTTCGCCAATGGGAAGGCCGCCTCGACCAACGCATGGAGGAGCTCAAAGAGCCGCACCAGGGCGAGAACGACCTCCACCTGGAGATCCCCGGGCGGTGGGACTCGACCATGTATCCGCAGGTGTTCGGGCTGCCGGAGCCGCCGTTCTTCCTCCTCTCGCAGGTGACTCGGCTGGGCAACGAGCGGGATCTGGCCGACGCCGGTAGCAGCAGCAGCACACTGGACTTCAAACAGTTCAATGCGCGGGCACGCAGCCTCGAGCGCTGTATTTCCGCATGGCGGCCGCCGGCCCTCGCTGGCGAGGTTGATGGCACGTCGGATGCGGTGGAGCGCCGCAACGCCCGCCGCAGCTCCCAGCTCAGCAGCGTGTTGCACAAGGCGTTGCTGATCTTCTTCTACCGCCGGATCTATGATGTGGATCCGATGATTCTGCAGGATAAAGCGTGGCAGGTCCGGGAGGCGCTCGCCCGGTATGACGAAGAGATTGAGGGTCAAAGTGCCTCGTCGTGCGTGGTGGCCCCGTTCCTGTGGTCGGCGTTTATTGCCGCGTGCGAAGCGGTCGACCCGGCGTTGCAGAGCTGGTTCCTGCGCTGGTTCGAGTCGGCTGCCCAGCGGAGCAGCGTCGGGGTGTTCGAGCACGCTCTGGGCGCCATTCGGCTGGTCTGGGAGCGCCAGCGTCAGAGTACGGGAATTACGGCTAGCTGGCCGCAGATCCTGCGCGAGGAGGGGATCAGTTTATACTACATATGATGCCTCCGCCCAGAGCTTCTTCCAACTCGAAGCTTCCGTGGTTCTTGTGGCCTACCCACTGCATAGTCTCTCCCGACTTTCTACCCAGCATCCCCTGGTGAAACCGTTGACATGGTCATTCCTGGCAGCGTAACCAGAATCGGCCCTATCTCCCACCCTTTCATCATCACCCAAAGAAGTCAAGAGAACCATTTATCACGGACGCACCTACAATTTGAAGGGTGCAGCCTCACCGCGTCTCCTCTGACCATCCTTTCCTCCCTTCCATCAACGGCAGCAGCAGCCGGCCCTTCATCGCCGATAACCACCATCCACAATCCACAACCAAATCGCATGTATTCTTTTCCACGAACCTCCATATGCAGAACCCTTCATCGACTATACCTCTAAACGTTCAAAGGATTTCACAATTCCACAAAATATAATGCAAGACTCATCGAATCCCCCACCCCGCCAAGTGAAGTGTGACGGATTGCACCTTTCTGCGGAATGTGATGTTCTTCAGCTCGAGGGCTTCGAGTGGAGGTGGCAAAGATCAATGCAAGGCTGGCCTTGGAAAGGATTGCCAGGGGGGAGACATGTATTGTGTGCACGATGGTGTGACTTTTGTATGACTGCAGCATCCACGGGGTGGGTTGCAATCTTATCGAACCTAGACCTTCAAGAAACTCAGGATCCAGAGTATTCTGAAATGTGCCGGTTGTGAGAATGAGGGGTCGAGAATTTACGAGTGAAGCAAGGGGGCAGAGCGGCGAGACAAACCCGTCCAGAAGCAGTGGTTGTGCTCGGATGTCCGTGGTGCGGTGTGACCGCTCATTTCCTCAGGAGGTGGGAACTCGTAAGAGCTTGGGGAAGGTGACTACTTTTACCTGGCGTTATATGAATGGTGAAGGAGCCAGCGGCGTTTGGGGGTTGTAGACAGCTGGTGGGAAGAATCCGAGAGACGGGCACTGTGCCATCGGCTTCCAAGGCGGTCTTAATCTTCAATCTGGGGTGTGATGCGCCTTTGTGGCTGGGGTGATCGACATCGGGTTCCTGTTTTGGTTATGCTCTCATTATTAGATCTAGACAAATAGCAGGTGTTTGTTGCCTGCTGTTCAAGCCGGCAGCTGCATGCATTTATGGGCTTTGTACCGATGACATGCACCTCGCCAGCCTCCCAAAACGGCAACTCGGTGGAGAAACCTGCCTATCCGGTTATCAATATCAAACTGCTGCCAGATAAGTGGCCATCGAGGCAACGCCATCGATAGAGCAGCCAACCAGTCAGCGAGGGCTGGCTATCTCGGCGGAGAAGCGAGCCCTATCTCTGCCGCTGGTCAATCGCTGCAGCCCGGGGACGCATATATAGTCAACCTCGGACTGGCAATGTAAATATCGCTCTGCGTTGCCCCTTTTTCTCTCCGCTCACATCACACCGGGCGACCAGCAACATGACAGCCAAAGCGATCTCCACCGACAAGGCCCTCGAGGCCCACGACCACGAGTCGCCCGACCCCACCCTCGACTATGGCGAAGGGGAGATGCAGCGCCTCCCCCACACGCAACGGGGCATCAAGTCGCGGCACGCGCAGATGCTGGCCATCGGGGGCACGATCGGCACCGGGCTCTTCGTCGGGGTCGGGTCTGCCCTGTCGATCGCGGGCCCGGCCTTCCTCCTCCTCTCGTACGCCCTGATCTGCCTCCTCGTCTACGCCGTCATCACCGCCACCACCGAGATGAACACCTACCTGCCCATCCACGGGTGCTCGATGGCCGCGTACGCGACGCGCTTCGTCTCCCCCTCCCTCGGCTTCTCCCTCGGCCTCCTCTACTGGTACAGCTTCGGCATTCTGGTCGCCTACGAAACCACCGCCGCGGCCCTGGTGATCAACTACTGGAGCAACCCGGTCCCGCTCGCCGCGTGGATCACCGTGATGCTGCTCGTGGTCTTCGCGTTGAACTTCAGCCCGGTGCGCATCTACGGCGAGACGGAATTCTGGTTCGCGTCGCTGAAAGTCTTCCTGATCCTCGGGCTCTTACTCCTCAGCTTCATCCTCTTCTGGGGCGGCGGACCGAGCCACACCCGGCTCGGGTTTCATTATTGGAACGACCCGGGGGCGACCAACACGTATCTCGTGCCCGGGGCCACGGGCCGCCTCTGCGCCTTCATCTACACGCTGTGCTACTCGGTCTTCTCCTTCAACTTCGGCCCGGAGCTCCTCGTCGTCGCCGCCGGCGAGATGCAGCACCCCCGGACCAACCTCCCGCGGGCCGCGCGCCAATTCTTCTACCGCCTGCTCGTCTTCTACGTGTGCGGCGTGCTCGCCATCGGGGTCATCTGCCCCCACGACGCCGCCGGCCTGACGACGGGGACGGGGGTCAACGCCTCGCCGTGGGTGATCGCGATCCAGCACGCCGGCATCTCCGGGCTGGACTCCGTCGTCAATGCCGTGATCATCACCTCCGCCTGGTCCGCCGCCAACTCGTACCTGTACATGTCCAGTCGCACGCTCTACTCGCTCGCCGCGGCGGGCTCGGCCCCCGCGCTCTTCGCCCGCTGCAACCGCCACGGCGTGCCGTACTACGCCGTCCTGGCCAGCGCCACCTTCGGCGCCCTCGCGTACATGGACTGCAGCGCCGGCGCCAGCACCGTGTTCACCTGGTTCGTCAGCCTCACCAACTCCGCCGGCATGATCAGCTGGACCGCCTGCGCCCTCGTCTACCTCCGCTTCCGCGCGGCGTGTGCCGTGCAGGGCGTTGCGGTGCCGTATCGCTCCCGCTGGCAGCCGGGTGGGGCTTGGGCGGCCCTCACGGTCTGTCCGGTCATTTTGCTGGGGCAGGGGTTCCAGTATTTCGTGGCCGGGAATTGGAGTGTCAGTGGGTTCTTGACGAGCTATCTGGGCGCGTTTGTGTTTTTGGCGGTGTATGCGGTGAGGAGGGGGTGGGGGGCGTGGAGGTGGGGCGAGGGGTGGTGGGTGGGTCTGCTTGAGGTGGATTTGAGGGGTGGGTTGGAGGAGGTTGAGGCGTTGGAGGCGGAGGGCGAGTGTGGGGATGATATTGGGGAGAACAGGGGGTGGTGGGTGAGGGTTTGGGGGTGATTACTTTTGTTTTTATGGCTTTTGCGTTGTGTTTCTGGGTGCTATGTAGATTCTGTGAGGCTGAATTAACTATCAATGATAACTGGTTAGCTGACCGTTGGACCGGATCGGATGGACTGTGAGTCGGTGATATGGCAGGCTCAGGGGATATTATGCAGCAGAACCAGATGTTGGATGAAGCTCAGCTTGCCTGGAGGTTATCTGACGTGCGAGCCCGGGGTGAGGGTCTATAGCGGACTTTGTGTGTGGTGTTCTGTCTATGGTTTTATTCCTCTTCTCATGTTGATGTTGGGATTGAGACTGCTCATCAGCAGCCTGGGGGTACATACGCATACCTTGAGGGCTGTGAGACCACAGTGAAGGAAAGCCCAGAGATGATATCTAGGATCACAGGCTGTGAGCCTTCGTCTTTGGACGTGTAGTATGTCTCTGTCTGGACACTTCTCCACGTCACAACTGTTCATTGCTACTTGCCCAGACAGGGGCACGTGTTTCTATAAAGCTCGTCATGATCGATACCTCAACTCCTACCAAAGTCGCCATCGCCACGATGTAAAATCGAAAATCGGTCATATATTCCTGCCCGAAGATATATTCAGCTAGCAGCCCGCTTCATATCTATATCAAATCTATATATTCTGCTCCAGCAGTCTACAACTTCGCCAAAACCCCCCTCTCCAACACCGCCAAATGCTCCGGCGTGATATCCGCGATCGTCCGACACCTATCACCCCGTTAGCACTGGGCAGACACTCCACCCAACCCCGTAGGGACCGACTCACCCAGCAAGCATCATCGTCCGACAAAACTCATCATAGATAATCCGGATCGCCAAATCCACCCCTTGCTCCCCATTATACTAGACACGCAGGCGTTAGCACACCCCCCTCCCCCCACAAGAAAACACAAAAGAGAGAAAACATACCGCCAGCCCCCAAATCGGTACCCTCCCCACAAAACAACAACTCGCCCCCAGCGCCAACGCCTTGAACACGTCCGATCCGCGACGGATGCCCCCGTCCACCGCCAAGGGGATGCGCCCCCTTGCGACGGGGGCGCACACCCGCAGCGCATCCAGCGTGGCGGGCACCCCGTCCAGCTGCCGCCCGCCGTGGTTGGAGATGAGCACGCCGTCGACGCCGTGCTGGATGGCGAGCTCGATGTCGGCGGGCGCGTAGACGCCCTTCAGCCAGATGGCGAGGCTGGTGTGCTGGCGCAGCCAGGGGATGGTTTTCGTCCAGTGGATGGTTGCGTCTTTCTCTTGTTAGTTGCTTTCTTTAGAATTCAAGGATAGAGGGAGGGTTGGGGAATACCATAACCCCGCTCGTACGTATCCTCCAGCCCCATCTCGGCCGCCCCGGCCAGCACGGGGAACTTCAAGTGCGGCGGGAAGTTGAAGTTGTTGCGGGATTCGTTGAGCCGGTTGCCCAGGATGGGGAGGTCGACGCTCACGAAGAGAGCTTTGTAGCCTGCCTCTGTTGAATGAATATATCAGTATCTTTCCCTATCCTGACTGAGTTTGAAGCTTGGGTTACGTGTACTGAGCACAACTAGCCTTATTTCCCAGGCTCTGGAAAGTAGAAAAGTCGGCCTGATTGGGGTGGAGGGGGGGGGGGGGACAAACTCTCCGCCGCTTGAATGATCCTCTCCGTGATAGTGATATCCTGGAAGAACGACACCTGCATGATATACGGATTCCCCCGCCCCTCGCTCGCGGCGATCACCTCCTCCACGCTGGAGGTCGACCACGAGGACAGCGCCATCGGGATGTTATGGGCCGCGGCCGCGCGCGAAGTCCCCGTCTCGCCGTCGATGTGCGCGAGTTTGTGGGCTGCCGCGGGGGAGAAGCCGAACGGGAAGGCGATTCTATGGCCGAAAAGCGTGGTGGTTGTGTCGAGATTGGAGACGTCGCGGAGCACCCGCGGCATGAGTTTGTAGCGGCCGTAGGCTGCTTCGTTGTCGCGGAGGCTGTATTTCTTTGTGAGTATGGAGCTGGGGATGGGGATGGGGAAGGGGGAAGGGGAGGTAGGGTGTACGTGATCAGGTCGCCGGCGCCTTCGTTGAAGTAGTCTGTTTCTTTCTGTTAGGCTTTGTTGGCGCTGGGGATTGAGGGGTAAGAGTAGTCGCCACGAACCTCGTACGACCGGGGGCAGGCGTTTTTGTGCCTCGACCGCCAGGTCGGCGATGGTGAGGACTTTGGTGTCGTGGATTTTGCCGCGGTTGGACATTTTGGTTTGTATATATGTGGGTGATGGGAAGATGGGTTGGTGATAATCCTTGCAAGAGTTGAGAGCTATATACTTTCACTTTCTTGCTGGATTCTGGCTGTTCTACTGCCAGCTTCTCCGCAGCGGCTACCTCCACGATAAGCCACTGTTGAGGCAGGTCATCCCGGGGCGGCCAACACGGCAAGCCACCCCGGATAAGATAGCCCTAATTGGATTGTCCCGCGATAGCCCGCTGCAGGCGCATCCAGCATCCATGCATCATCCCTGGATATAAGAACCCCGCTTCTACTACGTCTTGGCCACTCATTCAGCATTATTGTCACTGCAGGATCGTCATGTCTACCAAAGCCATTGTGACCGACCCCGCCGCCTACCACGCCGCCGGGGTCATCTCCAACGGCCCTCTGCTGCACATCTCCGGTCAACCCGGCACCTTAGCGGGCAAGACTCCCTCCGATGGCGTCTCACAGATCCATCTGGCCTTGTTGAACTTGCACCGTGTCATCGCCGCGGCCGGCGCCTCTCCGCGTGATATTGTCAGTTTAACCCTCTACGTTGTCAATTACGATGCGGCCAACCGTCTACACCCGAAGCCCCTTCAGACCTTCCTCGCTGGCCATCTTCCTGCTGTGACCGTTGTGCCGGTTCCTGCTCTGGCCGTGCCGGAGTGGAAGTACGAGATCGCTGCAACCGTTGCAGTTCCGTCCCCCACCGTCCCCCGCTCGCTGCCCTCGCCAACTGATGCCGACGTCGACGTCCTCGTCATCGGCGCAGGTCTCTCCGGTCTGGCAGCAGCCGAGTCGGTCCTCCAATCCGGCCTCTCCTGTCTCATCCTGGAAGGCCGGGACCGGGTAGGCGGGAAAACATGGACGGAGACCCTCCCCAGCGGCACAGGAGTCGTCGACCTGGGCGCTGCCTGGATCAACGACACCAACCAGACCGAGATGATCGCCCTCGCACGACGCGCCGGCGTCGAGCTCATCGAGCAGAACACCACCGGCAACTGTCTGCTGGAGCAGGACAAGGGCCCTACCGTTCTCTTCCCCTACGGCCAAACCCCATGCGTAAGTTGCAACACCCTCATCTTCACACTCAACCTCATCACACTGACCACCCCAGATCACACCGCAAATCCGATCCGAACTCGACAACGTCCGGGAAATGTGCGAGGCGGACTGCCAGGCACTCTCCTGCGAAAACCCCACCGACCCCGCTCTCGACTCGCTCTCTTTCTACGCCTACCTGCAATCCCGCAATGTCAGCCCCGCCGCTCTCGCGACTGCCTCAGTCTGGACGCGCGCCATGCTCGGCCAAGAACCCACCGACATCTCGGCCCTCTATTTCCTGAACTACTGCCGCTCCGGCGGCGGCCTGATCCAGATGCGGTCCGACCGGCGCCACGGGGCGCAGTACCTGCGCGTCCGCGAGGGCACGCAGAGCTTCGCCCAGGCCATGGCGGGCGACCTCCCGACAAACACAATCCACTTCGGCGAGCGCGTAGACGCCATCCTCCCAAGCCCTCGCCCGGGAGTTGTCGTCCTCTCCCGGACGGGCCGCGCCATCCGCGCCAAGAAAGTGATCTGCTCCACCCCGACGCCGGTCCTCAAGACCATCCAGTTCCACCCGCCGCTCCCGGCCAAGAAACAGCTGCTGGTCGACTCCTTCCGGTACGGCTACTACACCAAGGTGATGCTGGTGTTCCGGTCGGCCTGGTGGGTCGAGCGCGGGTATTGTGGGCTGGTGCAGTCGTTCAAGGGCCCCGCGTCCATCTATCGGGACACGAGCAGCCCCCGCGATGGCAAGTTCGTGCTCACGGCGTTCTTGGCGGGTGAGAGTGGCCGGCAGTGGGCGCGGGAGAAGGACCCGCGCAAGCGGGAGCAGGCGCTGCTGCGCCAGTTGGGGCGGATCTATGATGAGCCCGATGTCCCGGCCGCAGAGTTTGTGGAAGCGTTGGGCCACGAGTGGAGCGAGGAGGAGCTGTCGGGCTGGGGTTGTCCGTGTCCGGCGCTGCCGCCGGGGGTGTTGACGCTGGCGGGCGAGGCGTTGCGGGAGCCGGTCGGGAATGTGCACTTTGTGGGGACGGAGACGGCGGCGGAGTGGAAGGGATATATGGAGGGGGCGGTGCGGAGTGGGCGACGCGGGGCGAGGGAGGTGGTGCAAGGGTTGAATCGGAGTCGACTGTGATGATGGTGGTGGGTTGTGGAGTGAGCTGGAGAATGGAGATGAACAAGTAGTAGTAGTTGGTGAAGAGAGGAGGTTGTGTTTACAGTACTGTAAAGTGCAAGCGGAGATACGGGTCTCGGCCAATCCGTAAGTCCGGCCTCCGCACGGCCGGGGATTACATAATTCAATATCCCCCCTCGCGTTCATTTGTTGATTTGTTGCAGGGCCTCTCCTCCTCACACCCCTTAATATTATTACTGTAATCTCATCACTCCTGGTAGTAAATCATCATGTCACTCCGACTCCGGCGCCTTCTCCCCGCCATTGTCATTATTGCTGTTATCTACACCTTCCACCACACCTTCAGCTTCTCCTCCTCACCTCCTGCTCTCCCTCTCCATCCCACCCCCTCCGACTGCGCCCTCCCCCCCATCTACGATGACGTGCTGGTCATCCTCAAAACCGGCATCACCGAAGCCCGCACCAAAGTGCCCCCGCACCTGACCACCACCCTGCGCTGCATCCCCAACTACGTGATCTACTCCGACTACGCCGAGCCCCTCTCCTCGACCGTTTCCACGCAAGACATCCTCGGCTCCTACATCTCCAGCGCCACGAAATCCACCAACCCCGATTTCGGTCTGTACAACCGCGTGCGCATCGCCGGCCACGCCGGCCTCACACCCGCCGACCTGGTCGCGGACGTCAACACGCCGATCGGCAAACCCAACAACCCGGGGTGGAAGCTGGACAAATGGAAATTCCTGCCGATGGTCGACGCCGCGCTGGCCGCGCGTCCGTCGGCCCGGTGGTTCGTCTTCATGGAGGCCGACACCTACCTGCTCTGGCACAACCTGGCTGCCTGGCTGGCGCGCTTCGACCCGCACAAGCCGTGGTACTTGGGCAACCAGATGCAGATCGTGGACGCGCTGTTCGCGCACGGCGGGTCCGGGTTCGTGCTCTCGCGGCCGGCCATGGAGCTCGCCCGCGACCTGCGAGCGCAGAGCGGCGACGGCTGGGAGACGGCTGTCGATGCCCACTGGGCCGGCGACTGTCTGTTGGGGATCTTGCTGGAGAGCTGCGGCGTGGCGCTGACGTGGAGCTGGCCCATATTGCAGATCGCGCCGCCGGGCGAGGTGGATTTCTTCGGTGTGCGTGCGGATACCCCCGATCGGGTGTGGTGTTATCCCGCGGTGTCGTTTCATCATCTGGATGGGGAGGCGGATCTGCGTGGCTTGGTGGAGATGGAGAAGGGGTGGGACCGCGATGGGTATACCGGTCGGGTCATGGTTTATCGGGATGTGTTTTGGCGGGTGGTCTGGGGCCAGATTCAGTCCCCGAAGGATGGGTGGGATAATTTGGTGGGCGACGAGGTTGGGCCGACCGCCACGGTTGACGAGTGTAGGGAGATGTGTGCCCATGAGGCCCTGTGTCTGGGATATCGGTTTGCGGTCGGGGAGGGGAGGTGTTGGTTGGGGAGGGGGATGCAATTGGGGAAGAAGGCGGACGGGTTTACGTCTGGTTGGATGACGCATCGGATTCAGGCGGTTGCGGACAGTTTGGGCCGGTGTGAGGCCATCAGTTGGATTGGGTGAGATTGGCCTTTGCATTCTTTTCATTCGTGGATCAAGGGGGTATTTCTTGCTCTATGGGTTTACGGATACCGTGCTGTCCTCTCCCTCCTCCTGTTGCCGCTGTTCCTGCTGCTGCTGCTGCTGCTGCTGCTGCTCCAGGTAATACCCCTGGCTCGACCCTCGAATCACAAACTCCCGCGCCAGCCCCTTGACCTGCAAGTCGACCAGCTGCGCATCGCGATACTCATATCGACCGAGCACGATCTCTCGGCCGGCCGAAAAATCAAACGGGCGCAGCACATCCACCCGAAACTGCACTTTGGGTTCCGCACTGCTGTCTGCGGCCAGCTGCACCGCGCCCGTGACACTGTACAGGAAACGGTCCAGCGCGAGGAACCAATCCCAACCTTCCTCGCTGGTGGTGGCGTATTCGTGCCAGAAGCTGCTGAAGAGGACGGTGGGACGCTCGCCTGCGACCAGATCCTGGGCGGCCAGGCGCGCCTTGAAGGTCACCAGCGTTTGCACCTCCTCGTAGAAGCGGGGTAGCGCGGCTAGCAGTTCGTCCGGCGAGATGTCGGCGTCCGTCCCGGTGTTACCCAGGTAGTGTTGCAGGTAGTGGGCGAAGTGCGGTTGCTGCTGTTGCTGTTGGGCGGCGAGGGCGTAGAGTTGAGTTTTGGTGGTGTGGTCGGCCGCGGTGGCCCGCTGGAATTTCCAGGGAAATTGGGCGGCGTGGTCGGTGGGTGGAGGGTCGTGGGGAGGGGGTGGGAGACTGATGCCCACGCTGGAGACCGCGAGGGTCTGGAGCAGGAGGATGAGGAGGAGAGGTATACGCATGGTGGGTGTGGTGTGAGGGAGTAGCTCTTGGGTAGTATGCGGGGTTGGACAAACGCGCTCAGCAGCAGTAGTAGCAAAGAAAGCCAGAACCACCACAGAATTAGAATCGGAACAGAAAAGACAGACACCAGAGGGGAGAAAGAAAAGAGCGAAAGAGAGAACGACAGACCCTCAGACCCTCCTGGCCGGTTAACCTCAACCCTAGTCGGAAACCTCCATCAACCTCAAACGCAAGCAGTGGAGAGCGGGAAAAGCATTGCACCTATCACCAGGCTGCATGGCTGGATCGACAACGGTCACACCCGGATTCAGACATGGATCTTCCGACGATTCGTGATGCAGGGTCAGGGTCGTGATCGAGCACCTGGAGCTTCAGATTTACTTGATGCTGAGGAGTGGAGGGGTGAGCAAACGGTGCTTCCGTCTGATGATGTTGATGATGACCGGGGGAATGCAGTAGCAGCTGACGATTGCCTGATTCCGGCCTGCAGCAGCTGTCAAACACGACGGTCAAGCATAGTCTGGCAGTGGGGCTGCCCAGTCGACGGACCCACTGGGCTGAATCTGGGCCTTTCCCTTGTCGGCTTGGGGGGGGTTGGCGTTTGACTGGCGTTTGCTGGCCATTGCAGTTTCTGGTAGTCTCCTTATTAACACTTTTCCCGTTGCCCAGTCCTTTCATTCACGCCTGTGGTCTCTCTATTAGCACCCAGGCCTTTACCTAGTATTCTATTAACGGCCGTGCTTTTTATCCGGTTAAGTTATCAACACTTTTCTCTGCCCCAGCTCTCCATTAACGGGTGTGCTCTGTATCCAGCCGCCCTATTAACACTGTACTCTCTACCGAGACCTCGCATTAACGGCCGTGCCTTTAATTCTTCTCTGGTGAAGTTTGTCTATTCTCACTCCCGTCACTTACTACCTCTCCATACAATATATATACCTATCCAGCGACAACCTCTGCCTCCTTCTTTCTTCTCTTCAACATTCTCTCATTCCTTCCTCTGTACATATATTTCTCGTTGGGTTTCATTGATTCCTTAGCCCTTTACAACTTAACATGTTCTCTGTTCCGAGTCTTTTCCAATCTTTTTTCACCCATGCCTTAAGTTCACGGCAGTCCATGTCCCACAACCGTCACTATCACCCGCAAAGCCCTACCTCAGAACTATGAGCAGCCCTTGCTTGACCTCCAAACTGTCCACGGAAGCACCTCCAATCCAGGCCCCATGCTCCATGAAGTCTACTGAGTACTGTGACCCCTTTGTGAACCCGCTCGCTCCTTTGCTAACTGCTCAGAAAGAGTCTCTTTGCAAGCCGATTTCCCCTGGGCTATCAACAAAGGCATTCCCGTGAATGGCGCCACGCGGCAGTTGGTTTGACGGCATGCTTACATCCCCTAGTTAGTTCCTTGTTCCTTGTTCCTACCCAGACCAAGCCTTGAACTAACATCCTCTGCACACTACATCTAGGAATCATGCCTGGCCGCCTACCTCCACATGTATTACGAAAGCCTTTCCGTTGTGCTGCGCATTGCACCTCCGCATATCCAACCTCAGAAACGGCGGTTGTCTTCCCTCTCCTCGGGATGTCGGTGGATGGGTCCAAGAAGCACATTGCTTGGGATTTCCTCGCTTCCTTCGCTTTCTCCAAAGGAGGATGCGGGGACTCGTACCATAGCAGGCTGAGGTTTGTGATTATCTTGCAGATTGTAGCCAGCAGTCTCCTCTTCCTTGCACCCGGAATTCATCAAGGGGTCTTTGGCAAGGCTGAGGATCTGAGAGCTTGGCTGAATGTCGTTCCGTCGCTGTTGCAGACGGAAAGTTTACCCTTGACGCAGGATCCACGAACGCGGGGAGCAGGAGATGGTGGTAGAGTCCGTGTCATCGGACGATGAGGGATACAGCGAGCTTATGTGTGAGCGAGATATGGCACAAGCTCTAGCTGCTGCAGATCGGAAAGCTTGGCGGACGATCAGAGGGACCGGTTGAGGTAGTCCTCTCTGCTCGCATGTCTGCTCCGGAGCCCAGGTTCGCTGGTGAGACGGTCTGCTTCGACATCGGGTTATGCTTGAGTTAACCCCGAGTAAGCTACCATTTCTTCTTCCGTTGATTGTTGAGCATTGTTGCTGATGCCTAGGGCTTAGACATGAGCTGTTCTATTATCCAATAGTTAGATCAGACGACTGCTAGCCGAGCCATTGACGCTTCACGGGTTGTGCTTAAGGAGTGTCGAGAACGTCTTGGCCAGCTGAGAGGATGGAGGTCGCTCTTGGATGAGGAGGTACGTGAGTTCGGTCGGCGCTTGAAACTGAGAGATAGATGGAGGGTTTACAGTAAGTCCATCACCACCTTCTCCCATTGTTCCAGACGCAGAGGGAAGGAGCTTGTTGCACAACCGTACTGACGCTTTCGCGACCGATAGGATCTATGTCTGAACCGCCAAACCTAGCTGGCGAACATGCACCACAACCCTCGGTTTGGCTACAATAATCCACTGGGAGATGGTCTCTTTCTGAGTTGTCTGAGCCCCCAACTGGGACTGGACCACTGGAATACTCTCTAAGCATTACCCACCACGTCCAAAAGATCCACCTGTCCGACATCCAATCCGTCTCCAAATCCAGCACTGTCTCTTGAGCTCCTGGATCGCTGAGGCCCTTCTGCAACATGCCGTTCATTACCACCACCACCAATATGGAGTCTACGCTCGACCTCCGGGTGTATAACTCATATACAGTTCACGAGCACCAGCGGACCATCGTCGTATCAGGCACCCTGGATGACGGAATGCGGCCCCTTCCCTCCACGGCTTGTGTCGCGCGGGCTTTCTCGTGCAGTGCTATTGTGAGCTACGAGCCTGAGGAGAACCGTGATTAGCCCAGCTAGGCTCAGGAAATGGTGCAATGTGTCACACACTGCGTATAGTGGACACGGATCACCTCATGGTCGCTGTCTTGCACCCGATGTGCACTTTAACCCTACTTGTCATGTCAGTGGCCAAGGCGTCCTGCTTGGGGAAGGGAAAAGGTACTCCGGAGTATGGGGTGGATCGTACCACACGTCGGCGCCGGTGATTCAACCCATGCTCCAGCAGCCAGACCGATTCATGCCTGGGCCATGTCCGATTCATACTGGGACACGCCTGGACAGTCCTTCCTTCCCAATCACTTTCGCCGATCATTCATTGGCTCGTTCCCTGAGCCTGTGGCACCTGTTGAGGCTGCCGTGGCTGTTGAGGCTGCTGAGCTTGGTGAACCCGCGGGACCTCGCAATATTCATCCCGGATACTGCGCACGGTCTTGCATGACACACTGGCCGTGCAGATCAGTTGCCTTCCTCAGTACAAGGCTTCATTCACTGGACGAGTGTCAGTGCGACCACCTTCTTGGCCGCATACCACACGGCTTCCTGGGCATGCTCTGGATCCCACCTGTGAAGAACACGGTGAACTTCGACCCAAGGCAGGTGTATTGGCAGCAGTCCTTGCTTTTCATGAGGCATTGTCGGACCAACACCTAACCTTCCAACAGCGGCGTCGTCAACACCCCCGCCCCCGCACCCGCATCGAAACCCCCGGCTAAACCCCCCCGAACCTCCCGAACCCCACGCACCCCCAGAAAACAACCCCCCGCCCGAAATCCACACCCTGCCCGCCAAATGCCCCTCCGGCAAGGGCTTCGACGCCGGCAGCCCGATCCGCTGCCTCCACAAGGAGCCCGGGCGGTACATCTGCATGTCGCCGGTGGGGTGGGCGCGCCCGCACTGCCAGCGGGTTTTTCCGTCGGTGTTCCTCCTCCGGCAGCATCTGCGAGCAGGAAGAGCCGAACGGAATTGTTTGGCTCTTGTGCGCCCTTCAGATTCTGCGCGTCCGCTATCCGGTCACCGTCCATCCGCTGCCTGAACTGCCACACCTACTGACACATTACCGGCATGGTTGTTGCTCCAGCAAGACAGGCGGCAATAGTCCCATGGAACGGAAACACGGTCGAGACCCTTGGGGCCTTGCCGTGCTTCTAGCCGCTGACTCCCCCATGGAGGAACAACCACAGGAGTAGTTCCTCATCAAAGTCATGATGGAATGACTGTTTTGGAGTGCCTAGCCCTCCAGGGCACTGCTGTTCACATCTCCTGTGGTTGAGAACTCGCAAAGCTACCTTCGCGTTCAGCCTTCATCGACGTCATGGAGGAACGGGCCATTGCGAGAAGAGAAGTCGCGCCTTTCTGGAGACTTTTAAACCTTAGTCGCTGGAGACGACTGGCGCGTAACGATTGCTCACAGCATCATACCCGTTCCTGCATCACTACCTCTGTTCAGATGCCCAATTCGACGCGCTTCCCGACCCGTGACTGCAAGAAGAACTACTCAACAGAGGCACGACACCAAGATATCGGACCCCAGTGAGAACGAACCGCCGCGTAACACAATGCGATGTTCCTGCCCCCTAATTCAGTTTCGCGTCAGACATGACGGCAACCACATCAGCGCGTTCGGTTTGCGCCGTGATCGAGACGAGCACGTCTACGACCAACTGAGCTCCGTAGCGCCGCTGCACCGCTCTGAAGAGTTTCGCTTGCCATGTACACGTGTTGCTACCATGCATATTCACGTTGCTGAGCCAAGAGCGATGGCTATGCTCAACATTCCCCGGGGAAAATAGTCGAATCCCCACCTTCTGAGCGGGTTCGGTACCGAGCACTGGGAGTTCTATTGTCTCGGTCGGGCTTGGTGCCCTGATGCCTTTGCAGCCATGAAAGGCTGGGTCCGGGACCGAGGCAACATACCTCGGGGCGGTCATACGCCGCATTTTCAGCCGGCCCGCTGCGGCGCCTGGCAACCGTGACGCAACGTGAACTTGATTTGTGTCTGCGAGTCGCAGATTCCAAAGATATCGTTACCCCGAGATTGGCAGGTAAAGTGAGAACACGATCCAGCACCTGGAGAACTACAATTTGTCGTCCACCTACTACAGTAAAATGGTGTCTCCACTGATGAGCCTGAGGACTGCAGCAACATCGCCGTGTCGATGTGCAGACCTGTCTTCAGGGCATCGCCCGGTTTCTGGCCCAGCTCCTCATCGTCGTCGCATGCTCCACGGAAATGAGGGTCCAAACGACTGGTTACCGTTGACGTACCTAGACGACGCTGATGACAAACCAGGCCAAGGCCTGCGAGCCTTTCCTCATGGCTGTGTCTCTTCAAGGTCTCTGCACGAAGCAGCCCCACCCTCCTGGGTGTCTCGTTAGCAGGCTTTGACAGAGGAATGGCAACGAGAACACGCGTCTGGCCAACGGTCTACTGCCAAGACCATGCCTCGGCCGTCTTCCCAGGGTGCTCTGATTACCGATAACCCCGTCGGGAGACCGTCACCCTTCGGGATCCGCACCGCATGCCGGGCAATGGGCGCGAAGAACACGAGGGAACGTATGTCTTCTGGGCCGAGTGGCCTTGTCGACCGGCAAGAGGATGATGGACTGGGCGGAGATGGAGGAATATCACACCAAGGGGAGATTGGCCGGAGGATAGATCTCCTGCGGCGTGTTTCACGAGCTCCAACTCCCCCTTTACCTCCTGTTCCCACGCATGCTCCACGTGGCCGGCCGGCGCAAGCAGATCACCGCGTACGCCGGTCTGTACGCCCTCCGGGTTCTCCTGCGGCTGTTTGGCCTCTCGCGCCGGACCGGAGATCGGATTGCCTCGGCGGGGACCAGCCATCGCGCTACCAGAAAAGGTCGAGACCGTCGAAGACTGGGAGAAGTAAGCCGGCTTCCGGGTCGTAGCACACTTCCTCCGGAGGGATTGCGGCTCCATCCACGGGACGAATTGCAAATGATCTTAGCTGATGAGAGAGCTTTGATGCTTTGTCTCTTGCAGTGGGGGCTTTGTGATAATCTTGAGGTGGACCGGGATTTCCCTTTAGTTTCCGCATGCACGGAAAGCCTCCTTCTTCCATCCGAGGTTGGGTAGAACCGAGTTCGTCTCTTTTCTGGTAGTCTCACCCCCTTATTCGCCTCCCAGCCGAGCCACAAATCCAGCCATGGGGATTGTGCGTTCAAGGTTTTCGAGCTCTGTTGGTGGAGCGGAGACACCGTGGCCGGCTCCCCTTTGATTGTACCTAATTTTCTGGTCGTCAGCCGCACCGTCGCGGCCCACTCGTGGAATCTTGTGAGGCATCTGCGGTGAAGAGACTGCGAGACCCTCTCACTCGTCGAAGACGTCTCCCCCCGGGACCGAGATTCGCAACTTTCGAATTCGATCGCGAGTATGGACCTCTCATCCGACCACGCCGCACTATCGCCGACCAGGTGCACTGCGGCCTGCCGTAGCCTGACCCTGCGAACTCGGCTACGAGCTCTCCTTGCTCAAGCGGAACTTGTCATTATGATTGACACACTGGACTGGATGCTGCACAATTGAAGCAATGATAGGCGGTTCTTGGAGATAGATTGGATCGACTTCCCGTGTTGAGCTGAGGTCTGAGTCCCGGTCCTCAAGCTTCCGCGATAATGCTCACGGTTCAAGCCGTGAAGACCTTCCATCCAGGGGCGAAGCTTGGGAGAGAAAAGCCTTTGTGCCTTGAGGTTGAGTCCGAACGTCAAGCTGCGTCAGGCGTCTGGTAGTTTTGATGTCCTACACAATTCCTCCCTCTTGCTGGCGTTTTGAAAGACACCCGCTGGGCGGAATAGTCGCGCAGCCCCCCTCCAGAACAGGTGACGCGCTGACCCAGGGCGAGTGTTCCACGCAATGGTCTTCAATCTGACCAATACACCAGAGAACACGCACTCTTTCCTCCTATTGGCAAAACCCTCGGGCACTTTCATTTCAAGCCCAAGCGGCCAAGCTTGCTTTTGCATTTCCAGATATTATAGGGTCCCCGTCGATCCGAATCGATAAACACGATACCAATTGACAAACCTGGCTCTCGTCGTTCTGCTACCTTAAATCTGTGGATGGGCCTAATTCATAGGGTTTACTATGAGATTCCATGCTACCGATGTGCAAGTCTGGAACAGTACTGTGGACCCTCTCCTCGGACAGATTCGCTGCTGGACTTCAAGTGGACAAGACGACCTTGGACAGACTTAACACCAAAGGGCGCAATCCTTGCCGCCTCTGCCAAAGCGCCCGGCAGGCTCAGTCCCGACGCCCGGCGGCGACATCAAGTGCATCCACAACCAGCCCCGTCGGCTCGTATGCATGAGCTACCCTTGGCTCAGACCGCGTTCACTGCTCACGGAGATTTGGCTCGCTGGCGCTGCTGCGTCGACATCATACGGTCCTGTATGACCCCCAGACACAGATGTGCGAGCACTGCGGGAGGCAGCCTTCTCGGAGCTTTCCGTGGGACTTGCATCTTGCTAGAAGGCATGGAGGGAAGTGGGAAGCGGAGAGGGTTGGGGAAGAGGTGGGCGGGCGTGGAGAAGAAAAGCACAGGAGGCTCGTTGCTGCTGCAGTCCGGGAGACGGGTTGATCACCATAGTACACGTGAACGGGGACAAGGTTCGGATTCATGCTAAGTTCCGCCAGCTACCTCGCTTTTATCCTGAATCCACTTGGCGAATGCGGCTTGCTCGGACGAACGCAAACTTCCCCACGTGGTGCCCGCAGGAAGTGTGGGCACGGTGCTATGCTTGCGGCGCTGTGGCTGAACTCACTCAGGGTTGCAACCACATGACGTGGGTATCTCTGACATGATTTCATTCTAACATTGACCTTTGACCTATGGTTGCCACTGCGCCGCGGAGTGAAATTTCGAGTGCGGTGCCGGATGGCGGGTATGTGCCTGTCCTCAGTGGGGGGATGGTAATCTATTTGGCCGACTAGGACGGGCCGTTGAGCCAGGATTCGCTGCATAAAACGCACATTTTGGCTATACGACATCGTATCGTCTATGGTCAGACTGTCGAAGCTGCGGTGACGCCCCGTACCAGAGACAGGAAAAGCGGGTGGTCTTCCACATTTCCAGGGTCTGCGACTCAGCTTCGGGTTCAATCTCTATTTGAACACATCGGCATGTTGACCATGCCCAGCAGCAGGATGACGCGATTGAGCAGGGTGTGCAGGGTGCACCGCCTGTGATATTCCAGTCGCAGACGCAGAGCCTGTTGCATCTGTTCATTGGTGTTGCGGATGGCTTGGTTAAGCAACGTGACACCGACCCAGCCTTTGCGGTATGGAGCAGATGATCCTATCTTTCGGGGTTGGGGACAATCTTCATAGTCATCTAGTGCCAAGAACGCCTCAACCACGTGGTGGAAGTGTCCAACAACGGAGTTCCCTTCCTTATTTCCTAGTTTAATCTCACCAATGTGGCGGAAAAGAAGCGTCTATCCCCTCCTGGACGGTGCCAGGACCTTTGCGGCCCTGTTCTATGCCGTGGTTGCCCTGCACTTGCGCTTTTCTAGCGCATCCTGTCGCTGTTGAGGGCGGGCTGGGACATCCCAGTGACCTTCGTCGGGGCCTGTCAGAAACCGTGCCCTGGAGGACCCGCGGTGCGGCCAGCTGGATGATGGGATCCGCACCAACGCAGCGCGGGTCAGGGCTGCGCCAACCAGCAGAGGAGCAGCCAGCCCTGTCCATAATTGGAGCAGTGGCGGCCCAGTTAGCATCTTTCCCCGCTATTCGACATCGCGAAGGCCCTGGTTGTAGGTCCCTGCCACGCCTCGCGGTCCCGATGTCATGCAAGTTGACACTAGGAGGAACTCCGGGAGGATTCGGTTTCTAAGGATGAGGACGAGCATTGGTTTCAAGGCGTCTTTGATCCGAAGAAGATGATCTGTGGATGAGTCGCCCTGGTACCTTGCTGACCTCTGCGACCCCCGGCAGGACACAGCAAATGCATTCATGGTCTCTCTATCCATTGATCGTCTTCGCGAAGAGACCTTTGCCGCATTCCAACGCTTCTGGAACCTACCAAAAGACTGCAAACTTGGTCGGTAGCCCCGTAACGAGATCCCCATACCAGGCATGCAGATTCCAGCTGAAGCATCGGAGCCGTCCAACCTTCGGTTCACGCCATCCGCAGAAGGGAAGAATGCCGTTTGGGGGCGGCATCTTCAAAGCGGGTGCCGTCGGACCTGGAAAGACATAAACTCCGTCGGCCTGTTTCCCAACCAGCAAGGAAGTCTACGCCGTGTAGTAGGATGTGCTGAGATTGCTTGCCATACTGCCTGTCGAGGCATATTCTACGAAAGCGTAAGCTATCATGCATGCCGGTCTGAAAGCTCGATTCCCCGGCCAAAGCTGGGCCTGCATTGGGAGGATCAGGACTTTCCAGCCAAGGCACCATAGTGTCTGTCTGTCTGACTGACTGCGCTGGTTCAATGCATCGGACACGATCGCGAAGTATACCCAGGCGGGTCTTTTAAGCGTCATATCGCTCTTGCTTGGAAAATGCTGCTGGAAGTCTGGATCCGCCCAAACCGGCCCAGTCAGCTGGTGACCCTTTCAACCCAGATCGATTGCGCTAGAGGCAAATTGCCGCCGGCTCTATATTCCTGGCGAGTCGTTGTACCGCCAAGATGATGTGCAGAGGTTTATGAATCTTGGTGAATTATCTATCTGTACGGTGTCGGAGTCATGTGATTATGAGAGATGGTACTACAACAGCTGCCTTGGTTATCTTCCCGGTCTATGCTCTCTGAACACTGAAAAAGACGCCTCGAGATACGCCCTGCACAAGATACCGCGTTCTCGTGCATCTACAGGGCTTAAGTTGGTGTGTACAATGGTGGGCAGAGTCTCGCCCACTTTATTAGCACAAAGAGCGAACACGAATGATCACGGAACAGGTCGCAATGTTGTCAGTTTGTTCGGTGGTGTTGAACTCCTCTATCCTTTGAACACGAGCTGCACGATCTGTTACTTTAAGAGTATCGACTTCGCCACGTTGGTTTCCTTGGCTTTCACAGATCCCCGCATTATTTGCACATTGGTCCGTCCGCATCCCTCTGTTAGAGTCTGCGCACGAAGTCTCTTCCGACAGGAGCTTCTTTCGTCTGGATTTCTTCAGAGAGAGTTTGAAAGCTTGCCAGACAATGCCTCTGAGAACGATTACAACAGACACCCGGGGCGCGCATCTGTACTAGTCTTGTCAGTTCAGTTGTAGCGACCGCAGTCACCTTCTTCCACTTGATCGACAGTCAAGCGCGTTTATCTCAATCCCCTGCACCCTACGCCTGCCTCTTTGTTCCCTAGCTCAGTCAATGATTCATCATCGCCACGGCTCTTATCCGCCTTCTTGTTTGAACACAGTCCTACCATCGAGCTAGTGCGTATTGTCTACAATGCCGTGTCCACAGGGCACAGTCAACAGTGGGATCTCATCTGTCTTGGCGGCATTGACGAGTTATCGTCTTGTGGTGTGCTCTTCGACTGGCACCCAATTTTCCATGGCATCATCCCTGCCGCGCTCCCCATTATCGCAGTGTGCATCAGCTGCAGTGCCAATGTCTGTGAAATAACTTCTCACCCTGGAGAGAGCGCTGAACTGTGTGTATTATGGCAGTGAGCCCTCCTCCAGCGGCTCTTGTAAGGAACCACATATTCCGAGGTGGACATTCCAAAGACTCTCCGACATGCGGAATCTCTGAGGTGATAGCGGAGACTGGTACAGCTCTTGTACCTTTCATTGGCAGCTAGAAAACGGCCATCGGGTCTTTCTACTTTGCTCTGGTGGTGCGTTTGAATCCCTACTTTGCTGTTAAATCATCACCGGGTGCATGAAGCATTTCCCGGTCCGAGCACTTCACACGAGATACCTGTGGCCTCATTGAGATGGCTGGTGCACGCAAGCCTACCACAGGGAGTCTATCTTGAGTGCCCCGAATGACGATAAGGTCATGAGGTGGGAGCGTGCTCGGAACGTCCTGGGAGAAGTCCGAAGGAGCAGATGACTGGGCAAGTGGTTTGTTCTGCATCTCCAGGTCAGTCATGAATGTACGAAATCTGATCCACTCTCCGGGTTCGAGTTTACAGTCCCTCGTCGACTGTTGGTGCTGGAGACTAGGGGCTCAAGCCACTGTAGGAAGCATAACACCCGGACAGAAGCCGGCTAAGCTCGTCTCGGACAACGTGGACGACCGACTCACCACACTCCCGCAAGCGCCAGCGAGAGACCGTGGAGGAGGAGGAGGAGGAGGAGATGGGGCTACCCGGTCTGCGCCCCTCGGCTGGGGGCAAAGACCTGGCCGGGGCTTGGACACAGGACGCGTTGGAACAGATCCTGCGCAGTGGAAACTCGATGTATGACTACTGAAAACTGGCGGCGGCGGTGGCGGAAGGGGGTGAGAAGTGGCACCAGATCTTCGTCCAGGTGATGCCGAATTCGACCTCATCCCAAAGCCTCCCATGTTCGCAAAGAGAGAATGAGCGATTGTCCACTCTACTCCATCCCCTTGGGCGAGTGCTTGCAGGCGGTGGAGGTTCTGCTTTGCAACCAAGAGTTCAAACCCATGTTTCGCGAGAAGCACCTCAGACGCCAAAATCATCATCACAAACCAAAAGATCTGTTTCGATGGGAGCAATGACTTGCATGCTCTGTACCGTTTACCCATCTGAGCCCTGGACGGGATCTGTCGCCCTTGATGACTCTTCAGCTCACTGTCTTGTCTGTTGCGCACGCACGATTGATAGCATGTCCGGCCGGGTGGCCCAGCTGTTGAGTTTCGGTTAACAGAGCAGCGGGTCCAGCGCATGCGAAACATCCTACGACGGATGCACGACCTGCCCATGGAATTGGGGGGTTTCCGGCGCAGATACACGACGCGGCCTCCGGTACGAAATGTGCCATACCAACAATAGGTGCACCTGTTCAGATGGGCGCAGCGTTCGTGTCTGGGAACTGGGGAATGCCGCCGATTCATGGTCGCGCCCGCGTCCCGATACTGTCCCGAACACCGGCCAGCAGCCGAACAACAACACCCCGCAAGGCAGCCAGTCTTCACTCCCACCATCGAAAAACTCCTCCGTCCCTCTCTCGTCTACTACCCCGCCCGGCCGGTTCCCCACCACTGGCATTTTCCAGGTCCCGACCCCCGTTGAGAAGGAAGGCGATCTCCCCGAGCACCTTTCAATAGACGCGATCAAGCGATCCTTGCCGAAGACCGCCCGGAAGGTCCGTTCGAACACCACGGCCGCTGGGGACGCTTGCCCGTGGGATAGACTCGAACACCTCTTCCACGCATATGTGAAATCCATCGACACCCGCCCTGGCGCCGTGGCACGAGGCTTGGGGATGGACTCCGCCGTCCGCATCTGGGAGCTGGTATTCCAGAAGGAACAATTCATGCTACTGATGCGAGATTGGCTTCTGTACCGGCACCAGTGGTTCGGAATCAGGGATATTCTCGACTCGCAGGACCCGGCCAGTGGGAAGCCCCGCCAGTGGAACAAGTTCCTCGGCAAGGAAATCCAGGCTCAGGCGAAAAACCCGGAGCTCTGGCGCGAGTGGGCGAGAGATGAACGTCCTGGTACTGTACACCCAATCCTTGACCACATGATTCCTGAAATCCTCAAAGGGGAGGTGTTCAGGTATGCGATGCCATATATGCCTGGCTCATTGCTTCTGGAGTGACTACCACACTGTCTCTCGCTTCGGCCTCAATGCAGCCACTTCCTGCTCGTTGTTGCATACTGAACCCTCCTTGCCATCAACCATGGCACCACCATCCTCACCCTTCCGCCGTAACCATCATGCCCATGCTCCAAGTGTACCTCAAACAGAACCCTCCGAAGAACTACATCCCACAAGCCTCGCACGGCTGCGTTCTGGCCCCATGCATGACCTCGTCGTGGCAGCTGTCCGGCCATCGGTGCCTGGGAACCTTCCTCCTTTCTTCTCTCCTCATCCCATCAATGAAACTCTTGTTTGGCCACATCATCTCTTTCCATAACCTGAAAGCAGCTCGGGCCGTCCGTATCTGTGAATATCCCGAAACAGTGGACGCGGTTCCTACCGAGGCGGGACATGCAAGCGAACCGAAGCAGACTTTTGCGGACAAAGCTGATGGTCCAGACACATTCTAGCCACATAACGCAGCCTCAGCCACACGATGACTCAAAAGCGATCGCGTGCCGGTTCGGACACCGGTCAATCTGGAGCCGCGGTGCTCTTTGATCTGCTTGAGCGTCGCACACCTGAGCCAGACGCAGGAGCCTATCTTCTCTGTAATGTACAGGGTTGCGGGCGGCCGGACACCACCGTTGCTGGTTGGCCCGAGTGCACCTCGTGGCCCAGTGTGCCAACCGGGAACTTGTCTCGGTTACGCAGAAGCAGGGAGAGGCGGCATCACCTATTACCAGCGCCTGCTTGACCTTTGCGACGCCTGTATGTCACGTGTCCTCTGCGTCTGCGGGGAAGGCCCAAGGCCGTTCCTCACGTTCGGAAGCTCGATGCATGTTTTCCATCGTCCGATGATCATTCCAGTGGGTCGTCGGGGATCTGGCAGGTGAGATCGAATCTACCCTGGGTGTTTTTCCTTGGCTGATACTCTCGATCGTACCCAGCATATCTCTCTTCAACGTGACGGACATGCTGCCGTTAAACTCAGCTGTCCTTTTTGCACCAGCAAGTACCGCTCGAAGCAGTCCAGGAGCTCTGGAGGCAGTTGCTCGCTTTCCTGTACTCCCACCACCGGCTCTACATGGACAGGCTGGGGCGTCCGTTAGCCAGCCTCGTTCTACATCAGATCAATCCGGTCTTTAGTCTCTCGGACTACCGCTGGATTCAAGTCATTCTGCACCAACAGTTGAAGTCCACTCGCCCTCCAGCCTTCTTGCTCTCCAGCCGACGTGTGCGTTGAGAGGTGCAGGATTAGCATCGGCGGGCTTCTGACTGGTACTCTGCTTATCCCTCATGCCAGAGTCTTGATTTTGGTGTGTCAACACGGCGGTCCTGGGCTCCTGCAGAGGTGAATGTGCACTTGCAGCTCCCTCCGGAGGACTTTCCGCAGCTAATCGGGTATGAAGACTGGGTCCAGGACGGTGGCACGGACCGTGATGGAAAGGGACACGGAACCGGTATCATCAGCCTCGTGACGCGCAACGCCTCCTTCTACCATCGAGGTGCAAGTAAAATGCATAGGCGATCAGCTAGAAAGTCTTCGCCAGACGTCCCACAGGTTACGGCCGTCCTCGTCAGAAGCTGGGAATCCCTCCCCGTCGCTTACGAGGCCGACAATTTGTTCGACTTCGTCGAGGCCCGACGCGTGGTGGAGAAACGGCTTCATCGACACCTTCTACGGGAGCATAGAAGCGGCGAAATCGACTCTAACGCCCGTCATGCACATTTTATCGCCGTGCTGGAGCATGTCGAGAAGGTCCCCATGCCTATTCTGCCCAAGGCTTTCCAAAAAAAGGCGCAAGACACCAAGTGCTGGAGCAGGGCTCCCACGGCTGATCATAATCGAGGCTGCCTGGGATTAGGAGCTTGACCAACGAACTACTCAAGACATTCAAAGTCCGCCGGCCATGATGAATTTGACAGGCACCTCGGCGCCCTGTCAGCGGTCCCCACAATTGGGAAGGATGGTTCGGTAGACTCTACTCCTTTTTCTTTTCTCTTTTCTCCGAAGACAGGACCTCTTCTTCATGCTGCGGGTCCAATTGATTGATCTTCGTCTCGCACAGATGTCTAGCATGGAGGATAACTGGGGTTCCCATGGGTCAGTGGCTGGTGCTCCCTGGTCGCCGATATCCCCCTCTCATACTTGGGATCCAACACGCCCTGGAGCAGTCGATGAAACATCACGACCGTGACGGCTCAGACTATCTCAATAACCATTCTCGTCTCCCAGAGGCACAGTTGGCCTTCTGAGTATTTTTGGTGACCGGCTCTGCTAATGGCAAATAGCTACCCCAAGTGGCCACACCGGGGCAGACCCTGAGCGCCCTGTCACGCTCTTTTCAATCATTCGCGCAATTCGCGCCTGTCGAGCTCATCAACACCGCGGGATGAACGGCACCGGAGGTCGTCACAGCCTCTCCGCTATTTAAATAGACCTTGCGATTGGAGCACGCGCCTATCGCTGCTGCTCAGAATAATCACCATGGGCAGGCTCAGACTAACTCTGCCAGTGGGCTTTGGTATAACTTTCAAGCCCTGGTAGTCCAACGTCCTTCACGAGTTTTCTTTCTCTGCTCATGGGCATTGACGCAGTGTGTACCTACTGCTTTCCTCGGAAAGTTGAGGGTCAAATATGCCGCATCTGGTCCTACATAGGCACGAAGCAGCGGACCGATGCGACCACAGCCTTCACTCAATCGGGCGCTGGACTCCAGTGTCTAGTCTACCCTGTGGCCTCTGTGGAACTTTCCCTTTAGTGCTGCTGCGACACAGTGGTGCTGATTGAGCGCCGAACTCGCGACAAGCAGTTTCAAGCAGCAGGGGAAATGACTCCCGTGGATCGCGATCATGGAGAGCGACAAGCGGCTTGCACGGTGTGCGTCGCAACCGACACAACCACGCGGCTCCGGGGGAGACCTTTCCGCACTGAGCCGTGGGGAATCAGCGCATCATCATCTACATCGACGAAGCGGCTGGGGTCCTCTTATCCGCTCCTCACTCATTTGTTTCGAGCGCATATTTTGTCCGCGAACAGTCTGCCCGACCAACTGCGGAGGTTTTGCTTCCATGCTTTTAGTTAGTCTAACAGACCCTCGAGTCCAAGCCATCGCCTCATTTCAATCGCCTCGAAGGACGCATATATTCTTTTTCCCTGCTCTCATGTGAGATACGTTGCATCAAGCCCAAGAACCTCCTGTATACTATCTCGGAGAATACTCGTTCCATTGGCCAGCTGCGCCTTCCGGCGTCAAACAACGATGACGGCCCTCAACTCCGTCAACTACGCATAGAGGGGCCAGAGATCACACCACATTCTGGACGCCTCATGCGAATGTCATTCGGTTGGCAGAGAAAGCACTGCCGCTCGTGGTACAAAGCCTTTGTTGATGCCCCCTCTAGCTGTGGCCTTGCGCGGGAGATGAGGGCCTGCAGGAACCATGTGAAGTTCAGTTGATCCGACCCACCGGGGGCCATCTGAGAATCGCCGTCTCGGTCTGCAGAGACCGACCCGATCCAGTGATTTATTACTGTATGATTGCTTCGGACAGCTGAGTTATAAATTCGGCATCGGTTCTAGATTTGATCGGCGAGACATTTGAAGCAACAATCGGCGCCGACTACCTCCGCTCACTGGGCTTCAGGCTTCTAGCCTATAGACTAGTAGCCAGTCATGTACCCTATCACATACGAGAGACCATGAGACTCATGGAAGGCTTTGTGCAGTCAAGGAAATCATGCTTAGGGGAAGCGCGGTAGCATAGACAGCGTCTATGTTGTTCAAAAGGAGGAATGCTTGCAGCGCCGGATCATGGAGCGGCCATTGTAAGTCCAGGACCGAAGAAACTACCTGTCAGCGGCTAGACGCAGCCCAGCTACAGCCCCGCTACCAGGCGTCTGACCTGTCATCAGGTCTTGAAGAGTAGCCGGGGATCAGACATGATGTACACCGCAGTGCGAATAGAAGGGGACGGAAGTCCCACTAGTATCCTGGAAAGTACCCACAGACCATTGCTTGCAAAGGAAATCAAGCAGAGCGCTGCGAGCTGCTACGCCACCTACCAAAGAAGATAAGGCGAGTAATGCCATCGACTTTCCTCAGAAAATACTTCCGCAACTTCGAACACCGGAGCACGAAGTGTGGGCTTTCAACCACAACCTCCGTGGCAGGTGCTCGCCCGAAATCCGCACCACCACCCGGTCTATGTGATTATCGGAGTTCGCACCGCATCGCCAACGGCTCTTTCCCCATCACCGAGCAAGACGGTGCATGCCAGCATCATCTGGGCTTATCGTTTCGTTCGCAGCATCCGCCGGGCTGACTTGGCGTCCCCTGGACGAGGGCTATGGGCAGACGGTGTTGATGTCGTTCCGAGGAGTCAGAAGCAATTCTTTAATAGTCGCGCCTGGCCTTGAATCAGTGTCTTGGTCAACCGCAGGCATCTTGCGCGCTACCAAGGATCGGATGGTTTCTGCGCAGATGTTGCTATCCCGTTCACGTTAGCGATTCTCTCTTCACCACCAAGCGCGCGAGACATACCCTCGAAAACTCCAAGCATCCAGTCTAAATCTGCCCTTTGCTGATACGCTCTGGCTCATTTCTTGTTTTGTTCGTTTTCACCCTCGACAGTCCAATCTGGCTATTGACCGAGGCCAATGGTATGGTTCCGACCTGGCTCGACCATCGGAATCATTCGCCGCTGAGGCACCAATGACACCTATCCATGTATATAGGGTGCGGGCCTTCCTCCTTCCGTCTCTTATCATGAATGTAATGCCTGTTCGGCTGGAAGCACTCTAATCAGACGAAGTGACGGCCGAGTCGTCAGACAGCCAAGGCGGCTCGAGCGAAGGCGACTCGAGTCAGTCTACCAGCGTTGAGGGTGAGTCATTGACTTTTTAGATCGACTTGCACTGACTTCTGTACCTCAGTCGCATCTCTCGAGTCGGAAGCTCGTTTGCCAAAGTAGCACTTCTCTACATCATTTGTCAAAAATTGCCTCTTTCCGACCGTCGGAGACGAAGCCTGCCCCAGCTACTGCAGCAACGATCTTCCCAACAGCACGGGGCTCCACGATAGATACCCGGGCAAATAGGAAGTATGTTATCGTCGTTGTCGTTCAGTCCGTGGACTGGGCCCGAGTGCTCCCAGACAGAGTGAAGCCTTTGGGCCGGATGATGAAGCCCTGCGCATCTGCTCTGTTATCATCTTGCTCAGCTCTGGGGGGTAGGAAGTTCCGACGATATAGGGGACTGAATAGTCCAGTCTACAGCAAATACTGGACTACTGGCCCTGTGTTCTTGTTCCTGCGAGGCTTTCAGGGGGAGCGCTCAGCCCCAGAGCCGTGGCCGAGGTCCGCAGTGCCGCGACTGCGACCGGAAGGTCTGCAATAAGCGGTATACGCTCTGCAACCATCTGGCTGGGTGCGCGATGCGCCGCAAGTTCTTGCTCTTCCCGGGTGAGAAGGCGGGTCGGTGGGCGAAGTGCCGCGATTGCGGGGAGGTTGTGAAGGCGGATCGGGGGGTGAAGATGGTACCCAGTGCACACACCCTGTCCTGGAGTTGCTCAAAGTGTGGTGAGATGCACCACGATGAATGCGTCATCTCGCAGCCGGAATCCGACACACATGGGGTTTCGTCTGGATTTGGCTGCACGAAATGCAGAGTCCCCTTGATACCTGCACAGTTGGCGCGCCAATGGCTATATCGCTTGAAGTTGACTCTCTGGGGAAGAAGACAGTCTCTACACTCGGCCCTGTACTTGAAAGACTTCGCAGATTGGGCGGTGCATTCAAATCCCGGGCTCGCTCGATGCTTTTTCGTGGACTTCGACTCCGACGCCTGAGTCCAGCATCTCCGTGTGCAAGTCACTGCGCTGTGCCACTCCCTCGGTTGGCGTTGCGAAGGTTTGCCACATTCATCACAATCATCACCGGATTTCAAACTCCGACAAAACCGAAGACGGGGTGCGAGCTTCGCTCTTGGATGAGCTACATGAGAAGTTCCACCTTATTCTCCGGTATAAGCAGCTTCGGCTGTCGAAGGAGTACCTTCTAGGTCTACAATCTCATAACACATTCTTGACCCAGGCATAAGAACGCTGATTTCCAAACCACAGATCCATCCAAAGTTAGCCTCCGAACAGGGCTCGTCGGGCGAGACCCGAGACATGGTGCTGTGCTGCGGTGACCGTTGAGAGGGGTTCAGTGGATCCTGGTTCCTGCCCCTGTCCTTCACAACTGGGTGCGCATGTGGGACATATTTGTTGACAAAGAGAATTCAGACATGGAGGTCCACATCGCCTACCACACAAAATTCGGCACCGAACATCCTCTTGTGAGCAATGAGCACCGCGGGCAGTTTCAGTGGGCCGACATCGAGGGTTACCGTCGGACCGAGGCGGAGTACTTCGCTTGCGTCAATCCCCGGCCCATCGAATGGAAAGAACGGTACGAGGCTGCTCAGACCCAGCCTAAGCGGAACAGCAAGACGGGAGAGAAGATTACCATTGCCTAGTCGAAGAAATTGCGGCTGAAATTTGCGTGGCAATACTTCTTTCCCTGTCATATTCTGTCGCAGCCGGTCAGAGCACGAAAATTCAACATAGAGCCATCCACCCCCGCCTGTGGTACCGGTGCGCGGAGTTCAACAAGGTCTATTCCAATTCCTGTGCCCGGGGTACCTTGTAGGTCTATATTCTTATAGTACATTCTTAATTCAGACAAGAAAACACTGATTTCTAAACTACAGACTCACCCAAAGCTAGCCTTTGAACAGGTCTCGTCAGGCGAGGCCCGAGACATGGTGCTGTGCTGCGGCGACCGGGAATCCAGAAGCATGTTGACAATGGGCTGATCAATGAAGCTGTGGTGGTAGGTGAAGACCGCGGTTTCGTTCATCGTCAGAATTTTTGGAGATGCAACTGGCGATGATATCAGAGAGTGGAAAGGCATGGCCTGAGCTCTGAACTTTCATGGAGGCCACGAGGCCACAATCCATCCAAGTCGTCCATCGCCCCTGGATACTTCCTAGCAGCTACAGGAATATCCAGGTGTACCTAATCCCTCGCTTGGGCAAGGCAGACAGTGTGGTTGACAAAGACTGCCCTCAAATGCGTGCCTCGCCCATTTACCACCTCACTGCACGGATACCTTCTTCCTCTACCAGATTCTCGTCCACAAAAACGGCATCATCTGGGCTGATGATCTCACTGCCTTACGCGCAGGACATCATCTGTACAGCGGAGCAGAGCACGCAACTGCCCTTCCGGATGGATGGTCGTAGCCATGGGTGGAGCGTTGGATGACTGCCCACCCGGACCTGCTCTACAGCCACTGGTTTCACGGCCTGTGCTCGCAGTCTGACTTTTCTGAGGCGCAACCCACCAAAGTAGTCGTCATGGGCGTGATAACTCTGACTGCCTACGTCTTTCGAGTCAGTTGTCTCCAAGTAGCTGGACACTGGACCGAGTGTAAAGGGCCAACGCGCGTTTCACAATCCATCACGACCTCCAGCCTCGACAACACCCGGCCATTACCAAAATGCGGAGAAGAGCCGGAGATCGCATTTCTCCTCTTTTTCGACTTTCATTTCTGTCATTTGCACCCCTTCGCGGCCAAACCGCAGACTTTGTCCCAGCAGTGGATACCTACGCCCTGCGACTGCCGCTCAGCCCATTCGTGCTCCGCAGAAGGCCCGGATAACCAGATCTCATTCTAGGGGTCACGCAACATACCCATGATTTCTGTGGCTGCCCGATCGCCTGCGACATCTCAGGGAGGACGGCCTTGCATATCTGGGGGTATGATCGATACGTGAGGAAGGCGGCCTTCGTGGCCAAGGTTGCGATAGCCCGGGAAATCATGGTGGGCGAGCAGCTGGCGCCGGACAGCCCCCTCATGCGGCTCGACACCATCTATTCTCGACCTTCCTTCCCCGGGCAAACATGTCCAGCACATTCTGAAGATGGCCGGTTCCATAATCACGGCCTGCAGATTGATCGCGAGAACAGCGCTACCCACCGGTCCCGGGCAGCAGGACGCTTTATCGGTTCACTCGTCGCAGCGGACAGAATGTCCGATGGGCCTTAGGAGAGACTCGACCACCACAACAACTTATATGAGGTCTGGTACTCAATGAACGACTTGCGCGAGTCGATAGGATCGCAGGATGTGACTTTTATCGACATATATTTGAGATACGAGGAGCAACCGTATGGAAAGACAGCGATCCTACACGAAACTTCTGGGGAGCCGTCACCGCGCAGAAACCGTCAGCCGTCTACGGAAATCGTAGCCCATACCTCAACCACCTCGACGACGTTCGTAAGCACTTCGGGCCGAGGCCCTGCGAACAGGACAGGAAACCCTGGCTGTCTGGTATTATATCGGGCGCTATCTGACTGGCAGAGTCGGTTAGCTATAGCCTCACTTCTTAAGAAGTTACTCACATACTCATCATGGGCAGCGGCAGCTCCCAGAAACTACCTACAAATGCCGCACTAGATTTCTTCACATTCAATGACACACAAGGACGGCCGTCCCCAACCTGGTGGTTGGGCTGAAGAACCCACTGGAAAGGACAGTCTGCTGAGTGATCACTGACCAGGTCCAGTTGTACCGGCAGCTGGAGCCTACCGTGGACTTTATCACGCTGGGTACAGATCTTGGCCAAAGACTACACATGATGTTATTTGTCTTGCGGTTGGGCTGCACTGGGTTTCGATGGTTACATCTCTCCATTGACCCAGGAAGGCTTATTGGATGATCGCGATCACCCCTTGGTGTGTGCTCTACAGTGCCATGTTCAATTTTTAGCACTTTGCTTGGGCATCTCCATGTCCTCTTCACCCTATGAGCCGACCCCCCGTTATCCTACGCCGCGCATCGTCTGCGCTAGGTGAATTGGCTGATTCCAACACCTTGGATGCGCTTGCACTATGGATGGATAGCTCTACACACATCGCACTCGATAGAAAATATCGCAGAGACCAGAGTGCAGATCATTTTCGGCAAGGTATCCGGCTTCTCATTTCTTTTCTTTACCGTTCTGATCTGTCCTTTTGACATTCTTTCCAACGTCACCGGCGACTGCAGGACCGAAATACCCCGCAACATCACTTCGTCCAACTGCGGGCCAGTTCCCGGGTGTTCTTGCAAAATAGGAGGGCTCATTGTACCTGTACAATGTTGGTAAGGGGCAGGAGGGTCAAGAAGGTCAGCTAGTGCATTCGGCTGTGCAAAGCGCAGAGCCCCCTGGCATGTGCGCGGCGAAGGCTGCAGTATCTGAAATCAAGCGACCGAGAGAGACCTAACCAGGACAGGCATCATCATCAGCATCAGCAGCAGCAGCAGGCAAAAGAGCACATGTCGTCTTCAAACAAGGCACGTCTCAGGAAAGATCTCCTGTTGACTTCTCACTACCCTGCCATCAGACCACAGGGGTGCAGACTCGGATTTCGCTACAGAAATGTGGCTCTTGTCAAGCAGAAAGACGGCTGGCCCTTGCCGGAACTCACCTTCTATAAAACAACTATTACGGAATCTTGAGTTCGGGACTAAGACCAAAAGCCTGAGGACTGGAGTCCGAGGTGGAGAACCTTGAAAGGGTGAAGCAATAGGCTTTCCTGCCGTGCTGAGTGCCTCCCTGCCCTCGGTCAACCTCTCTAGCCTGCCTTCCTCGCAGCTCTCAGCTATTGCAATTCCCCCGATGGCCGATAATCATGTTACAGGTTCTGAGGCTCGGCATATGCTACCCAGACGATGGAAACCATCAGAACGCGTGGTCACGACTGGTCTCGACTCCAATCCTTGATAGAGGCCATTTCCCAGTCGAAGGAATTCGCTGCTGAAACTTATGTGGCATAATTCTTTCCCTGGCATGTTCTGTCGCAACCGGCCAGGGCACGAGAATTCAAGATAGAGCCATCCACCCCCGCCTATGGGGCCCGTGGTACTGGCGTGCGGAGTTCAACAAGGTCTATTCCAAGTCCTGTGCCCGGGGCTCTAGGCCACGCCTGTCCAGCTTGCGGTATAGCCTGGCCGGTACCTTGCGCCAACGAGACGCCACCGGCATCCACCAAGACAGACAGTGATACTACCCGCCAGCACCACCACCAGCCGGAGGAAGAATCACAGAGCGCTGTGAGTGCCGCGAGCACCACAATAACCACAGCTCCCGAAATTGCCCCTACACCTTTCTCAGCAGCAATACCTGACCCTTCCGACAACATGCCAAAAGCAAGCGCAAAGGGCTGTGTAAACCAAGGGTCAGCTGACCCTGGGTATGCGTGCGGTGGCTGGGGACACCTCTACTGTGCCCATGTCACAGCCATCGATATCAGCGCCTGCGACGTCGCCAGGAGGTTAGGCTTCGACTCTGTCATACAGCCTCGGGAGCCAATTTTCAAGAACGGCTGCTCAATCCTGCTTATGCGGGCATGACTGCTCCAGCGCGACAAGTGATTCGGGGGCCAAAGGATATCCCAGAATCCACAGACCCGGAACTTGCCACTTCGAGCCAATGAACCTAATTCTTTGACAGCCAGATCCAGTCGCAGGCAAAGAGACCCGACTTTTGGCTGCATCGCGCGTGAAGTACTCGAGCCAGATAATGAATGCTCTATGCGATCAGCGACTATCGAGGAGACACGCGTATCGCCACACTGCAATCTGTTGCTTGCGCAGATGTCTTGGAAAGGCTACCTGCGTGACCCTCAATACGAGCCGTCAACGGAAGTGGCAGTCGGATTTGAGGGGGGTTATGCTCGTCACGGAGATGCTCACTGCTGCGGTCACAGAGATCAATCAGACATGCCTGTCTGTGACTGCGGCGCACTGGCGCGCGCGTCTGTTGATAAGAAGTCGGAAGCTGAACCTTCGCCCGGCAGCGGAGTATCGGTTTAGATACCTGAAATCCTACTACGATGGCGAAAGTGACTAGCTCTGCTAGAGTTTCTGAACCACATATCTTGTGTAAGATTTTCAACGTGTTTTCTCCAATACTGAGGGAGGCGAGCGACTCAGATATCAACCAGATATGCCTGTCTGTGACTGCAGGGCACTGGAGCGTGTGTCTGTTGATATGGTATTTGATGCTGAACCTTCGCTCGGCAGCGGATCACCGTATTATATACGATGGCGAGAGTTGGTAACTCTGCTGCAGTTTCTGAGTGAGAATTCTTACATGGAGTTTTCAAATTGTTTTATCAAATGCTTAGGGAGGCGAGTGACTCATCGCCAGGGGAGTCATCATCCAACAGCCGCGACTCAAAAGAATCTACATGTGGAAAGCCAGAAGGTGCTGAAGCTGACAACCACGGAAGAGGTTCTACAGGTGGAGATAGAGCCGACGATACCGAGACAAGAGGGATCCCCATATTACACTTCAGGACGATGAAGTCAGAGATCCCCAGATGGTACAATACGATGGTGCTGTGATTAACCCTAGTTTCATGTCGGTTGTCACAGCAACTACGTCGGCAGATTCGGATCCCGACACGATCGATACAGGCACGCTCACGACTGACGAGCCCACCAGTGTCGGTCAGGCCTTTAATGAAATCATGCGCCGGCGATGGTCACCTCGAGATCGCCCGTGGTCTACCGCCGTCCGACCGGCACATTGACACGACGATCTCGAGATGGAGGCGAACAGCTCTGCAGTACGCAGCCTACTGTGGCAGAGAGGAGGGGGTCAGGGATCTACTTGAAAACGGCACGTATGTTCATGCGACGGATTCGTAGGGTGAGACGGCGCTCTCGCATGCCATGATGAGGTATGGAGATGAGGCAGTCGAAGTGCTCCTGGCCGCGTGGAGCAGACGTGAATACAGGGGTTGAGATGCCCTTGTTGCAGAGTATCGCTTCGGACGATTGTAACCTTGTGCCTTGCTTGCTCGCTCATAGAGCGGACCCTGATGCGGGAACCTACAACAGCAAAGAGACAGCACTCACCCGTACGATCAATCAGTCTTGCGATCTGGCCGGTCATCAACTGCGGGAACGGTGCGCCGGTGGATGCTGTAAACTTCACCCTGTTCTACTGCGGCGCCGGCTGCCCCAAACAATGATGCTGCACGGCAGCATCACGCAGTCCCCATTGACAGTACGTCTGTTCCGGTAGGCGAGGCCATGAGCCGCCGGCGTGGAGGTCCCGATCCGGATTCACCACAGTGACGCTGGGGAAGGCGACCCTGAACTTGAGGGCGCGCGCCGGGGTAATAAGGGGAGTTGGAGCCGTCTTGTGTCTGGCATCTCTAAGGCACATCCTGCCATCCCAGAGTGGCCACCCGATTCTCGTGGCTGCGATGTCGATCATCCAGCGATCCCACCCCATTGGGGTCACGACCTCGTCCTCGAGGACTTCCCTGCCGCGAGTGGCGTGGACCTTGGGCAGAACTTCGATCGCGTCCTCCAAGCAAGTGATGAACCCGCGAGCGTCGATCGTCAGGGATTCTCCGCCTTACAGCGACGCCGGACTGACCGGAGACGAGATGGAGGTTTTGGGGCAAAATACCGTAGCCAAGGAAGGGGTGATGGTGTTGAACTTGATCCCCGGCCAACTGTGAGAAACATGGCCCGTCTGCCGCAAGTCAACACGAGGAAACCGCCGTACAGTGACGCTGGCCTGACTCGAGAAGAAATGGAGGTCTTGGTAGCGAGAGACCGTCGCCAAGGAAGGGGTGATGGTGTTGAGGGAGGTTCCGCCCTGCTCTGGGCGTGCGTGAGTTGGCTATGGAACACTGTACTTGCTTGACGATACTTTACCTTTAGGGCTGGCTGTCTGTCTGTCTGTCTGTTTATCTTTTGAATGATTATTTGAACTGTGCAAGGCAGTCCACCTCAATCGCGCAGGACTTGACTGCCGCCGCGGATGATTTCAACGACTCAGCAGGCGCTCCTTCCCCCTTTGAACTTACTCGAGCCGAACACCTCTTGCGAACAGCTCTTGCGAGCAGCTACAGGGAGGAAGTAGCATGGAATAGCTCATGACCCAAGTCATTCCAGATTATTGGGTGGATATCCTATTTGAAACGCGCATGGGTCTCTTCAAGTTTGACAGAAGTCTGCCGCCTTATTGCAGTCGGTTGGCTCTCGCCGACTTCAGACGACAGACTTAGCTAGCAAGTTCGCGTACTTCACACCGAATGACGAGGTCTACGCTTCCATCAAAGTTACTTGCAGGAGTGTGAAATCATCTTGGTCGAGCTGCGATCAGGTGTCGTCGAACTATGATGGGAATCAATTTGCAGCTATGGGCTGTTGGCCTAAGGCGGTTACTAACCAAGAGATGCATACATATATAGGAGATTAGATACAGTTTGAAAATATACTTATGATAGTAAAAGTCTCTCACGAATCTATAGATGTATGGGGCTGACCCGAGGGCTTACGAGTTAAATGCTCACTGTTGTGGAAAATCAGAGGTCGGAGACTCGCTAATCGCGATTTAGGAGTTGAGGCGCGGTTTCTCTCGCGATAACCATCTCTTTATAGATAGACTATGGCATTAGTGGGCTATACCATCAATGTAAAATCCATTTTTGCTATATCTACATCAAGTTCCTGGTATCCAAGAGGCAGTAATGTAGCTTCAGGTACTTAGCATGCCAGCATCGCACCTGTGTTCTACAAAACCTGGCCAGCTGCCAACCGTACAACCGTACAACCAAGTGCGCGAAGCTTCACAAGAAAGGAAGGCGCGACAGACAGCCAACTTGAACCTTGAAACAAGCAAGCCACTCGACCCCCTCCTGCACGTACTCTAAAAGCCAATATCATTTATACACTTCATATACTACACGATCCGAAAGCCCTCATCTTCCGACATCCTCTCCCCCAGACATCAAGCAAGCCAACCCACCCCCACCAACCAACATCCCAACAACCCCAGAAACCCGAATCCATTCTTCTAAACCCATTTACCATCATCAACAGCTATTCAAACCACCCCGAACCCCCCAAAAAGCCTCGCGGTGCCGCAAAGCCGTGGCAACAGCCTAACCCAAACCAAACATATAGGCCCGGCAAGTGCTGTCCCTCGCAACAAACACCCCGTATGGTCTAGATGGAGACGACGGTTGTGGGTCACCTAACGGTTTCCTGCTTCAGACCTGGGTTCGAACCCCAGTACGGGGGAAGCTCTTTTTTGTTTCTTGCCAAGGGGAGAGGGTTGTGTCATTGGGATGTCATCGTTGTTTTGGGGTGGTGGTTATGATTAAGGGCTGCGGTAGGGCGTCATCGCAGTGTGTTTTGGGGGGGGGGGGGGAACAGTCATATGGACAGATCCGCGTGTATCCCGTTTCTGGGGACTTGTGGCAATGGTAGTTGTAAGGGGCTTGGGGTTGACTTTTGGAATTGTTGGTGAGAGATATTAAATCCGGGGACTGTGGGGGTGGGCAGAGGTGGAAGCGATGAAGCTGGGGGTTTGGGTGGTGCACAGGTGGATTCGGTGGTCTAGTCTGGTGTTGCTCTTGACAGCTTGCTGAAGCTATGTGATGTTTTCTAGGTACGTAGTATCGATTCTGTTTGTTCACCAAAATGCAGAATGTCAGAGTCTTGGGGGAAGTTTATTCCCAAGTTTGAGCTATATAGGAAGTCGACCAAATTGAGCTACATAGGAAAGTCGACCTCCTCCACACTCAAACTCACAAGCTTGACTCACCGACAAGAACTCTACTAGCAGTCGTGAAGCCCACGAGCATCTTGAAATCCTTTTCTAATCCAGCTTATACGCCCTGGTACAGCCATCGAAATAGATCCAGCAGCTAACTAAGATGATCTTCCCTCCGCTGCCGGCCCAACTCGGACATATCCTCGGCTTTACAGCAGCTCGGCCCTAAGAAAACCGAGGCCGAGTGTATCCCCGCATCTCGGTCTATGCCTCGGAGACAGCGCTTTTGATCTGATAAGATCAATTTCATAGAGAGGCAGCCACAGTCTAGCAAGTATAAAGACCAGTTCCCTTCATGATCGCCAACCATCAGATTCCAACCTCACCATCCAACCATTCTCAACAATCCTGATCAACACCAACAATGACCACCCAATCCCCCCCAACCATCTGGCACGGCGTACGTCCACCCCACTCCCACCCCGTTTACCCAAAACTAACCCCCCAAAGGACGGCCGCGAACAAGCCCTCCAAGCCCACCTCCTCCAGCACCCCGCCGCCGCCCACCTCCGCAACAATCCCACCGCCATCCTCACGGAAATCGACAACTGGGCCACCGCCCACAACCACTGCATGATGACCATCGGCCCCGAACGCAGCCAGCCCATCGTCGATCTCATCCGCTCCTCCTCCCCGCGCACGATAGTCGAGCTAGGCGGCTATATCGGCTACTCCGCCATCCAGTTCGCTGACGAGCTGCGCCGCACCACCACCACCACCACCACCCCCGGCACCGCAGCACGGTACTACAGCCTCGAGAGCAACGCTGCATACGCGGCGGTAGCGCAATCGCTGATCGACTTCGCGGGGCTGGGGGATCTGGTGCGGGTACTTGTGGGCGAGGCGAAGGAGTCGTTGGCCCGGGTGGCACGGGAACTTGGGGGCAACACAGCGGTGGATCTGCTGTTTGTCGATCATTGGGGGGAGCTGTATCTTCCGGATTTGCTGGTCGCCGAAAACTTGGGGCTGTTGAGGGAGGGCGCGCTGGTCGTGGCGGATAATGTGGGGATGGAGGGGGCGCGGGCGTATGCGCGGTGGATGGAGCAGGCGGTGCATGAGGTCGAGGGGAGGGTGGTGCGGTATGAGACTCGGACGTTGCCTTATACTTTGGTCAATGGGCAGGAGGTTTGTGTACCTTTGATCGTGAGATTGAGGGTGTGGTGTTGCTGACTTGGTTTTGTTCTAGGATGCTGTGATGATTAGTAGGAAGGTTTGAGGGGTGAAGAGTATTTGAAGTGGCGTTGGTGATGGCTGGGTGTGGTGAGTGTGGGAATATATTCCCTTCTCGGGCCGGTGGTACTTTACCCGTGCGAAGACGGCTTTCGATCACGCTGCTCTGGTTATCTCTTTGACAACATCTGGTGTTATATCGTTGATACTTTGTGATGGTATTGTCTGGCGATATCATCTCTGTTGCACCAGGTGATGGATATGGGCGGTGCTGCCTTCATTCAAGTCAAGAAAGTTATGCGTTCTTAAGCTAGACCATCATGTTTGCAATGTTTGCCTGAGGTCGCGGCGGCGTCCTTTGCAGTCTGCTCCAACCTTGTATTTGGGGAGATTTTTTCAGTGAAAATCTTGACTATTCTTGCTCTGGTCATTTTCTGGTCCCAAATTGACATTTTCATCAACAATTTGAAAAACACATTGCGAGATATGGGACTATGTTTGGCGACGGTGCACTCACACCATAGTATACCGAGTCTTGGCACGGAAGCGGGCGAGCGGGCATAAAGATAGTAGATACTAGTAGTGACTGAGACAGTGCGCAACAGCAAAGTCTGATGCAGAAAGGTCTCTGCCCATTGCATAGAACTGGCTGTGCTCACTGTTGCAGGACACACGGCAGCAAGAAACCCCCCAATGCATGCTGCACTGCACCCTGCAGTCACGGGTCATGTGAGTGCCCTCCCAATCCGGCAAAAACCATGAGAGCCAGCCCTAAGCCAGATCGGGAGATGACAATGAGAGCTCCCCGGGCCCCGGCCAGGAAGTGTACTTCCTCTCTTGGCCAACTTTCCGCTGCTACCATTGCTAAAAATCATACCATGCAATCTTGTGACACATATATATTAAGCTCCCCAACCCTAGCTCTCATCCCAACCACCTTCCCAGCCCCAAATCTCCCCCCCCTTTTACTGATCCTTTACTGGCAGAACCCCATCATGTACGACGTGATCGTCATTGGCGCCGGCTTCAGCGGCCTCCAAGCGGCCTACTCCGCCCAGCAAGCCGGGCTCTCAGTTCTCGTTCTCGAAGCCCGCGACCGCGTCGGCGGCAAGGTCTGGAGCGTGCCGCTGGCCTCGGGACGGGGCTGCGTCGAGCTCGGCGCCGCCTGGATCAACGACACCCTGCAGCCGCGGGTGTGGGCGTATGCGCAGCGGTTCGGGATGAAGGTCGTGCAGCAGCGGCTGGCGGGCCAGGCGGTGATGGAGCCGAGCGGGGAGGAGCGATTTCTATTTCCGTTCGGCGTGACGCCGGAGGTGCGTGACCTTCTCGTTTCACCCTAATGGGATGAGATGCTGACAAGCTGGGGGGGGCGAAACAGTTCAGCGAGGACGAGAAGAAGAGCCTGGAGTCTGTCCGCGACCACATCCAGGCCGAATCGCTCAAACCGGGGCCCGTCTCCGTCGAGGACGACAGTATCACGTTGGAGGAGTACGTACGCAACCTCGGGGCGCTGCCCAGGGTGGTCCAGATGGTGAACCTGTGGGCGCAGGTGATGCACGGGGTGGAGGCCAGCGAGGAGTCGGCGGGGTGGTTTATCGACTACTGTCGTCGCAACCGGGGACTGTTGGCTGTCCGTGCGGACGACGCGTCGGGGGGACAGTATTTGCGCTTTCAGGATGGTGAGCCCATCCCCAAAGACCTATCCCAACGAGACGTACACCAGCTAACATCAGCCCACCTGCAAAGGCGCCCAAACAATCGCCACCCGCCTGGTAGCCCTGATCGGCCACCAAAACATCCACCTCTCGACCCCCGTGCAGGCCATCCACGACCACGCCTCCCACGTCACCGTCACCGTCACTACATCCGATAAGAAAGCCTACACGGCCCGCAGGCTCATCCTCTCCCTCCCCAGCACCATGTACAAAGAGCTCACAATCACGCCCCCGCTCCCCCCCGCCGTCCGCACCGTCACCGACGCCACCATCCTCGGCGACTACAACAAGGCCATCATCTGCTACGACACGCCCTGGTGGCGCGCCCAGCACTTCAACGGGTACTTCGCCAGCTACGCGGGGCCCGTCATCTTGGCGCGGGACACCTCCGTCGACGAGAAGCGGCACTTCTCGCTGACGTGCTTCGTGAACGGGAACCCAGGGAGGCAGTGGAGCCGGCTGCTGCCGCACGAGCGGCGGGCGGCGGTGCTGAAGCAGCTGGCCCGGGTGTTTGGGCAGGACGACACGTCCGAGGTGTGGCGCCCGATCGAGATGTTCGATCAGATCTGGCAGCATGAGCGGTATAGTCGGGGCGCGTTGGCGCCGATCACGGCGCCGGGGCATTTGGCGCGGTACGACGAGGTGTATGGGCGGGCGGTGGGGAATGTGCATTTCGTGGGGACGGAGTATAGTGCCGTCTGGAAGGGGTATATGGAGGGGGCGTTGTGGTCGGGGGAGAAGGGGGCGGAGGAGGTGGTGCAGGCCTTGAGGGGGAGGGGGAGGGGGATGGGGAGGGCGGTGTTGTAGTTTCTTTTCGCTTGCCTTCTTTTCTGGTGGGGGTGTTTATTGCGATTCCAGCTTATTGACGTAGTGACGAATACTATAGTAAGTCTTGATGCGCCTTTCTGTTCGAGGTATTGTTATTCTCACAGAAATAAGCTGCATGCCCTTCCTTCTCCACTATACTATACAGTAACATTCTCACTACGAATCAACCCATCCCAAATCCATGCAACATGGTCGAATTGACATATTCAAAAGCAATGCAGCCCCATCCATGGATTTATCACCAAATACATTCTCCCCTCCCACCATACATTCAGTCTTTTACGCAGACCCAGGAAAGGGGAACTCTTTTCCCGTTCGGGCCCTCAAACCCACGGCCGGGACACAGACCTCGGACTGCACCCAGGTATTACCACTTAGTCGAAGCACTAGTTACCGTGGTGGGTATCGCTCACTCCGTCCGTGTTGATAAGCTGCATACAATTTTAGCTACAGCGTTAGTTTGCTTTTACTGTTGTCTTTTTTGCTGGCTAGATATATACCGTCCACTGATCCGGAATTAGACTAGGGCAGGGCGGGGCGGGGCGGGTTGGATTGCCTGATTCGGTAAGGAACGCGCTGCCGGGGCTTGACTGGGGTGGATTCTGGTATTGATGTTGTTCTTCTGGTTTCGGGTTTGGGGTTTGGAGTGAGGTGTACTAGACAGGCTAGATGTGGGAATGGGATGGAGGGCAGATAAGTGCTTTTAAGGGGGTGTTGATTATTTCTTTGTCAAGGGGTATATGTTTGAAGTACAGTACTTTGGGGGTCGTCACATCATCTGAGGGGCATTTTATAGACCCAAGATCCTCACAGAAGTGAGTACAGTACAGTCTACTGTAGAAATTCTACCCTAAGGATCATTCATCATATCGCCACGCCACCTCCCTCACAATCTATCCCTATCTCCGCTAACCCATAGCAGCGCCCTTCACAACCATCCCCAAGACATTCTACCCCATAATAGTCTCCAACCGTCTCTCCATCATAACATCCAACCAAAACGCCTCCTCCGGATCCTCCTGACCTCCACCCCCCTCCTCCCCCCCACAAGCACCCGCATCATCCGCCCGCCTCCACACCTCGCGCACCAAATCCCCTACCCGCTCCAGCGGCGGCCGCGGCAGAATCCGCGTGAGATCCGCCAGCCGCGCGCTCACGCGCCGCCGCGCCTGCGCAATCTCCACATCCACGGCGTCGAACGGCGCCCACGCGTCCGCCGCCACGCCTAGCGGTGTTCCTCTCGAGAAAACCAGACTCCCCGCTGTCGCGGCCAGGAGGACGGGCTGCATTACCCTCGTCCCTGAGGTGACGGGGAGGGTTTCTAGTAAGGCGATGATGTGGAGGGCGAGGTGCCGTCGGAATTGGCGGGGGGTCATTCCCGAGGAGAGGATAGGGAGAGCCGGATGCTCGGGTATGTGGACGTCTTGCTGGGAGTGGAGTCTCGAGACGAGGATGGCCGGGAAGGCGTGGTAGATCTGCAGCAGGGCGACGCAGCGGTAGGCGTCGGCGAGGATGGTGAAGTGGTTCGCCGGGGTGTTGGTGTCGCCTGTCGGGAGGTGGTGGCCTATGCCGTCGACGTCGAAGGTGAGGAGCTCGGTTTCGAGGGCTTGGGCTTTCGCGTGGGCAGTGGAGTGGATGGTGTCGTCGTAGGGGAGTGGGTTTGTTTGCTGGGTTTCTGGGGAAGTGGTCGGGCTGATAGGTGGCGCGTGGCGCGCAGACCGAATGAGGCGTGCGATCTGATAGAAATACTCCAGTGCAGTGGGGAGAGGCCCCGTCCACGGGTGTAGAAGGGTCTGGCCGTTGACCACGTAGATCGGTAGGTGGTGGTCGCTGTCGCCGTCGCCGTCGCCGTCGCTGTCGCCGTCAGCAGCCCCGACATCCGAGATATCCTGCGCGACGAACGCGGCTAGCATATTCCAGTATAATAGACACTGCTTGAAAAATGGATACTGCTGAGTGAGGACCTCGGAATTCGAGGATGATGTGGGAGATTTGTGTCCGTGGCTCCGGCTCTGTCGCACGAGGAACCGCCGCGCGGCCTGGAGATAGGGCAACCCCAGGTCGCCCCCGTTGTGCCACGCGGTGGTCGACCCGACCATCAACAGGCCGTAGAATAGATTCTCGTCGTTCAGCGTCGGTGACACCGCCATCGCCTCCTGCAGGGCGTGGATGGCCCGCCGCTGCATCTGGGCGCCCACGGCGCGCATGCCGGGAAAGTCGCCGGCCAGCGAGGCGGCGGCCATGCTCTGGATGGCGTAGTAGATGGGGGCGTTCTGGCTCCAGAGGCGGGCGATGTTGGTGCGGAAGGGGTTGAGGTCCGAGTCGAACGACGACCACATGGCGCAGACGTAGTCAAAGTAGTATTCCACCAGCAGGGCGGGGAGGTGAACCAGGAATGAGGGTATGGAGGTGTCTGTGAGTCGTCGCCGGAGACTCTCCAGGTTGTCTATCTGGTTTGGGGTGCGGGCAGACGACAGGCCTGGTAGAGCGAGGGCATTGTGCAGCGCCTGAGGAGTTGGTGCCGGTAGAAGGTCAGCCAGACTACCTCCGTCCATCTCCGTGAGAAGCCCGATATCCAAGTCAATGGGGTTCGCCTGAGCATCAATCCCTTCTTCTCCCTCCAGCTCTCCAGTCAAAGGAAGTCTCTCGCCCTGCGTCCCCGGACCAGAGTCCCCAAAGTCATCCTCATCCTCAGCCAGAGGCAAAGTCATAGCCATAGTCACAGCCACAGCCCCATCCCCCCTCCCGATTTCCCCAGCCCCAGCAACCTTCTTCCTCCTCTTTTTCCCCTCATCCCCCCACCGTATAAACGGCCGAGTATACCCGGGACACGTCTGCCCCCGCCGCTGACACTCATAACAAGCAGGCTTGCTCTCATCGCATCGTCGCTGTTTTCCCCCTCAGCATCCAATACCATCCCTCATGCACCTGCCAGGCAAAAAGAAAAAAGAAGCAGAAAAGAAAAAAGGCGAGAACGCACCCGTCGCTTCTTACAACTCTCACATCCCGTGCGGGATTTCGGAGCTCGGCGTTTATTTTTCCCTTTTGAGGGTGGTTGTATCTGCGTTTGCGTTGGCCAATTTGGTGGTAAGTCGGGGTTTGTGATTTCCATTTGCTTATTCGATTCGGGTTGGTTGATTGTAGATGCTTGGGGGGTGGGGGGAGAAAGGGAAGGGAGGCGAAGGAGCCCAGGAGAGTTTCTCGTGTTAAGACATATAGGGAAAGGAATCCCCCCCCCCGCCCCTCTCGCCTTTATTGTGCTTTGGCTGTGGAGGGGTGGGGTGTTATGTGTGATATCACTAGTCACTAGTCTAGTAGCCTAGATAAGGCGTGATGGAGGATTGTCGCTTTTGGTGGGATTTGCTATCGCTATCGACAGATGTACTCCAACAAGGCAAGCTAAAAATAAGCGGCCGATTTTACCCCGCATTTCCAGCTGCACTGCATGGCACTGCACTTTTCAAACAGCCTTCGGCTGGGTTTTCATTCCTGATTTGGATCACTCACTTATCTTGTTCTTCCGTACCAAAAGCCCCCGCAGAGACTGCAGCATCTCCTCCCAGAATCCCACCGCGGGCTGCGTGACCTCCAACTCCGCCTCATACGCCGTAATGGCCGGCGCCTCCCAGACCAGGTCCGCCTCCTCTGGCCGGACGAACTTGGTCTGCTTCAACAACTTCCACCCCAGGAACAGCGCGGGCGCCACGATCACCATCGTATAGTAGGTGACAAAGTCCGCCGCGCTCCAGGGCATGAAGCTGCTGTAGCCGTAGCACGTCACGACACAGACCATCCAGACCAAGCCGATGTACGCGCTCCAGGGCTGGAACCATCCGCGGTAGGGCAGCTGGGCGCGATCGAAGCCCTGGGCCTGGCACGCGCGGTAGAAGCAGATGTACGTCGTGGTCATGACGATGTAGTTAATCACGCCGGCGGAGGTGGTCAGGTTGATGATCCAGCTCAGCACGGTGGCGGTGTTGTTGGAGAGCTGCAGGAAGGACAAGAAAGGGAACAGCATCACGACGCCGAAGCAGTAGATGGGGACGCCGTGGCGCGTGCAGCGCCGGAAGATGCGCGGGGCGCGGCCCTCGACGGCCAGGCCGTGCAGCACCCGCGTCGCCGTGTAGGTGTACGTGTTGCCCGCCGAGAAGATGCTGGTCACGAGCAGCGCGTTGACGATGTGCGGCAGCACGCTGACTCCCAGGTTGCCCATGGCGATCACGTACGGCGACGCCGACGCCGACCCCGCCCCCGCCGACGCCCCCGTCGTGATCGCCACCAGGTTTGCGTCGTTGTACGCCACCACCACCCCGACGCAGAGCGCGCTCCCGATGAAGAACACTCCGAACCGCCAGTACACTGTCTTGAAAGCGTTCTTGATGTACCGCCGCGGGTGCTTGCTCTCCGCCGCCACCATCGAGATGTACTCCGGTCCCACGCAGGCGAATGACGCCGCCCACAGCGCCGCCAGAAACCCTTCGAACCGGCCCAGCGCCCCCGTCGCCAGATGCGTCGCGAACGCGCCCGGGGTATTCCAGTAGCGGAACCCGTACGCATCGCCCTGCGGGTTGCCGCCCACCATGGTGATGAAGGTGAACAGAAACAAGACAAAAAATAGGATCACCTTGCCGCCGGAGAGCCAGAATTCCGCCTCTCCGTAGGCTCGGACTGCGAGGACGTTAAGGGACCTGCGAAGAAGGTGTGAGTAAGGCGAGTCTTCTGAGGGCTTTTGTGTTTCCTAATCAGGGGATCGCGTGTGGGAAGGAAGTGGCTTACGCATATAGTACAATACACGCCACGCAGATGGCCGCGGTGGGGATATGATCGCTCCAGAAAGCCAGCACCTCGGTCAGCGCCGTGATTTCAAAAGGGATTAGCAGCGCTTCGTAGAAGAAGAAGTTCCACCCGGCCATGAACCCGAAGGCGTCGTCCACCCACCGGCCGGCCAGACGGATAAACCCCCCTCCAACGGGCATGTACGTGGACATCTCGGCAATGCAGTTGTTCACCAGCGAGAGCATGCAGCTGTAGATGATGTACGCGAGCAGGAGACTGCCCGGGCCGGATTTGGTGAGGGCGGTGCCGATGCTCACGAACACCGCAGTCCCAATCGAGCCGCCAATCGCAATCAGCTGAATCTGTCGGTTATCCAGGCGACGCTGTAATCCATGGGCATCTGGCGGGATAATGGATCCGGGTTCAACGTCGGAAACGGTAGCATACACGTCGCTTTGGGCGGCCGATTTGCCTTTCTCCTCGTCTACAGGACGATGTTGCATGGGGGGTGTCATGGTGGGCGGGGACGGTTGAGAATGACAGGTCGGGGGAATCCGTACAGGTACGTATTGTATGGGGTACAAAGCCCTTTATAGCGCTAGCTTATCTCTACCCGGCCGGGGAATCCAATTTCAATCTGTCATGATTCGCAACGAAACACCAAAGCGAGCAATCTCTTCCAGGCTGATCCCGGTGTGCACTGTCATGGAACCGGCATGGAATAAGCATATCGGGCTTGAGCTGGAGTTCATTGGCCATTGATGGACTGCTGTCAATGTTTTTGCCACACTGTGCGCTCAAAGCATCGATCGTGAGGGTTATCGAGGCCTCTTATCAGGCCCAGAGCAGACTAAGATACCGAGTAAGCAGACATAATTGGCCCCTCACGTAGTGCGAGATAAGGGTGTGTCGCTGGAGCCCAGTATTGGTCCTTGTTCATGTGGCGTGTCGTCACCGGCGAGGGATTGGCAAAGGAGACAGGGCCACAGCTGTCAGGGCCTTGCAGAGATTTCAGTCGTCAGCACACGATTTTCAGCTGGAGGGCAGCCCTGCGGATGTATTTTATACTCGTTAGCCAGTCGGACAGAGATCGGATGATCAATTACTCATGCATCGCGAGCTCTCTCTTGATTCGAGCGAGGATTGTTTGCCTCCTGAGGCATGGAGCCCCGGATTCCTATCCTTTTTCGGTACTCCCACGCGCCGTCTGGTCCAGAGTATACATCCATCGAACATGTATATCCTCCACTTAGACCACAGCGGATTGTTGAACGTTTGTGGAATATCTTCCACGTCGTGGTGGGATATACTGGTGAGCACAGAGTGGTGATGCTGGTATAAAGGCCTCTTCAATCATGGACCGTCGACAACATCAAGGACAGATCCATCCTTACTCTCAATCACCAAAAGCCTCAAACATCGATACTCATCATGGCCGCCACCGCCGTGCAAGCCCCCATTGCCATCCAGGCTCCCGTCGCGCCACCCACCGTGGTCGCCTCAACCACCTTGCGCGCCACACGACCCACTAAACAGATTCCCGAGTCCATTATCCAGCGAGCGCGCGCCGTCGAAAAAGTGGACTTCGACGCCACCAAGCACCTGGCGACTGCCACACCCGGAAAGGTCTTCATGATGAAGGACCTGGGCTTCGAAGGCGCGGGGATCTCGCCGACTGCACTCTCCGAGCCCTTCCCCCTCTTCACGCCAGAAGCGGTTCAGCAGATCCGAGCTGAAATCTTCAGCGAGCCTGTGCTCCGTGACTGCCAGTATGCCTCCAGCTTTGCGACGAACATGATCCGAGGATACGGGCCACAGTAAGAATCCTTTGGTGTGGAATTTGTCAACCCCTGAGAAAGAGGCTAAGCCGAGTCGCAAGACGAGCCCCCTTCATCTTCAACGCCTGGCACAGCCCCGAGCTCCTGGCCACCATCTCCCGCGTCGCGGGGATCGAGCTCGTGCCTGCGATGGACGTCGACGTAGGCCACGTTAACGTCTCCGTCAACGACGCCGTCGTCGAGTCGACGAAGTCCTCCACTGCCGACTCAGACGACGATGATGACAGCGTGCCCGCCTTCGCCTGGCACCACGACAGCTACCCCTTCGTATGCGTGACGATGCTCTCCGACTGCGAAGGGATGGTCGGCGGCGAGACCGCCGTGAAGACGGCCAACGGGGAGGTGTTGAAATTCCGGGGACCGCTGATGGTGCGTCGCTGCTCTCGCTCCGTCCCCCCCCCCCCTTAACTATCACCTGTCCCAATCAATGCAGCTATCTCTTTAACCCTCTCCTCAGTTCTCCCCCAACCCCTTGCTAACCTTCATCCCGGTATAGGGCACAGCCGTCGTAATGCAAGGCCGGTACATCGAGCACCAAGCGCTAAAGGCCATCGGCGGCCGCGAGCGCATCAGCATGGTGACCGCGTTCCGGCCCCGGAACCCCCTCGTCAAGGACGAGACCGTGCTGACCAGTCTGCGGGGCATCAGCGAGCTGCCCGAGCTGTACAGCCAGTATGCGCTGTACCGGATGGAGAACCTGGAGGAGCGGCTGCGCGTGCAGCTGAAGAGGCTGCGGGAGCAGCACGCGCGGCGCTGCTTCGATGTCGATGCGATTCGGGGGGCGTTGGGTGAGCAGCGAGCGTTTCTAGAGGCGACGCTGGAGGAGTTGGTAGATGTGTAGGTCTTTTTGGTTTCGATGGGGGAGGATGATGAGGATGTTAATGAATATGATTATGAATATGATCTGAGGGTTTGTCTCTTGTGCTTGTGTCTGGTTCGATGAAGGAGGTTTCTGGCGATGGTGCAGGTATGGAAATGATGGAAATGATGGAAGGCGAAGGTACGGTCACTGCTTTGATGGCTTACCTGGAACTGACGGGCACGTGTCGTCGGTGTTTGTCCTGTTTTATACCTTCTATACGGTGCCTACCTGGTATCTTCTAACTCGCTCCCCTCTGGGATTTGCGCTTCCATTGTTCCAGTTAGGTAGCCATCCCTTTCATTGTTAGGATCCAGGCATCGTACAACAGACGAAAAGAATATTCCCCTGCAGGGGGGACTGTACCATCACTGCCTTGAAGTTATGTACTTTGTTTTCCTCCGTGGTCCGCGGGGGAATATGCCTGCGAAGGAGGCGAAGACTTTCCGCCGGTACTTGCAATGCAGATGGCTTGAAGTCTTCTTTCGGCCAAATTGCTTGCACTCACTTTTGTCGTGATCTGCAAGAGGTGGGAGTTCGACAGAAATGGGACTGGGGCGAGTGCAGTACCACGCAGACGACTGGCGGTGGGTGCGTACACTGTCTAGAATCACCCTAATTCTCCTGTCTCTCCTTCCTCACGCTCTCTATCACCTGTGGTCATATTTTCGAGGCTGGTTTGTGAAGGTATCTATGCTTTCCCGTTGTCTCAACCTACAGAGGCCAAAGTGAGAAGAGGAGGATGGAGGTCATAACCAGGATACTGGATACTGGGAAGTAGAGTCGATTCTCATATCAAATATCACTTGCCTCAGTCTACAGTATACCCATGCACAAGAAGAACGTATCAACATTAGTCTAAATGCCCGCGAGTCAAATACAGTAAACCCCTCTGCCCTCAACCAGCCAGCCAGCCACCCAATCCATCTATTCGGGGAATCAAAACCAAAACGGAAGAAAACAACAACACGAACAAAGTAAGTGGCTAGGTAGTATGTCGAGCTGGTGCAGAATGGTAGGACGCCTCTATGTTCCATGATCTTCATGTCGAACAACAGTCTATCGGTCATCCCGTCCTGACAGATCCCAACCCACCGATCCGGGTCCAAGACGGCTGAGCCCAAGATCCACTGAACGCCGAAAACAAATAGACAAGAAATATCAAAAGATAATCAGACACCCGTCCCGCTGGTGACTTAACACATAGCTCGTGACGCACGCCATGGATATCCAACGCTAAATATGAACACTCGAAGAGCAAGCTGAGTGGGGGGAAATGGTAAATAGATGAAACTTCTGTCCAGCAGCAAGGAGGACAGGGGAGAAACAATCGTTAATTAGAAGAAAATGGGGTCTCGTGGGTCGAATCGAAATAAATGTACCGCCCAAGATCCTATGCGCCCGCTAACAAGCAGCCTGGTATTGTAAAGCTGTATGCATGGTTGGTATCAGACGGAGAAGAAACGAAAAGTATGCAATGCGTCGCCCGGGGTATTATGCCACTGTAGAGTTTGGAAAGTTCTGGTTGGGAATGTTTCGTAATCGCCCATCATCGGCTGCTTCGTCATTGCGGGGATTGTCCTGGACCTGGATGTCCCATCGGCGGAGGACTACCAAAGCCGGCTTGTTGCACAGGATCGCCAGCGTACATAGGGTACTGCACCACGCTCATGGGAGACATGGCGTTGACATCCTGCCAACCAGGATATCCCATCGTCCCTGGCTGGCCAGGGTAGGACACAGATACCGGTGTCCCTTGAAGATCGGCGGAAGGAGGACTCTGGGGGTTCATCGGAACGCCCGGGAACGACTGCGCCGGGCTGGTCATTCTGCGTTTGAGATCCGCGGGGAGCGGCTGCACAAATTGAGCAGGGTTGGGATAAGGCGCAGTCATGTCGGTCGGTTGCGCAGGGAACGTCATTGATCGCGCGGGAGCAACCTGCCACACCGATCCATCGGGTTGCATTGCGTACGTGGGTGCAGCATTGAGCGCTGGGTTTTGCGACGGGACTGTCGGGGTGGCCGGTAAAGGGGACGCGGTCGGCATTGGGGCCATTTGACCCGGCGCAGGCGCCCAGACATTGGCAGGTACGTTCATCATGTTCTTGCCCGCGGCCATGGACGCTAGCATTTGTTGATCGGGGATCGTTGTAAACTCATCCCAGGCGACAGTAGACGCGTCGATAGACGGATGCGGCGCGAATTCAGAAGAAGGAACACTGCGCTCTGTAAGTGCGTTAGTTCATCGACCCACCCCTTCACGAGAGATCCACAAACCAGGAGCAAAAGTCGCCATCGGATTGCCGGGGAAGACAGCGGCGTTGAACCCCGCTACGTCTGGGTTCGCACCCAGTGCCATTGATTGGTAAGGGAAGTACGCTTCTGTTTGGTCGCCAGTGAGAGTGGGAGGCGATGACGAGGCTGTCGAGGGATCTGTCGATGCCGTTTCCAATCGGGAACTCGGGCGTGATTTCTTCTCGATGGGAGGCTGCTGGTCAACGGGAAAGAATTGGCACTCTTTTCGCAGTCGGATGCAGTTCTCGCATCGTCCCTGAGCATCATCCGCGGCGAGAAGGCATCGGATTTTCCGTCGTCGACAGTGCACTTGGATGGTGATGAGTTCGACGGCTTTGATGGACACACAGAAGGTGGAGGAGAGCTGAGCTTACCGCATGCGACAGAGGTACGATGATATCCAAGCTTGTTGCGTTTCTTATCTGCAGCGGATGATTCCATGATTGCGTCTTGTGGTATCGGAGAGGGGTTGATGTTCTGAACGAGTGCGGGCATAGCCCCAGCAAAGGTAGATAGACGGTACGATGGAGATCTGAGGCAGTAGCTGCATTAATCGCAGAGAGCCGAAGGTCGAGATGGTGGAGTCAAGTGGGATGGCGGAAGTAGATCCCCGACGCGCGAAGAGGATATAGAGGTGTAACAGATTGTTGGAGTCTCGATAAGCAGGCGTCAAGTCAATGCGACAGACACTGGAAGTGAATTTGTCCCAAGAAAAGCCAGGAGTGGGTGGGGAA